TTCAGTTCCCGTCCTTTGACCTTGAATTTGACCTTGAAGTTTGACCTTGACGAAAATGGTTTTCGATGTGCGGCTAGAACTTTGCACGCGCTACATTTTGGTGCCAAAATTTTGAAAATCGGACAATATTTAGTGGCACTTTTCAGTTCCCCGTCCTTTGACCTTGAATTTGACCTTGAAGGTCAAGGTTTAGGGGTGAATGGGTTCGATGTTCGTGATCCTCATGGTCCAATTGACCTTGGACGAGGTTTTGGCTAAAATCAGTGCTCGTCGCTGGAAAAGTCGCTGGTGACGTAGCATTTTTAAAGTTCCCCGTTCTTTGACCTTGAATTTGACCTTGAAGTTTGACCTTGATGAAAATGGTTTTCGATGTGCGGCTCGAACTTTGCACGCGCTACATTTTGGTGCCAAAATTTTGAAGATCGGACAATATTTAGTGGCACTTTTTCAGTTCCCCGTCCTTTGACCTTGAATTTGACCTTGAAATTTGACCTTGATGAAAATGGTTTTCGATGTGCGGCTAGAACTTTGCACGCGCTACATTTTGGTGCCAAAATTTTGAAGATCGGACAATATTTAGTGGCACTTTTTCAGTTCCCCGTCCTTTGACCTTGAATTTGACCTTGAAGTTTGACCTTGATGAAAATGGTTTTCGATGTGCGGCTAGAACTTTGCACGCGCTACATTTTGGTGGCAAAATTTTGAAGATCGGACAATATCTAGTGGCACTTTTTCAGTTCCCCGTCCTTTGACCTTGAATTTGACCTTGAAGTTTGACCTTGATGAAAATGGTTTTCGATGTGCGGCTAGAACTTTGCACGCGCTACATTTTGGTGCCAAAATTTTGAAAATCGGACAATATTTAGTGGCACTTTTTCAGTTCCCCGTCCTTTGACCTTGAATTTGACCTTGAAGTTTGACCTTGATGAAAATGGTTTTCGATGTGCGGCTAGAACTTTGCACGCGCTACATTTTGGTGCCAAAATTTTGAAAATCGGACAATATCTAGTGGCACTTTTTCAGTTCCCCGTCATTTGACCTTTAATTTGACCTTGAAGTTTGACCTTGATGAAAATGGTTTTCCATGTGCGGCTAGAACTTTGCACGCGCTACATTTTGTTGCCAAAATTTTGAATATCGGACAATATTTAGTGGCACTTTTTCAGTTCCCCGTCCTTTGACCTTGAATTTGACCTTGAAGTTTGACCTTGATGAAAATGGTTTTCGATGTGCGGCTAGAACTTTGCACGCGCTACATTTTGGTGCCAAAATTTTGAAAATCGGACAATATTTAGTGGTACTTTTTCAGTTCCCCGTCCTTTGACCTTGAATTTGACCTTGAAGTTTGACCTTGATGAAAATGGTTTTCGATGTGCGGCTAGAACTTTGCACGCGCTACATTTTGGTGCCAAAATTTTGAAGATCGGACAATATCTAGTGGCACTTTTTCAGTTCCCCGTCCTTTGACCTTGAATTTGACCTTGAAGTTTGACCTTGATGAAAATGGTTTTCGATGTACGGCTAGAACTTTGCACGCGCTACATTTTGGTGCCAAAATTTTGAAAATCGGACAATATTTAGTGGCACTTTTTCAGTTCCCCGTCATTTGACCTTGAATTTGACCTTGAAGTTTGACTTTGATGAAAATGGTTTTCGATGTGCGGCTAGAACTTTGCACGCGCTACATTTTGGTGCCAAAATTTTGAAAATCGGACAATATTTAGTGGCACTTTTTCAGTTCCCCGTCCTTTGACCTTGAATTTGACCTTGAAGGTCAAGGTTTAGGGGTGAATGGGTTCGATTTTCGTGATCCCCATGGTCCAATTGATCTTGGACGAGGTTTTGGCTAAAATCGGTGCTCGTCGCTGGAAAAGTCGCTGGTGACGTAGCATTTTTAAAGTTCCCCGTTCTTTGACCTTGAATTTGACCTTGAAGTTTGACCTTGATGAAAATGGTTTTCGATGTGCGGCTAGAACTTTGCACGCGCTACATTTTGGTGCCAAAATTTTGAAGATCGGACAATATCTAGTGGCACTTTTTCAGTTCCCCGTCCTTTGACCTTGAATTTGACCTTGAAGTTTGACCTTGATGAAAATGGTTTTCGATGTGCGGCTAGAACTTTGCACGCGCTACATTTTGGTGCCAAAATTTTGAAAATCGGACAATATCTAGTGGCACTTTTTCAGTTCCCCGTCCTTTGACCTTGAATTTGACCTTGAAGTTTGACCTTGATGAAAATGGTTTTCGATGTGCGGCTAGGACTTTGCACGCGCTACATTTTGGTGCCAAAATTTTGAAAATCGGACAATATTTAGTGGCACTTTTTCAGTTCCCCGTCCTTTGACCTTGAATTTGACCTTGAAGTTTGACCTTGATGAAAATGGTTTTCGATGTGCGGCTAGAACTTTGCACGCGCTACATTTTGGTGCCAAGATTTTGAAGATCGGACAATATCTAGTGGCACTTTTTCAGTTCCCCGTCATTTGACCTTTAATTTGACCTTGAAGTTTGACCTTGATGAAAATGGTTTTCGATGTGCGGCTAGAACTTTGCACGCGCTACATTTTGGTGCCAAAATTTTGAAGATCGGACAATATCTAGTGGCACTTTTTCAGTTCCCCGTCCTTTGACCTTGAATTTGACCTTGAAGTTTGACCTTGATGAAAATGGTTTTCGATGTGCGGCTAGAACTTTGCACGCGCTACATTTTGGTGCCAAAATTTTGAAAATCGGACAATATTTAGTGGCACTTTTTCAGTTCGCCGTCCTTTGACCTTGAATTTGACCTTGAAGTTTGACCTTGATGAAAATGGTTTTCGATGTGCGGCTAGAACTTTGCACGCGCTACATTTTGGTGCCAAGATTTTGAAGATCGGACAATATCTAGTGGCACTTTTTCAGTTCCCCGTCATTTGACCTTTAATTTGACCTTGAAGTTTGACCTTGATGAAAATGGTTTTCGATGTGCGGCTAGAACTTTGCACGCGCTACATTTTGGTGCCAAAATTTTGAAAATCAGACAATATTTAGTGGCACTTTTTCAGTTCCCCGTCCTTTGACCTTGAATTTGACCTTGAAGTTTGACCTTGATGAAAATGGTTTTCGATGTGCGGCTAGAACTTTGCACGCGCTACATTTTGGTGCCAAAATTTTGAAAATTGGACAATATTTAGTGGCACTTTTTCAGTTCCCCGTCCTTTGACCTTGAATTTGACCTTGAAGTTTGACCTTGATGAAAATGGTTTTCGATGTGCGGCTAGAACTTTGCACGCGCTACATTTTGGTGCCAAAATTTTGAAAATCGGACAATATTTAGTGGCACTTTTTCAGTTCCCCGTCCTTTGACCTTGAATTTGACCTTGAAGTTTGACCTTGATGAAAATGGTTTTCGATGTGCGGCTAGAACTTTGCACGCGCTACATTTTGGTGCCAAAATTTTGAAGATCGGACAATATTTAGTGGCACTTTTTCAGTTCCCCGTCCTTTGACCTTGAATTTGACCTTGAAGGTCAAGGTTTAGGGGTGAATGGGTTCGATTTTCGTGATCCTCATGGTCCATTTGACCTTGGACGAGGTTTTGGCTAAAATCGGTGCTCGTCGCTGGAAAAGTCGCTGGCGACGTCGCCAACTTCACGGACTATGCCCCCCCCCCCCCCGGATCCGCCAGTGATGCCACACCACGCGAAACACCGCCAACTACCAGCTGCCGCGCCATAAACACGTGCCAACAACAGTCTTTTTTTGAAGGTCGACTCCGCTCGCGCAACTTTTGACTGACCCTCACTGCTACCATATTGCTTCCATATTATGCTGTGGAAAGCTTTACTTCACCAAGTGGCTAAAAACCTCTATCAAGGTATATTTTCTTAGCAATTTTTCTGACGTTTTGGGGGGGGGCCAAACAGGCCACTTTAGGCCTTTGGGGGGGGGGGGGGGGCCATGGCCCCCGTGGCCCCCCCTGGATCCGCCAGTGATCAATAGGAGGTAAACATTCTTATCAGAATGTCGTTTTCCAGTCATAGCATCCCTATCACCAATAGTTTTATGCTCGTACTTATCGTAATTCATCAATCGCAAATATCAGTTAAATTGCCCATCTAATTTTCTCTCTACCGATTTTTAAACCCAACTTCAATATTCCCCATGCCTGAGATTAATCGTACTAGCGCTTCGTTTCGAGCGTTTACGAGCGTAATTTACGAGCGTTTCGAGAATATTAATAACAAAACAGAACTAACGAACTGGAGAAATGCAACATTGATCACTTGCATAAGCCGTCGCCAGAGAATGTTTGTGACTGTTTGCCATGTCCACATGAGGGAACGTGAAATGCTTTAAACTTTAAAAAGATGACCGTTAAAAATTCCAAAAATGATAGCACTCTTGAGCGCACACGAACAGGAGACCGCCAAGGCAGGTAGAGCTTAGTTCACCAGTCAAAGTACCTACTGCATTGAAGTTTGCTTTAGATCCGTGGCGTGAGCCTGCGACATTATCGAGTGCTTTATTTTTGTAAAAAGGGTTCCCCTTTTTTCTAGCTCATTAGCAATAAATTGATTTTTTTCCATAATTGACCAATATTTAATTACTGACCCTATGAAAGACTGATTTTAAAGACACCGATTGCCTCAAGGAACATATAAAGCGTTTTTGTACTTGTCTATTATTCTAGTTAGGCAAATTGTTATAATGTTTGCATTATCCTATCAGCATATCTAATCGCACGTGCCAGTGCATAGCAGCCCTGCGGCATGGTTTCTTGGCAACGAGTTGTATGTTTAAGTGTCCAACGAATCAATGAATGCGGCGTCCAGACCGCATAAATACTGAATAGTTATTGCTCGGTATAAATATGACTCCAGGCTTGCAGTCACGACAAAAATCGGTCTCAAAGCACCCCATTGAGTCCCATTATAGCACACAGTGCCCCCCAGCTGCCGTAAATCACCCCTGATGACCTCACCTGACACGGTTTTACTGCTCCTCACCTGGCACAGTTTTACTGCTCCGCAATGAGCTCTCACTGGCGACTTGTACGGCCATGTATCAGCACACGGCACAAGGTTTTGTAATTACCCTCTGGATATTGATTTTTTCCACGATGGTATCGCGTGGCGCCGGAAAGCACAGGTCGGACACCTGGGTGCAAGACGCCGCCGATGTCGCCACCGACACCGTCAGTCGGGTCATTCGCGCGGCGACGGCGCAGTTGTCGACATTCGTCCCGGGTGGCTCGGGCCGCAAAGTGGGAAGTCCGTTTGGAAAGTGACATATGGTGTAATAGAAGCTCACAGCTATAGGTGATCGAGTGGTGGTACATTGTGGGCTCGAACTAAAAATTATCTTAAGATTTTCGTATTTACTTCTGTGGTGTTAGCACTTTGATACCGTGAAAAGTCAACAGGAGTCATCCATGTCAAAGTTTAACTCAAGATCTGCTTTGAAAACTCTTTTGCAGTCCAAGCAACAAAGCGGTGCCTTAATCTAAAAATACATCCGCTGTAAGTTTTTCTACTTCTATGGAAGATCTGTGATCAGTGATCGCGCTAATACTTCTGTACCAAGCCAAGCCCTCTTGGGCGTCTCGGCTAGCAAGCCAGTGTTTCGGTTAACGTCTAACGACAAACATCTGGCAATAAGATCGCTCGTCTCTTCGGCATCTTTTCGACCGAATCGATCTATCACAAGCAGATCATGAGCTACATCGGCAGCCTGCTGTCGGTGGGCCGCAACTGGACCGACCCCTCCACCGAGACCGGCTTTGACTACGAGCCCGAGCTGCGCGTCACCTGCTTCCACGACCCGCCCTACACGTTCGTCACGAGGCACGCCAACGGCTCGGTCTCCTTCGACGGCTACCTGTTCGACATCTGGCTGCTGGTGGCCGAGGCGCTGCGGCTGCGCTACCGCATGGTGCCCGCCTTCAACAACGGCTACGGCAGCCTCGGAGAGAACGGCACCTGGAACGGCATGGTCGGCGAGCTCGCCTACGGCAGGGCCGACGTGGCGCTCACGTGGCTGTTCGTCAAGCGCGATCGCGCCGCGGTGATCGACTACATTGACGCCGTGTCCGTGTCCGAGAGCACGACCGCCTTCTACACGTACCACGGCAGTGCGGCGATGCCGGCCCTCTCGGCGCAGATGTTCGGCTCCCTGATGCGACCACTTCACGTGGACGTCTGGTGGTCGCTGCTCGCCGCGCTGGTGGTGCTCTCCGGGGTGCTGCGCGCCTCTCTGCGCTTCAACCACGAGCGTGCCGAGGAGCGGCATAACGTCGCAGAGCTCGGCTGGGGTTCGTGTCTCTTCTCCTGTTTCCAGTCGGTGATGGGACAAGGCTGGCACACTGTCCCGAGCTCACTCGCCGCTCGCATAGTCACTATCTTCACTTGGCTGCTTGGCATCATCATCTCGGTAAGCTACACGGCCAACCTGATCTCCTACCTGACTGTGGTGAGACACGACCCACCACTCTACAGCCTCAGAGACTTCGTCGAGCGGCCCGACTGGCAACTGGCGGTGCCTCCCAGCTACAGCGTCATCGACGAATGGCGGACAAGCAAGGATGTTTACGAGCGTAGAATGCACGAGATCGTTGTCAGAAAGGAGCGCCTTATCCCGCTAGATTCACTTGTCGAGGATTCGCGACTGACCCTGCAGTCCAAGGTCCTGACATACATTGATCTACGAACGCTTAGCTTCACGATAGGCAGTGACATCTGCTCGCTTCTTTTGGTGCCGAACTTTCCTGTGAACACGAAAGGCTCTTACATGCTGATAGCTAGGAACAAGGAGAAACTAAAAGAACACATAAACGAGGCGATGTCGAAGATAAATGAAGCAGGCATCATTCAACGGCTTCAAGAGAAGTGGAAGATAACTGGAAGCACTTGTGAGCCACCAAGCGCTTTCCAGGCGCTTTCCTTCGGAAACCTGCTGGCTTTGATGGTGATTGTGCCATTCGGCGTAATCACAAGCGTTCTGGTGTTTGTCGGCGAGAAGGCGTGGAAAAAACGAAAGTCACGTAGAGCTCGACCCAAACAGGGCAGTGATTTGAAGGTGGCCTTGAAGCCGAAACTAGCCGCGTTGGAAATGAAATACAAGGCGTTTTAAGACGGATTAGCCATGCAAAATGTCCTTAGTAGTTAGTTGGGAAGTGACATATGGTGTAATAGAAGCTCACAGAGCTAGGTGATCGAGTAGTGGGTACAGTTATGTGGTGGTAGTTAGTAGCTAGGTACAGTCCACAGCAGAAGTAATTTGCGGTTTCAGTCATGAGTATGTTCTGCTTCTGAAGCTTGCAGGAACGATTAGCCAGACTACAATGAAACTTTGAATGTAGCTTACATTACTGCTCAGAATCCGTATCCGCGGTTGCTAATCTAATCATTCAAAACATTTGCACATTCACTCACGTCAAAACACGGACAAAACACTCAGGTCATCACTCTTACCCCCCCCCCCCCACCCTATTGGTCAGCGACGATGTGCTGATTCATCGTCAACGATTGCGGCTTTAACAGCGCGGGCGAAGCGGGCGGGAGGCAGCTGCGACAGGTGAGGTGGCAGGCTGTTCAGCAGAGCTGCAGCTCGATAGCCGAACCGCCGCTTGCCCGTTTCCAGCTGCAGACGGGGAAGATGGAAGAGGTGATCTTGCCTGGATTGTCTCTCGCGGATAGCGCTATTAGCGACGAACAGGGCTGCTAGTTGCTCGGGTTCTCGGCGCTGTATGACCTTGTGTGCGATAACAAGGGTGTGGAAATGGGACATACCGCGCGGGGACAACCACCCGAGTTTTGTTCGCAGGTCGGAGACATGGTCAAATTTACGGCGGCCGAAAATAACTCTAGCGGAAAAACTAAGAATTTTTTGGAGTCGATCAAATTTTTTTGGGACCGATCACCATAAACTGAAAGGCAGTACTGGATACGCGATACTGCAAGTGCCGTCACGAGCGTTCGAATGATGCCATCTGGAAGACAGTGGCGCGCGTGTGAAAGACCAATCAACAGTCCCGTACACCGGCGGCACACCGGAGTTCGGAGACGTGTGCGTCCCATGACAGAGTGCTGTCGAAAGTGACGCCAAGGTTCCCCAATCCCCACCTGTGCGCACAGCTGCAACGCTGCATCGCGGAATGGTACTCTAAAGTCTGGCAATTTAAGTGCGTTCACTTTGAGGGCGTTAGCGCAAAACCAGTTGTTTTGCGCGAGCGAGTCCTCCGAGCGCGAGATGAGAACTTCGAGGTCCCGAGCTGGACCGCTAACCAATACTTGAGTGTCATCCGCATACTGAAACACTTTTGCGTCGCCCGCCGGTATAGCGATAAGTTGTTAGAGAAAATGGTGAAAAGAAGCGGCCCTAACGCAAAGCCCTGGAAGACGCCCATGGCATTAGAAAGAGGCCTAGACAGCACTCTACGTCCGGATACATCTTTCAAAGACACGCTCTGAGTGTGTCCATGTAGATAGGCGACGAACCAGGAAATTTCAATGCCGTGTAAAGGCCTGGCTACACTATGCGTTTTCTTCGTGCGTTTTTTGCGTGTTTGCGTGTTTTGCGTGATATCGTTCTAGAAAAAAGAACGATATTACGTTTTTGTGATGTTTTTCACCTTAAATTTTAGTTACATAAGAGTTATATTAGCTTTTGTATATAACCAAAGTAAAAATTATATTGTTTATAACTTTTTCCTAGAACGATATTACGCAAACACGCAAACCTGCAAAAACGCACGCAGAAAACGCATAGTGTAGCCAGGCCTTAACATCAGGTTTTGCATCAGAAGATCGTGGTCAATCACGTCAAAACATTTACTGAGATCGAGAAGGCATAGCATTGACAAATCCCCCTATCAGTGGCGGACAGGATGTGTTCAGTGACGGACAGCAACGCGGTTTCCGTAGAGTGCCGGGGGCGGAAGCCGTGCTGGGAGGATGCCTATTGCCTATGTATGTTGCCTATGGAGGATAAAACAACTGATAGTTCTACCATAATGTAATCAATAGTCTGCGTGACTTAGGTAAGATAAGAATATGTTGGTTTAAGTGTTATCATTGCGTTACCTATGCCGTCCATTTAAGATAATAGCCAGTAGGTATGTGGTTGACACTTTGACAACAGCGGTCGGATAGCGATTGTTGTAAACGAAATATACCTATGAAAAAGTGACCCTGTTATCAAACGAACATGTCTATATGTAGGTAGGTTTGTCTATCGTATGTCTATGTGTGTTTATATTCAGGAGCAGGATAGATGCTTGCAAATAAAATATGGCCAGCGTTTTATTTCGTTCGTTGCTTAATCATCTAGGTCACTATTTAAATCCTTAAACACTGCATGATTTCACGTGTCTAGGTAATTAGGCATATAGGTACACTGTGCAGAAATTGAACCTACCTACAAACGGTGAATAGTAAATCGGCTTGCAGTAGGTATATTGGCAGACTTGGGACAGTCTAAATTCTACTTGTGTGGGTTGCAGCGAATTTCAGCGACAGGTGGGCAGGAACTTAAAGGGGTGTAATTTTATATCTCTTTGTGGGGGCTGATGCACCCACAATCCAGAAATATGCCCCCACAATGATGAAAATGCACCCACAACTCACAAGTCTTCTTTTACAAGCGCCCTTTCGAGAGCACGTCGCCCTTCGCATGCTCTAATGGCGTCCTCCTGACCGTCTCGCGTTCCTGCATCATATGGCGTTTTTAGTCACTCAGCGCCCTTCTGGGAGAATGGCGCCCTTTTAACAGCACTGCGCCCTTCTCATGGTCTAACGGCGCCCTCCTGAAAGTCTCACGCCTTTATGTCTCTGTCCACCGTGCATCCCTCGACTGTTCGGCGCCCTTCTGGCCTCTCATCGCCCCTGGACCACATAGCGTTTTCAATCACTCGGCGCCCTTCTAGGCAAATGGCGCCCTTTTCATGGTCTCACTGCGCCCTCATAACCGTCTGGCGCCCCTACGTCCCCACCAACTTAGCATTACTGACTGTTCTTCGCCCTTCTGACGTCTCTGCACCCCTGGATCATATAGCATTTTTAATCACCTGGCGCCCTTCTGGGAGAATAGCGCCCTTTTGACAGCACTGCACCCTTCTCTAACGGCGCTCGCCTGACCATCTCGCGCCCTTATGTTTGTGTTCACTTTGCATCCATTGACTGTTCGGCGCCCTTCTGGCCTCTCAGCGCCCCTAGACCATGTAACGTTTTTAAAGGGACCCTCCCACCTTAACATTAGATTTGAGTTGAGATAGCCAAAATGGGGTTCCTGGCTCACAATTACCGGTTTCGGCACTCACAACATCCAGAAATGCCTTAAATCGGAAATATTGAATTTCAAAATTGCAGCATTTTGATTCAGAGGGGCTAATGCATAGGAATACCCCTCTGAATGTGTGACGTCATCGCAGATATCTAACGATTTTTAAATGTTTGACTAAAACGTTTTGTAGCACGCGGTGGTATATGCTGCTTTGCGCGCAACAAATGCCGCACTTTCAAATAAAGTCGCTAGGAACAGCGGAGGTCCCAAAAAGTAAACAAAAGTAAAAGTCTAATATCTTGAAAACCGGTGAATATTTTTCGATGAAATTTGGTAGATATTCGTTTTTGCTCTTTCTGAACCGAGCGACATCACTTTCATGCCAATTCATTAACTTTTTTGAAGGTGGGAGGGTCCCTTTAAAGGGACCCTCCCACCTTAAAAAAAGTTAATGAATTGGCACGAAAGTGATGTCGCTCGGTTCAGAAAGAGGGAAAACGAATATCTACCAAATTTCATCGAAAAATATTCACCGGTTTTCAAGATATTAGACTTTTACTTTTGTTTACTTTTTGGGATCTCCGCTGTTCCTAGCGACTTTATTTGAAAGTGCGGCATTTGTTGCGCGCAAAGCAGCATATACCACCGCGTGCTACCAAACGTTTTAGTAAAAGATTTAAAAATCGTTAGATCTCCGCTGACGTCACAAATTCTAAGGGGGCATACCAATGCACTAGCCCCTTAGAATCCGAAAACTGCAAGTTTGAAATTCCATATCTCCGAATTAAAGCATTTGTCGATGTTGTGAGTGCCCAAACCGGTATTTGCAGGCCATGGCCACCAATTTGGCTATCTCAACTCAAAACTAATGTTAAGGTGGGAGTGTCCCTTTAATCGCTTGACGCCCTTCTCGGAGAATGGCGCCCTTGCCATGATCTCACGGCGCCCTCGTAAACTTCTGGCGCCCCTACAGCTGGGCACCCACAATCCTTTTAAGAAAATTACACCCCTGGGAACTTTAACTGCACTAGAACTTATCAGCAATTTCACTAAAAGCCTAATCTAATCTGCTTGCAAAACTTGGCGTGACACGCTAAACCCAAAAGCCGCACAATGTAAGTAGATATACATGCAATGGAGGCATCACGGGTATCTAAACGTGAGCCGACTGGAATATCATAGGCTATCATGCAGGAGGCTGTGACATGACCAGTGTAGGTGGAAGGGGAGGCGGGGGGAGGGGACATTGAGCTGTGAATCTCTAGTAGCTTTTTTTTCTTAAAGGGACCCTCCCACCTTAACATTAGATTTGAGTTGAGATAGCCAAAATGGGGTCCCTGGCTCAAAATTACCGGTTTCGGCACTCACAACATCGAGAAATGCCTTAAATCGGAAATATTGAATTTCAAAATTGCAGCATTTTGATTCAGAGGGGCTAATGCTTAGGAATACCCCTCTGAATGTGTGACGTCAGCGCAAATATCTAACGATTTTTAAATGTTTGACTAAAACGTTTTGTAGCACGCGTTGGTATATGCTATTTGCGCGCAACATCTGCCGCAAACGCCGCACTTCTAAAATAAAGTCGCTAGAAACAGCGGAGATCCCAAAAAAGTAAACAAAAGTAAAAGTCTAATATCTTGAAAACCGGTGAATATTTTTCGGTGAAATTTGGTAGATATTCGTTTTCGCTCTTTCTGAACCGAGCGACATCACTTTCATGCCAATTCATAAACTTTTTTGAAGGTGGGAGGGTCCCTTTAATAGTTAATACGTCAACCAGAAAATTTTGCGTCACGTCGAGGTCATGTCATCACCGGAAAAGTCCCGCTGCTATATGTTGCATATTTGTCGATTTGGATTGTGGACTGTGGAGGCGAATACCTACGTTTGAGATGTTTCTTATTTTAAATATATCCTGAACGTTCGAGTAAGGAAGGTATTGGTAAAAAACCGCCGGGCTTCATACGACCCGTTACCCTTCTAAGTGCGAGAGTTAAGGTAGAAAGTATAACATATTGTTACGTCTCTGGGTATGAGAGCAGTCATTATATATTAAACCGCGATTAGGTAGAACAAATCTTGTAAACGTCGAATATTTTTCTTCCTATGAGCGATTTAATAATTTAGCCCGTACCGCCGACATCTTTTGGGCGCTCAAGGTAAAAAATACATTTTATACCTATAAAAATACCTACGACATATTTCAGACCAAACCAAATGTCTACTAGACCTTTAACAGTTTGTTAGTCGTCTAGACCCTATATATTTTATAGTCACCGTGCTATGTATGGCCTTGGTCTAGACGTTTAACAAATCATTTAAACGACATCTGATAATTTTCTCTCCTTGCCACGTGAAACAATCGTAAACAGTAAACACTGTCTACGGTGCGGAATAATGTAAATTATCGCGCACCGTAAACATTGTTTATAATTACTTCACGTGCAAAGAGAGAAAATTATATGTCGTGTAACTGATTTGTTAAGCGTCTAGACGAACTGTTAGTAGCACGGTCATTGAATACTAGTTAGTAGTCTAGTAGACATTTCGACTAGTCTGAAATATGTCGTATCTTTATATAAAATATATTTTTTACCTTTAAGCGCCCGGAAGATATCGGCGGTACGGGAGAAGATTATTAAACCGCTCGTAGGAACAAAACTATAGGCGAGACGTCTAAAAGATTTGTTCTTCCTAATCGCGGTTTAATATATACCTACCTATTAAAGTTCTATATCCGAAAAGTATGACTTCCGTAATAGGTAGTGTACCGCAAAAACGCATCTATTCAGAGCTACAGTAGATGTCGGAGGCCTTTGAAAGTCGCAGGATGTTATAACGTCATTAGTAGCCACAAGTTGTATATCTCGGAATTTTGATATCGATGACCTAAGGTCAGGTCAATTTCTCGACCTCCCCATTATAAGTCAATGGGGGAAAATCAACTCCCTGTTTTAACCACTAAAACGGGTCGGAATGGCCCCAATACCATACATGACTTCATATACGATCAACCTTCACTACCTTGGGATCTGTTTTGCTGTTGGGCAGCTGTAAGGTCATGTGACGTCAGCAAAGGTCACCAAAGTTTGTTTTGCCAATAACTCCGTACAGGAACAAGATACAGCCGCGCAGATGGTCTCGTTGTGTTCAGCTCGTCAAGGCGCATCGAATGGTATACATGATGACCTCGAGGTCACGTGACCTGAGGTCAACCTTTGACCTTGACCTTTCGAGGTCAACATATATCATTCGATGCGGATTGACGAGAGGATTACGGTGCTGCCCTTAGTTTGTGCCTATCGTGATTAATACGAGAGTTATTCGAGAAAAACTCTCCATATTTAGCGCCGCCATTTTGACTTTTTTGATCCCTGTGACGTCATCTTTGACCTGACCTGAAGATGACCTTTGTAAAAATTGTAGACCTTATTCGTGCGTACCCCATGCCGTTTACCGCTTGTCGCTATCTTGCTTCGTTCTCGAGATCTCGGGGGGGGGGGGGGGGCGGTCATCCACCCCACCCCACCCCCGTCGGTTCTAAGTTGGCGCAGACCCCCGTCGGTGCGCGGCTTAACATTATCAGCCATCAGGTCAGTGTCATGATGCGATTCGATTTTCAAACCCATATTATAACAGAGGCATCGAGACCCATCAGTCATGAGGGTACCCCGTGCCCATGACATCAACAATAATAATTATCGCTAATGGCCGGACAACGATGGGAACACAGCTAAGCAATTATTGACGAGGAACCGCGATAACTGAGCCTGGACGCACGATAAGCTACGCTTATGCAGTCTCCTGAGACTCTGCTTATCAGGTATGTAAAATAATACAGGCAGGGATGGATCGTTCAATTGTTTTTCTGTTCAGTGCTGTGGAGCGAGTGGTTCATTATAACGCACCAATGGACTAATCAAGAGGTAAACCTGACCACCATCATGGGTGTCGATTTGTATACCTTTGGGGGTGCTGCAGCACCCCCAATGCTCAAATGAGCACCCCCAATGGTTTTCCGGGCACCCCCAATGGTTTTGTCCCTCAATAACTCTGCTTGAGGAAAATAATTGTTCTGCAGTAGTTCACTACTAAAAATAAAACAAGTACGCAATTTACAAGGCATGAAATAAAGATGTAAAGAAAAGAAAATTTAGATTTAAGAAGAAGGGCGAAAAAAAACGTTAAGTTGCAAAGATGGTGTGGGTCCGTCGTACACGGGTGTCGGACCCTTAGAGCTGCTGGCGCGTACCCTTTACAAGCCAGCAGGGGGCTCCAGAGACCGGCGACGGGCCCTCAGAGGCCGGCAAAGGGTCATCAGAGGCCGGTGGTATGTACCTTCAGAAACCCTGTGGGGTCATCTTTAGAGACCGGAACGGGCTCAGGCGCTGATGGGGCCCTCAGAGTCGCCGGTGTGGGGCCTTCAAATGTCACCGGTGGCAGGGTGGCCGTCACATGCGCACTTGTGGGGCCTTCAGAAGCTACGATGTTGGGCCCTCAGAGCCGCCGATATAGGGCCTTAAGAGGCACTAGTGTGGGGCCCTCAGATATGGCAATGTGGGGCCCTCGGACTGGAGGCGCCGGTGTGGGGGCTCTCAGAGACACTGGTTTAGGGCCATCACAGGCGCGCGTTGGGCCCTCAGAACTGCTGTTACGGAACGGATCCTTCATAGGCCGACAAGAAGATATCAAGAGGTCACCGGTGCCTTCAGGAGTCTTGTGGGGTTCTCAGAGACTGGCATGGTGCGCTCAGACGCCGCTGGGACCCTCCGTGTCACCTGTGTGGGGCCGTCAGGGTCGCTGGTAACTGTCAAGGGCCCTCAGAACCGCCCATGTAGGGTTTTTAAAGGCATTGGTATAGGGCCTCAGAGTTAGGGGTGTGGGGCCCTCAGAGACGCCGGTGTGGCGCTCAGGGGCGCCGGTGAGGGCCCTCACAGTCGCCGTTATAGGGGCCCTCAGAGAAATGGGTGTGGGGCCATTACAGGCGGGTGTGCAGCTCCTAGAGCTGGCCCCCTAGAGGCCGGTTAAGACCCCCAGAGGCCGGCACTAGTGGCCCTCAGAGGCTGGCTTGGGGCCCTTATGGAGATCTTAATGTTAGTACTTTTGGGCCCATGAGGTGTTCTTACGAGCCCTGTGGGGCCCTTCTGAGTCCAAATACATATAGCCAACGTGGACCCTCAGTGGCCAATTGGCGCCGCAGTGCCCCTCAGGCCCGAATAATCCGATGGGCCCCTGAACCTGATGGGGCGGGGGGGGGGCTCACGGGCCCACCTGGCTACGCCACTGAGGAAAATCGTAAACCCATAAATATCGAATTGCAATCACCTGTTATTTTTTTCAGCGATTATTGTGATCGTCTGATAAACGCCAGAGCCTCGTAGCTATACCGTTGCCTCCCGCGCAATGTCCGCCCCTGCGGACCGCAGGGGCTGCTGCACCGGTGCTAATCGCGGTCATCGGTTTCTGTCACCTTATTACAGAGGTGTCGGGGCTGCTGCCGAGCTGCCGGCAAATGTACGCGTTTTTTTCGGAAAGATGTTTATGTAATGAGGTAGCCAAGTACTAGGACGAGCAGAATGATTTTGAAGAACGTTCAACCTTTGGGAAATATTAGTGGAAATCCCGGGATTATCAGTACCTCATGGGGATACACAACCATGCCTTGTAGGTACGGTTGTGCCCCATGGCAAAGCTACAATCTTTCACCCGGTGCAGGGGTTGAGCACCCCCAACCATTTTGAAAAATCGACACCCCTGACCACCATCGTAGTCAAGTGCCACCCGCCTCTAAACATGACGTCACTAAAACGTCATTTTTTGCAAGATATTTCCGACGGGTTTCGCTAAAATTTTCAGGAAACATGTCAAATTGATGTATGATAAGGTTCTGAGAGTGTGACGTCACTGGTGTAGCGCGTTTAGAAGTTATTGGCGAAAAACCAGTGCAGCGGGGCGCGAGTTATCAGGCACTGGGGCTCACTTAGGGCTTCAGCTCAGTGCCCAGCCTTGACCTAAAACACAGTTGGAATAAAAATATCCTGTTTAAATCCAAGGTCAGACACCTGCCTACATATGCCCTTTTCAGCGCTGTCTAAACGTCTTCCGAGCACTAACGAACGCGAGAAAACCGTCGGGACGGGGGCACCGGCACCAATCTCTCACGTCTCCCCTCGACGAAGTAGGATTATGAATCCTAGGATATTGGTAACCATAATAAAACTTTTTAGTTTTCCGAATCCTTAGCCAGCAGCTACAGATACAGACGTAACGTAAAGCAACCATCCGGATGGTCTCATCGCAATTATCGCAATTCAATTGAATTACCAAACTCACATTGGAAAAGGCAGATAAAGTTTTCTCCCTAATATGGTAGCACTAATCACGATCTGGCACTTGGTCAAAGGTGAGCATCAGTTGACGAACTTGAACCGTCCCACTTGTGAGTTTTCTGTGATTATTTTTGTTTGGTTTGGAGCTCAAGCTGTTTATGCGCTTGTGTCATATGCTGGGCCGCGCTGGTTATATTTTTATTTTTCTCGCGATGGTGCTGAGCATATTAGCCTCAAGGTCTAGCAAATTCTGCTGGTTTCAAGCCATCCTTGTTCTATCGGGGATGGCTTGGCTTTATGCTCTTAGAATGAAGGATAAATGGAAGAGAATATTTGAATTGGAAGGCAAGGTAAGTTTATTAGTGTGGTATTTTCTTGTCTGTAGTTTTGGCTCGACTGTTTTAAGTTCCATCACTATTCGCTGGTTTTGGTTAATTTTGTTTCCACATTTTACGACTGCAACTCATTGGTTGAAAGAGCTAGCTTGAGCTAACTCAAACAGGCTACCTATGCTAACAGATAATGATCATAATTATTTGCCTTATTGTTATGCCCAGGCTCCACTACGGACACTACATGATTCTCTGTGCGATTTTGTGATAATGCGAGAATGCGAAGCCCTTGGAGATGCCAGAACATGTTCATCTCATGATCTAGTGCAAAGGGATGCGCTGAGCCACACTGCGGAAATTGCATTATTAAATGTCAAGCAATATTGCTCATGCATTATTGCATTATCTCAAAAAAGTTCAGAATTCTGAACTTTTTTCAAAGCCACTGTGTACATACGATGTATGTTATAACCACCCTTGAACCACTGCCATTTCTAGCTGCTCCGGAAATCCACTGATATGTCGCTGACACCTTTCTTCACCCTGATACCTCCCACCCCCATATCCATATGCCTCTCTTACCATTATGCCTTTCCTGACACCTTCCTTCACCCTGATACCTCCAATATCCATATGCCTCCCTTACCATTATGCTTTTCCTGACACATTCCTTCACACTGATACCCCCCCCCCCCCATATCCATATGCCTCCCTTACCATTATGCCTTTCATTTTCACACCCTTATGCCTCCCATACCCTCATCCCTCCCATACTGCCATACCTGACCCTGGTGCCTTCCATGCCCTAAAGACCTCCCGGCTCCCATGCCATAATTTCTGACCGTAATACCCCCCTAACCCCTCAAGCCCACTACACAAATACCTTCCCTTATCATTGAAGCACACTGCCATCCCTTCCCTACCTAAAAAGCCCACGTCCCTAACACTTCCTGTCCTGTAGTTCAGTTGGTACAGCATTGGAGGCTGGTAGTGAGGGCCCGGGTTAGAGTCGCTCCAGCTCTCGATGTTTGAGACTCCTGACGGGGATGGTCTGCGGTTGTTGGGAGCAGCCGCAGCCAGTTGAATGAAGTCAGTTGAGTGGGACAGTCCGTGTCCGGCTTTGAAGGGCACGTTAAACTTTGGCATCTAAATTCTCCCTTTACCCGGAATTGCGCGATCCGAATGAAGGGATCAGGGTCTACGCAAGTTACAAGCTCTGCTTAGCGTGGGCTCCGGCTCCGTCAATCCGTCCATTCAAACATTCGAGATAAATTTATTTTAAAAAAACTTCCTGCTCTAACGTCCAACTCCTGTAGCACCACTCCTAACCCCTGCACTGAACTCCACTGCCCTTATGCTCCATCCTTAAAGCCCACTTTACACCTCCCCTCACGTCCCTTACCGCAGGTAGTGGTGCTGACGGGCGCCAGCTCGGGCCTGGGCGAGGCGCTGGCCCACCGACTGTACGCGGCTGGCTGCCGGCTGATCCTGCTCTCCCGCCGTGTGGACCAGCTGGAGAGGGTCAAACAGGAGGTCATGATGGCACACAGGGTGAGTACCGCTACAGCGAGGTCGGCGGGCGGACCCCTAAATGGGATCCGAATGTGCTTGATTGGGGTGAGTGACATTGGGAGGAAATTGGTGGTGGTGAAGTGATGAATAATGGATAGTCAAGTTTATTATTTTAATCATGACAATTGTTGGTTTACTTGGATTGTTTGGAAATATAAAATTCGCGAAAAAGCCATCGTCGATGATTTTTTTTCAGTCCGGGCATGCTGACACTCAATTTATTTTTGAATAATGAATGCTTTTGAAATGAAGCATCACAAGCCAATTTACTATTTAGTTAAACTTAACAGATAGAAGAGCCTGTATGCACAGACCTAGTGTGATACATTGGCCTTGTAATAACTCATCTTTTTTATCATTCGTCATACAGTTTACCTTAGAGGGACTATCCCACCTTTAACATGGGGTTTGAGTTGAGATAGCCAAGTTTGCGGCGAGGTTCAGAAACCACTATCTATCTAGGTTGCAACCCCCGCGGCCTCTTGGTGTTGAAGAAATTCGTTCCCTTCATTTGAAAATGGGCCTTGTACAAGGCCCTATCTTCAACATGGAGCGACCGTTAGTGTGACGTCACCTCGTTTAGTCATTCTGATTTAAATGGGTTTGTTCGTGGAAAAATCGCTTAAAACTTGGTCTGAACTTTGTTGTGGTGCCTACAGAGTAAAAAGAATCAGCTTTATGACAGTAATGTGGCCTGGGGAAGGAGGTAATTTTGGGCTGTGACGTCACATATTTGAAAGTTTGTGTTTGGAATATGGGAAGCCTAAGATGTTTAATGAAAAATAAATGCCAGAACCGTGTTCCTGGTCATCCAATCTATAAAGTCGGGCACAATTTAACTGGTTTTAACAACATTTTAGAAGGTGGGATAGTCCCTTTAAAGGGACCCTCCCACCTTCAAAAAAGTTTATGAATTGGCATGAAAGTGATGTCGCTCGGTTCAGAAAGAGCGAAAACGAATATCTACCAAATTTCACCGAAAAATATTCACCGGTTTTCAAGATATTAGACTTTTACTTTTGTTTACTTTTGTTGGGATCTTCGCTGTTTCTAGCGACTTTATTTTAGAAGTGCGGCGTTTGCGGCAGATGTTGCGCGCAAATAGCATATACCACCGCGTGCTACAAAACGTTTTAGTCAAACATTTAAAAATCGTTAGATATTTGCGCTGACGTCACACATTCAGAGGGGTATTCCTAAGCATTAGCCCCTCTGAATCAAAATGCTGCAATTTTGAAATTCAATATTTCCGATTTAAGGCATTTCTCGATGTTGTGAGTGCCGAAACCGGTAATTGTGAGCCAGGGACCCCATTTTGGCTATCTCAACTCAAATCTAATGTTAAGGTGGGAGGGTCCCTTTAACCGCATTCGCCATACATGATTTTCATCTTTTATCTAGAACTAGAATGCTGGCTTTTGCCAAGTTCCGGGTGCTCCGTTATGGCATGTCGCTGATTGTGCAACTTTATTTGCGATGTAGACTCGTTAATCCCGCCGTTATCGTGTCGATGATGCATTAACAATCAAAAAGACTCGCCAAGCTGCATTCATTTTACACGACTATCCGGCGCAGCGTCCATTGCGTGAACAGAATATCCTGGCAACTTTCTAGTCACTTTTTCTGTCTGCCTAAATCATCGAACGTCGAGTGAGTGGAAGTCTATGGCCAGCTATGACGCGCAGGACCTGGCGAATAATTCACGAACCAACCAGCCAAATTGGAGGGTTTGCCATAACCAATTTAAGCTGAAAGCCGAGAGAACCGCATGTGGCCAAATGCGTCGTCCTCCCGGAGTCAGTAGAATTCTCGACACAGACGTTAATTACATATAATTACATATATATTAATTACATAATACGTGGGTAAGTTTCTGACTACTGACCGTTTCCCGGTCAGTAGTCTGAACATTGAATGATGTATCACTGACTGACGCTCCGTCCCCTGTACAGAGGGCCACCGTGTACCCGTCCGTGGTACTGTCCCTTGCGCACACTGTAACACTGACTGCTCCTGTGGTACACTGTGTACCCTGTACAGAGGGCCACCGTGTACCCGCCCGTGGTACTGTCCCTGGCGCACACTGTACTGACTGCTCCTGTGGTACACTGTGTACCCTGTACAGAGGGCCACCGTGTACCCGCCTGTGGTACTGGAACTGGACCTGGCACAAACCCAGTCAGCGCAGCAGGCGGCGCGGGCGGCTCTGGCCGTGTTCGGACATGTGGACATTCTCATCAGTAACGCCGGAATCAGCTACAGGTAGGAGGTGGCGCAGACGCGCGGTAACTATTTGTAAATGGGACATTTGTAAGATATAAAAGGGACTCAAAGGCTCAGAGCTTGTGATCAGCGAAAGCGAAGATCAAATCAGCCGGCTTAGTGAGGACAATTATAATAAGAAACTGATCGAAGCTCTCGTTTTGGTAAAACATTGGGTGTTTTATATGCGTAGGTTTCAAATGCGCATGCTATATTGGGTCAATTTTTATAGCAAAGGGTAGTGTGATTTTAATGATACTCGAGTTTGAAAAAGCCCCAGTGATTATTACGACTCAACTGAAATGAAAACATCAAAACAAAAACAAAACCAATGAAGCTACACCATTCAAGTGTCTAAAACACTCTCACCCCCGTCGCCCTCTCCCTGACAGAGGCGAGGCGTCCGAGACGACGCCGTCGGTGGACGCCCAGCTGATGCAGGTCAACTACCTGGGTCAGCTGGCAGTGCTGAAGACGCTGCTACCCTCCATGTTGGAGCGGCGCGCCGGTCACCTGCTCTGCGTCAGCTCCGTCCAGGGCCGCATCGCCATACCCTATCGGTGAGAGTTTTGTGTTAGTGTTGGGCGATGTCCAGGGCCGGATCGTCATTCCTTATCGGTGAGATTTTTGTGTCAATGTTGGGCTATGTTTGGGGGCGGATCGCCATTACCCTATCGGTGAGAGTATTGTGTCAATGTTGGGCGATGTCCAGGGCCGGATCGCCATACCCTATCGGTGAGAGTCTTGTGTCAATGTTGGGCTATGTTTGGGGGCGGATCGCCATTACCCTATCGGTGAGAGTTTTGTGTTAATGTTGGGCTATGTCCAGGGCCGGATCGCCATACCCTATCGGTGAGAGTTTTGTGTCAATGTTGGGCTGTATTTGGGGCCGGATCGCCATACCCTATCGGTGAGAGTTTTGTGTTAATGTTGGGCTGTGTTTGGGGCCGGATCGCCATACCCTATCGGTGAGTTTTGTGTCAATGTTGGGCTGTGTTTGGGGCCTCCTCGTCATTCCCTATCGATGGGGGGGGGGGGGGTACAGTACGACGATAACTGAGGAACATGAAATGTCTCTGTCAGTATCTTAGGATGTAGCATTTCCTTTGTATGCTGCAGGGTTGGCAGGGGGTGGCAAAAACTGGTTTTTGCCAGTGGTTTTAACCGGTTTAAACCGGCTGGCAGAAACCCTGGTGGCAAGAACTGGCAAAAACTGGCTAAAACTCAGATGGCCAAACCTACAACTTTTCTAGTTAGGAATGGATTTGAAATGTACAAATGCATTTCTGGTAGTTATATAGATGCACTAAACATTCTAAAGCTGCCTCACTACTTATCCCTGCTTAAAATGTCTATGCATGTCGGTAGACATCCACAACGGAACATATTTCCATGTAGGGGAGAGTGGGGCAAGACAGCCACGGTAAGTAAGGTGCCATGCGGTGCCGTGCGCATATCAGTGGCAGATGCCCCTTCGCACTTCTGATTGTGCAGGACTCACCCAGTCACCCTTGCACTGGCTCATTTGTCACCCCAAAAGGCATCTTACTAGCTCCTTATGGAAAGCCCATGAAAATGTTTGAGTTATGAAGCATTTCATTCTTAGGTGCTGTTTTTATCCGCTGGGACTGAGAGCGTGAGATGATGTTTTTCGTACTCCAGCGTAGATGGGTACGATGGGAAGTCGTATGGCTACCCATCTACGCTGGAGTACGAAAAACATCATCTCATGAAGCATTTCAATGGTCAATGTCACTTCTGTTTGAAAGCATAAAGCTTTCACCGAATTCTCCTTCAAATGCTTCATGTTCAAATTCATGTCCAAGCATAGCATTGTGATATTTCTTAGTTTTTGCCAGTTTTTGCCACTTTTTGCCGGTTAAAACCGGTTTAAACCAGCAAATGGCATAAACTAGTTTTTGCCGGCAAAAATGCCAACCCTGGTATGCTGTGATCTATCGTTTTGTTTAAAGGCTGAAACAGACTCTTTCCGCGTTCAGGAAATCGCATGCGAGAGCCTATTCAAATACATTGTAATTCTTCTCGCATCAATCGCTTGCGGGAGGTGCGTGCGATTGATGCGAGCGTGCTTCCATGTATTTGAATAGGCTCTCGCATGCGATTTCCTGACTGCGGAAAGAGTCTGTTTCAGGCTTAAGTCAGCTGCATTTTGATTTGGTGTGAGTCATATTGTAACCTGCACAAAGTATTTCTTCTTACACTGCCAAACGATGTATACGAGTACGGGTAATCATATGTTCATTGGTACCTGTATTTCGCACACATTAATTAATTAATTATCTACTCAGACCCATAATCATTATCATGCTCCTCTATCTCATTCCTCATTCACCATGCATCTCACGGCTCGGCCCTCTCTTCTCTTTACATGGTATGATTCAATCACCTAACGCCCCCCCCCCCCCGCCGTACAGGTCGGCCTACGCCGCGTCCAAGCACGCCCTGCAGGCGTTCTGTGACTCATTGCGGGCAGAGGTAGCCGACAGAGGCGTACTGGTGACCGTGGTATCACCATCCTACATACGAACGGAACTCTCCAGGAACGCGGTCACCGCCACCGGCGACGCTTATAACAGTGAGAGACGAATGGCGGGATGGGGTTTGGAGGATTGCTATGCGGTAGGAATGGGCGTGGTGTTAGTGGGTTAAGCTTGGAGGAAATACGCTGGAAAGGGTATATAAGTATGACAAGGGATGGTAAACTAAACAAGGTTGATATCTGTTGGTTTTGCATATTTTTCGTTGTCGGTGTACCGTTTACCAAAGTGCACCACATTTTGATATACCATATTTACCTTCTGGATTTTATTTTATCGGGTGTTATGTTCTTGCAGCACACTCGAATTTTTAATTTCATGACGTAATATCCCATATCCCCCGCCTGCCTGCGTTAGAACTAGCCCTCACTCCCTGGTAGTTCCAACACTTGACACCCCCTTCCCCCTCTTTCAGAGCTGGACGCCACTACTGCGTCCGGTATGAGTACCGACGAGGCCGCCGACCGTGTGTTGGACGCGCTGCTACACCACCGACCCGAAACCCTGATATCGCCGCTCAAAGACCGGCTGGCCGTCCTCCTCAGGCATCTGGTGCCGAGCGTGTTCTTTTGGCTGATGGAGAGGCGCGCCCGCGCCGGAACCGGTAGACCCGGTAGATGAGGGTAGAGGAAGGTAGGGTGAGGGGTTAGGATAGAATCGGGGAGGGGGCGTTGGTGAGATGGTTACAACGAGTGCGGGCCTGGGTACTAAGTTATGAGACGAGCTTAGGAGTGGGAAGCGCGGGGAGAGAGAGAGAGAGAGAGAGAGAGAGAGAGAGAGAGAGAGAGAGAGAGAGAGAGAGAGAGAGAGAGAGAGAGAGAGAGAGAGAGAGAGAGAGAGAGAGAGAGAGAGAGCGCTGATTTAATGACCATCAAGAGGAGCTCAAATATATGAAAGGGTGGGGCTCATGGGGGAGGTGTAGAAGGTAGGCAGAGGAAGGGATGGCGCTCACGATTCACGGGCTCGAGCCCTCAGACGTGTCCGATGTTCATATAGGTAGCCCTCAGCTGCACGATCGATCGTCGCTGAAATTGTTTACACACACACACGTATTTGTGTGCTCGTGCGTTCGGTGCGTACACTTATAGTGAAAGGGTCGGCTCAGTTAAATACTCTAGTCGAATGCTCGTCATTTGTTACATTTGGCCATGGCGTATGAAATGGGCAGCTGTTATCTGCTCATTGTTATTCCTTGTTATGGGTATTTATTCTGTGATTTACCTGGGTTTTCTGTTTATATACAGTTACGTAGCACAAAGCGAGGTGTTTGTTGGTACTAGTTTGGCATTAACAGCCGGGCAGATCGCAAACCACTGCAACTACATTGGACCAACGTCTGGTACCTGCCCAGCTTTTCATGATATGATTCACAGTTGAGTTAGAAACACAAAACTCTAGTAGTTTGTAGGGAAGGGATGAATCATTGGCTCAGGAAGCCCGGGACGAGATTGGACTCTGGGCCATGGGTCGGAAGACGCTAGTAGTCTACCAAGATATGAAGAAGATATCAAGAGTGAGAGATCAATTGTGCCGTGCAAAGGCAAAAAAGATAGCGTTAGGATGACCTCTGACGTGTCGTAATGGCCCTGACCTGACGCAATCGTTTTGCCCTTGTACCGCAGAATTGATATATCAAGGGGGAGGGGTAGTAAGTAATCTTTAGTATAATCAAAATCCTAGTTATAGTTGCATTTCGCCAGTCCCAACAAGAATAATGAAAAAGTTTCAGAACTGATTGTTCAATACACAGATTCCGTCGTACACAGTGTCTATTGCTAGTTGACACACGGTCATACAGCATACAATAACAACACACAGCACACTTCGACAGATCCGTTGTCAATCCATCGCACGCAACTAGTGACAAGAATAATACCATGTATGTTTATACTAAGCATTCAGCGATACACACACTAAAACGCTTCATGGCACAAGATGCTAGTGAAGATAGTGATAACACTACCGTAGTGCACGCTACACACTCACAAGTCACAGTCCTAACTCACACTATCCGTCGCACACAACACTCAGGACGCGTAATTAGACACTACTAGTCATACTCGACATATTTTGCCGAGCAATTTGGTCGATTTGCTCAGCAGTGTGAGAACAAACAACAAAATGTTACATCAGACTAGCAAGAAGAATACTATGGAGGAATATGCTCATTGCTGGGACATGGCTGTAAATATTGTTGAAGGCTAACAATCTACTCAAGGTTTCCAGCCAGCACCTAGGTTAAGTCGCACAAGAAACAATAAGTGATCATTACCGCACGCTAGCCGCACACACGCTCGTGTTATTGTACTACTCAAATTGTACATCAACTGGTGCACACATAAAACGCTATAAAAATGGTTATGAACAGTGCAATCATGCTACTAAGAAACGTAAGCTGTATGGCATGTGCAATGTGCAATGTACATACGAGTTGCTTGGCGGCAAGCCCGATGAGATTATGTACAATATCTGAACAACGCTCGATCCAGATTGGATGAAACTATGGACTTCAGAGTCTCCGCTTCCATCGGACTCTGGCCCCAAGTGGAATTAGCCAAGGCGTTACCGTAACGATAAGCCGCGACGCATCATCGGAGTGAACGTTGAACTGTGGACTCTGTATGACTAAAGCATGAGCGCTTCAGTTACCAGGGGTTACTAAGGAAGGTACGCGAGGCAATACCGGGTGAGAACATCATGGGAAATTTGAAGGTCAGCAAATAGTTTGCAAGACGAAATTAACAAATGGTCGCACGAGAAATGAACGAACTATCAGATAACAGGTGTTATGAAAAATCACTTATTATCAATGGAATGTTACATAAATGGAGTCAGTGAATGGAAAATCACCTGATAATTATCGGGAATGCTTCGATATAAGTCAGCTAAAGTACCAACTAGCAAAATACGTACATCGACGTTAGCATCTGCACACTCAATACAGCATGTCATCCGGTCAAAACACGCAACCGCGTTCAAAAGCAACCACCGCACGCCCGCCTCACAAATCAGCAGGTGAGGTGGCTGGGGGTGGCAGCGGAGGAGCGTTCTCCTTCCCCTGCCTCCCCGACCACAGGGCACGGGCCGCCTCCTTTAGACTGGGCCGCCGCGCCACCGCCGCTGGGGTCACCGCATACCGTCTACCGGCCGGCTCAAACCGGCTACGGAGGACGGAAAACTTGCGACGTGGGCTGGCGGCGGGAGCGGGGCGGTTGACGGTGGCAGCGGGATGGTTGGCAGCGGCGGGGCGGTTGGCAGCGGCGGGGCGGTTGGCAGCGGCGGGGCGGTTGGCGGTGGCGGCGGGACGGTTGACGGCGGCAGCGGGGCGGTTGGCAGCGGCGGGGCGGTTGGCGGTGGCGGCTGGGCGGTTGACGGCTGTCGTAGAACGATTAGCGGCGGCTAGCGGTGGACGATTGCTGGACGCTGCAGCGGAGGCTGGGGCCGTGGAGGGGAGAGTTACCTTTCCTGGCCCCCGTTCAGAGGCCGCCGGGCCGGCCGGTAAACCCCCATTACGGCGACCCGTCCTGACCGGTCGAGCGTAGATAGCCTCTGGCGGAGAGCGCGGACACTTGTAGTCGCCACTAGCGGCGGTAGGCGGCGCCACCAGTAGCCCTGGATCAAAGCTAGTGTTGAGCAGCCGTCTGCCACGAGAGGGCGCTGCTGCGGCCGCAGCCGGCGCGGACACCAAATCATCCGTAGACCTCGAGCGTTTTGGCGGCGAACTGAACAGCGCCGAGACTCCTGACCGTTCCACAGCGTCAATGGTGGCGACCAGAAGACTCGCATCCTTTCCACCACCGCCAGCGGGCTCCAGATCCTTCTCAGAGCCATCCTCCAGATGCTCGATCATCAGCGCCACATTATCCGTGTTCTGGTAGGTGTGCCTGCCCTCCCCCGCCCCGTCCCCCTCGGCCGAGACCGACCCCTCCAGCCGCCCGGCTCTCTCCGTGATCACGCTATAATCATGCGCGCTATCCCCGACGTCGGAGTAGGTCCTCCAGGCGCGCACGCCGGGCTCAGCGCGGAGCACGGCCGCAGAGATGATGTTCTCGTAGTCGGGGGGAAGTCCAGAGGCCGTCGAGGTGACTCGACTGTGGTTAGCCACTGTTGAATCGCCGTCATCGCCTCTGACATCGCTTCTGGTATCGCCTCTCGAGCTACCATCGCTTCTGCGACCCCTGCCTTCGCCCCCGCCTCCAATAACAACCCCATCGCTTCCGACCCCGCCTAGTTTGGAGGAGGGCGGAGGCGGGGTTTCGGCCGCCGGCTGCAGGGTTACATCTCCCTCAGAGACAGAGTCCAGCTGGGGGATGTCCGAGACGCGTCCCGACGCAGCTGCCGGAAAAGAAAAAGAGACGGGGTTATAATGGAGGGCGTGACACCTTGTAGATAATACTTCAGACAAGATTATCTAAACAATGTACCTCAGAGAAGACGTGAGATTCATTAAAGCACAGTTAAATAATCGCACATTGATACCATTGTGAACATGATTGCTTATAAATGCGTGAGCTGATTTAAGCCGTTGAAACTCCGACTCGGATACGTAGCGAACCAGGCACTAGTGACCGACCCAAACCCATTCGGGCCATATCTTATCATCATAAACATTGAGAAATTTTCCCTCCCAAGACCTCCCTGCCCACCTGAGTCGTTGTTGCGCTGCAGAATAGCCGTCGCCGATTGATTCCGCCTCTCTCCGGCCGTCACGTGACCTCTACCGGCCGGCAGGCTGACTGCCGACCGGGAGGTCACGTGACCGGCCGCGGGGGCCAGCAGCTCCGAGGCCATGTGGAACGGGCGGTCGGACGGCGGCTGTATGGCCGGAGTTGGCGAACCGCCGCCGGCCTCCGATGACGTCACAGGACCGGGCTGTGACGTCAGCGAGACACCGCCGGCCGACCGGAGGCTGGGGAGAAAGGGGCGTGGTCAGAAATAAGCCACGTGGTCAGATTTGAAAATGAATATCACGTGGTTAGATACCAGATCATTGCTGTAGCTCTGCTATAACTAGAATATAATATGGCTCAGACTGCCGAGTTCCAAGATCCAGTCTCCGAAACATTGCCACTCGTCACTCTGTACCAAATACATTGCGTGAAAATGTTTATTACACAGCTCATTGATCCACCTACCAACATCAGACACCGTATATTTAAACATTTCACAAGGATCCAACTGTATGCTTATTTCTTATCTGTCCTAATAATATAAGACGTCAGATACCTACTACGATCATCTGTACTACGATTAAAAAACATCATACTTGCACCGTGGCTCTTGCTTACAAATAAATAGTTCACATTCGGTTCCCATAATCATGCTCACAAACCGCAATCTGTGCTCAGTTTATTAGTTGATTAATGTCATCGTCGACGGGGTTGACCATGGACGAAATCTAACCATAAATCAATACTTTCTAAAAGACAATCACCATAGACACCTCTACACCAGAGGTCTAAGTGACAGGTGTACAGAGGCCTACCCGCTCACAAATCCACACCCCATCCTTCTAAGAGCCACCTCTATATTGTGTGTCGACTGTCGACCAGCCACTAAGCCCACACCTCTCGACTCTTACCTGACTGCCGACACTCGTCCAGCGGCGTGTCCTTTGAGGGAGCGCAGAGTACCCGTATGGGCCGCCCCCGTCCCGGCCCCCTCCGCAGGGTTAGCGGTGGTGGGAGGAGGACCCCAGCCCGGGGCCGAGTCGGTCGGACGCGCCGCGGCGTTCGGGTGGAAGTGCATGTAGTATATCAGCAAGAGAAAGGTGCCTGGCGGCGAGGAGCGATGTCATCCGGGAGAAAAATAATACGTAATGTAAGATGATTAACATGCAATTTTCATCTGGTGTTCGGAGAAATATGTAATATCCAGGCGGTTTCTGCAAGATTCACAAAATATATCAGCTGCAACGAACCAGTTTGAAATAGTTACCATGGATACCTATTTAGATACCTATGTGCCACAGTTGAACACTCAGCTATAGTATGAGCTATACGATAGTATGATACACAGCTGAACACACGTGGCCCGCACGCAGCACTCACCCAGCGCCGTTCCTGCTGCTACGTTAGCCAGCAGTACCGTATACAGAGCCTCGCCAGGCCGGGGCCAGTACAGGAAAAAGGCCACTGCCAGCGCCGCGTCCTCGGCAAATAACAGCGAGTAGAAGGCCAGCATACGCCACCGGGCCGGCGACTCCTGGGGAACGGCAGAGGTCAGTGAGGGGTTTTGGTGGGGCTCTAGGTAGCCTTAGATGTTAGTCACTGATACACTAATTTGCGGACAAAAGTATGCATTGCTGAAGCACGTTGGACTTAAGTGCATACGCAAATGTTCGTTCGCAAAAGTAAGACTAGGTAAAGGCAAAAGTACGTATCGCTAAAAACCTCTAGCTAATCCGACCCAACCTAACCTTAGGTCAGGTTACCATGGATACCTATACCCATCCTAACCCAACATAAACCAGCCTAACCCAAGTAATAACTAGCATAACTTTTTATCTACGCATCATATGCCCTACGAATAGTTGCAATGCATACTTTTGTCCTACGTACATTTGCTGAATTACATTTACTAAAACGAAGATTTGCAATACGTAACGCAACCCACCAGTACATACAAATACTGATGTAAGTCACCATTCACTGTGACTGTAATTCGTCATCTTATTATGCTATCAAACAGAGTAAGACAATGTATAAAGGGTGGACATTAAGCACAAGTTAATGAGTGAAAAATACGCATAATAAATACCATAGCAGCTGTTGAGTAGGCATACAGTAGTTCATGTAAGCGTGAAGGGACACTTCCCTCCAGCTTTCGTTTTGGTATTATTACCTCAAACATGCAGGTAGATAAGTGAGCTGAGCACCAGGAAGGTCAGGCCAGAGGTCGCCCGGCCGGTCACGGGAGGTCAGAGAGGTCACCCGCCGGTCACCAGAGGTCAGAGGGGTCACTGTTCGGCCAATGGAATGGCAGTCGCCGACACCTGTTTCGAAAGCACACCATGCAGACAGACACAAGGACAGAATATGAAGTCACTGCATATGTAGCTGTGTAAATAAGAAGACAGATGTGCCACCATTTGGCATCAAGAACCATCACCGACATGCACAAGATGCACAAGTTGTTTTAGTCAGCCAATATTTTGAAAGCTCACAATATTTTCCTCGTTCTCGGACACATAGTGATGACGTGTGCGTGCGAAGATGCACATAACGCGTATGTACTCATCGAGCACTGCCAGTAATTCCATCGTAGTTAAAAACATGCAATAGTTTTGACAGCTCCTGCCATCCTAATCCTCATGCTGTTGTGCGATGTTGATTTCATGTTGGCACTGTGCAATGCAGATGCAATATAGGTATGAAATATGTATCCACTCATGTAGACCCGGGTGCGATTCAACCGTTCGAAGCAATTCGAAACCATTCCAGCCATCACCACTATAAACCGATTGTCATGCTGATAAGAGAGCGGATTTATTTATATCGCACTAATAACGGACTTCACCAATCTCCAGTTCCACCCACCTCGACTTAAGAACATTGACCGAAGGACATTGACCAATCGGACAAGGCCATCGAAGGACATTGACGTTGTCGTTGACCCACCTTGTCGTTCCCATTGACCCACCTAAGGACATTGCCATTGCCGTTAGCCCACCTTACCGTAACTTGCCGTTGTCCCACCTAAGGACGTTGCCGCTGACCCACCTTGACGTTGAAGAAGCAGAAGCAGTAGATGCCGCCGACGATGACGTTGAAGAGTCGCTCCTCCCACTGGTTGGGGAACAGGTCCGTGCGCTGGAGGACCACCCAGACCGTCATCAGCAGCCAGTGGGCGAGCAGCAGCAGCAGCAGCCAGCCGCCCAGCAGCAGGGCGCAGCACAGCAGCGCGGACACCCGCGCCAGCAGCAGGCACAGACGCCACAGCAGCTGGAATCACAGATACACAGCCGTAACAGCAGCTGGAATTACAGATACACAGCCGTAACAGCAGCTGGAATCACAGATACACAGCCGTAACAGCAGCTGGAATCACAGATACACAGCCGTAACAGCAGCTGGAATTACAGATACACAGCCGTGACAGCAGCTGGAATTACAGATACACAGACGCCACAGCAGCTGGAATCACAGACACACAGCCGTAATAGCAGCTGGAGTTACAATATACACAGCCGTAACAGCAGCTGGAATCACAGATAGACATTGCACAAGATGACATTGCAGACATTGCACAAGACTGCACCGTTAAGCAGCTGAAATCACAGATACACAGCCGTAACAGTAGCTGGAATGAACACACGGCGGTCGGAGTGAAAGGAAGGAAAAAGTAAACGAATAAAAATGAATCATGATTTTAAAGGAGACATAACAGTTCTGCAAATGACAATGGAGGAAGAATTAGAGACCTTACACGGCAGAGTACGAACGGAGTTACTTTTTGATATATACTGGAATTTCGCCACCAAAAGAAAATTGCTGGATGCAAATTACTACGCTCACAAAGATTCGCGAGCTACCAATAAATATAAGCTTCCACAGCCACGGACCGTTGAAAAGTAAAGTCCGAGTAAATCTGACCTCACCACAGCCGAGTACAGCCCACAATCAGCTCAGCTCAGCTCACTCACCTGCAGGAACGCAGCCGCTCCGCCCAGGGGCAGTTTGTCCCCCCGCGAGAGGCGCATCCACTTGGCGTACGAGGCGTTACTCCAGGCCAGTGCAAGGAGCGCCAGTGCCGCGCTCACCCCTGTAGGGAGTAGTGGTGGGCTGGAGACACTGGACGGTGCAGATATAATACTGGCAATACGGCGCTCTTACAGTCGCGCTCATTAGGGTCTGTATGGGGTATCGTAAGTTTACTGTCTTGCAGGAACAGCGTGATTTAGAGGCAATTTTAATACTGAAAGTAATATGCAAACTAAACCGGCTTTCTTCGTAAGCCCGCTGTTTCATAACCAAATTGTAATAAGACATTGTAGCGTTTCATGTCACACTACCTTACAGTACAGAACAGCTAAGGAGTGACAAGGCTCTTCACATTTGGCGAAACACCATCATAAAGAAGCACGACAATTGACAGCCCCTTTATACCTGGTGTCAAGGCCATATATAGTCCTGGTGTCGATGGGGTTATAAGTCGAGTGCCTTTAGAGTTTGCCGATGCTACTGACAGGCGTCCTTCTAAAGCCTGAAACAGACTCTTTCCGCAGTCAGGAAATCGCATCCGAGAGCCTATTCAAATACATGGAAGCACGCTCGCATCAATCGCACGCACCTCCCGCAAGCGATTGATGCGAGAAGAATTACAATGTATTTGAATAGGCTCTCGCATGCGATTTCCTGAACGCGGAAAGAGTCTGTTTCAGCCTTAAAACGTTTGCCCTGTTGACTGATGATATATTCGGTTTTGTGACGATATCACGCTGAATGAATCACGAGACACGACACAAAGCAGTTATTGTATGCGAATTGCGTATAACATCACGTAACTGTAGTGGCGCCTTAACCAGCAACCACCACCACCAAAGTCCGGCACATCGCTATGCCGTCACATTCCCACACTGCACCCACATGTGGGATGTATGGGAATGTGGAAAGACTGCACCCACATCCGTCCCCACACACGGCTGTGTCCAGGGCTGCGGAGACGGAGTCGGAGTTAGAGTCGGTCGAAGTCGACAGTTCTGCCCGGAGTCGGAGTCGGAATCACCAAAATCTTACCGACTCCGACTCCGGAGTGGAAGTTAACGCTGCATGGCTCAATGCCATGCACTTCACCTGTTTGATTGACGATACTGCGCTCGAAATTAGATTTTGTCGAAAAAAGGCCATTTTGCTGTTTTAGACGAACGTTTTCAGAGAAAGAATCAGAAGACGGTGAATGCCCCAGAACCTACTTTTTAATTCTTCATGTTATTTTAATGCATATTTGCAACGCAAAGGCTTGGAACGCACAAGGGATCGTTTCAGGCAAGATTGAAACATCTCCATTATGAACTTCAATATCATGATATAGATTTTAATGGAGCCGTCCGAAGTCGGATTCGGAGTCGATTTTTAAAGCCGGAGTCGGAGTCACCCTAAAGTCCATCGACTCCGCAGCCCTGGCTGTGTCTCTGCTCTGTAGCATCCTCTGCATCCTCACCAACCCCCTCACCTTGAACCAGCTGCCAGCCGTCCTCTGTTGACGTAACGTACACCTGCAGAAGCAGCTGCGGCGCAGACTCGAGGTAGCCGAGGAACAGCGACAGCATAGCGACGTCACTGCTCTGTTGGAGGTACAGCTGTGGAGAGAGAGAGAGAGAGAGAGAGAGAGAGAGAGAGAGAGAGAGAGAGAGAGAGAGAGAGAGAGGGGGGAGAGGGAGAGAGAGAAAATCAGTTCCTGGCGGTCAGTCATTCATCCTATTCACGGTAGTGTGTAATTGTGTCTACAAAAGTTTGGGTGCTTGCTGCTTGGGTGATTGTCTTGCGAAAATCATGCTTTTATTCCAAATCATTCAGTGCGGGAAGACAGACAAGAGCCTGCATAACAACTGACACCATTTCCGTGTTTGCAAATACAGCCTCCACCACGCTTTGCTATGAGGAATTATAGACCCACTGTCATTCATGCCCTCATTATCAAGCTCGTCCTCATGTCACTATGTGACTATACCCCATTGGCAGAGCTACCCCGTCGGCTCATCCCACCGTGCCCGAGCAGGCGAACAGTGTCCAAATCCAAGGCCCATGATGTGTCCCCACCCCGTGTCCGTGTGTCCAGATCCCGTTTCCGTATACGGACTACGTGTCTATATGAGCCCGAATCCTGTATCCGTGTATCCAGATCCTGAGTCCGTGTGTCCAGATCCCGTGTCTATGTTTCCGTATAACGTATCCATGTGTCCAAGTCCCTTGTCCATGTGTCCGTATACAGCGTACGTGTATATGGGTCCTGTGCCCGAACTCCGTATAGCCAGACTCTGAGTTATGTGTCCATATCCCGTGTCCGTATATCCGGGTTCGCGTGTCCGGATTCCGTGTCCCGGTCTGATGTTCGTATCCCGTGCCCGTATGTTAGGACCCGTATCCGTATGTGCGGACTACGGGGTCCGTGTGCCCATATATCCGGATCCCGTGCCCGTGTGTCCGGAATCCAAGTTCCGTGTGTCCATATATCCGGATCCAGTGCCCATATATCCGGATCATGTGTCCACTGTCCATATATCCCGATCCCGTGTCCGCCGGCTCACCATAGCGTCCCCGTCGGTCCGCGACTTCCTCCACCGTCTTCCATCGGAGAACTGAGTCACCAGCCTGCGAACAGATGGAGCGGGACGGGGACGCGTTAGAGCGTGACGCTACAGGCGCTCTGTGGGCAGTGTAGCCGGTGTAGCTAGTTACATGCAGGGTTGCGGAGTCGGGAGCCGGAGTCGGTCGAAGTCGACATTTCTGATCGGAGTAGTCGAAGTCTGAGTCGATTTTGATAACCGGAGCCGGAGTCAGAGTCGGAGTCACCGAAAATCCACCTCGGGTCAGAGTCGGCAGGAGAAGGCAGTTCAGCCCAAATTCAGAGGTGGTTTTTGAAAGCCGGGGTCGGGATAGGAGTCATCGAAAATCTATCGACTCCGCAGCCCTGGATGTGCTATATGCGTTCTATGTGATGCATACACACATGCAGCGTGGTTACAACTTACATGTGCTACCAGCGATCACGTCACGACGTAAGAGCGAATGCAAGAAATGGCCCGTCAAAGTACATACGCGATTTTCATTGAATTGGCTGTTTTGGTTTCCTGCGTTTTCCTGACAATAGCCGATTCAGGTTTCTCAGCTAGTTAACATTCGTAGTTACACGATTCTGTTTTATATGTATTTATGGAAAAGCAAATATATACACGAAAAACCCAATCGTAGCGTTACTATTTGGAATACTCTCATTGAATAAAAAGCTGATTCTATGGCTGACTGACTATAGACAGCGCCCATATATTCCCTGCCTGATAAACCTCCCAAGGCCATACAAATCTCCCCTGGGTGGGCGCCTCACCTGAGGAAGACGCCCAGCTGGCAGCAGTGGATGACCAGCAGGCTGGTGGTGGCCTCGCCGTCATGCACGTGCCACCTGTACGAGACCAGGTTGACCAGAGACTGCGGCACGGCCACAATGAGCACAGTGAGGAGACACCGCACCGGGTGGCCGCCCGTCAGGTACGTATGGATGAGCACGACGTCTGAAACAGAACCGAACGAACCATGAAGTGGTGAAACAGAGTCGGGCCGTCGGTACGTGTGAATGAGAACGTCTGAAATGGAATGGAACGAATGATCAAGTGGTGAAACAGTGTTGGTTGGGTGGGTGTGGATGAGAGTTATGTCTGAAATAGAACAGAATGAAAGATAAACTAAATAGCCACTGGTCAGGAACCCAGCAGAGTTCACAATTTTTTTTTTATAAATTTAGCTCGAATGTTTGAATGGACGGATTGACAGAGCCGGAGCCCACACTAAGCGGAGCTTGTTGCGTAGACCCCGACCCCTACCGTCCGATCGCGCAATTCCGGTAACGGGAGAATTTAGATGCCAAAGTTTAACGTGCCCTTCAAAGCCGGACACGGCCTGTCCCACTCAACTGACTTCAACTGGCTGCGGATGCTCCCACCAACCGCAGACCATCCCCGTCAGGAGTCTCAAATATCGAGCGCCGGAGCGTCTCGAACCCGGGCTCTCACTACCGGGAGTCCAATGCTCTACCAACTGAGCTACGGGACAGGCGAATGACTGAATGACTCACAATGACTGAACTTTAAAAGACCTGAAGAAATACACAATCAAACATCAAACATTGGAAGATATTCTTGTAGGTACTGACTACTGAGAGCACTAGCTGTACTATCAATGGCAAACATTTGAATTATAGTTGCTCAATAACTTTTTCCTGAGGGCTAATAGGTAGGTACTTCACAAAACTTTCAAACCAATTAACAAAACAGGCTGTTTCAGCAAAAACCTTACCAATTATCTTGTTGAATATGTAGCCAATAATTGACAAGACCAGGAATATCTGATCCCAATATGTAAATACAGGTGGTGAGCACTCAACCTTAGCCTTTTCCATGTAGTCAATCTTCCTTTGCTTGAGCTTGGTCTCCTCTGTCATTTTATTCTAACTCTAAGAGTAAAATGCAGGCTTGTAAAATACAGTGTCAACTGTTACCATCAAACTCAATTATCCCGCAAAAGACCCAAACATCTCTTAGTGCATTCCTGCAAAAGATAGGTACAGAACAATTAAGAATTGATTATAATCAGTAATCACTCTATCAGTTTTCACACAACACAGCAGAACAACCAGCAGCCAAAATATCAGCAATATTACCTACCTAGCTTTGACTGAATGATTTTCTAGATTCTAAGCCATTACACAGCCAAAAAGGTAGCCAGAAGATGCATAAACATATGAAGAATACATTTAGTGTTATGCTTAGAAATGAAACAAGGCTGCCTTTGTCTCAATTCCATATTGAATGATACTCTCAGAATATGAGTACTAATGTTCATTGTTCTTGAGAAAAATAGGGGCATCACAATCATATCACCTGATGCCCATTGGCCATCAGAAATCCTTAAATAATACCTACTGATACGCTTTGGTATCTCTTGCTAACCTATTTCACTGCATTCATGAACTCGTCTAGAATAGCATTAACAGAGTAGGTCTGCTTAATGTTTGAGGTAAGACATTGCAAGAACAAGAAGCGTTCAAATCGCAACTGACATCAATATCAATATCGCTGCAACCAAAAATGAATTCTCATTTTAGAGCTCAAAATGCATTATCACGTGTGATCTTCCAGTTCCGCAAATCAAAGATCTCATATCGATTGAAAACCCTGCATCGATAGTATGCATAGATCGAACTGCCACCAGTGACGTCATCAACGTGTCCGAGCATTGTGGGTAATCTCACGTAAATGTTTTATGCATTTGGGCCCTAATAATGCATCAACCTTGGCTGTTTACAACAGAAAGCTGTTGGTGACGCCTGCCCCACCGTTACCCAAAATACAAATTGTGGAACTTTTAATAACATTATTTCAAATTCTTGTAGACAGTAAATTACTAGATCCTGTAAGCTATTCCTACGCATTAAAAACAAGGCTATAGAACTCCATTAAAACTGTTAATTTTTTGGGTACTAATTCAGGGGTTGATTCAGCAGGGGCAGCAATATGCTGCATGCCCCGCGGCCACCTCTCCCGAATGGCCTACGCCATGAAGCCGTCTGGTATAATATAATAGATAGATAATAAAAAAATAAATGCAAAACATGAGATCATACTTTGAATTTCGAGAAAAAATAGAAATCAATAAAACAAACAAGGCCATAAAACAAATGGAGAGCTGGCGAGACACAAGGCTGGCGAGACAAAAACGTGCGCCATTAGCGTCAAAAAATCTCATTCTCCCCGCGTTGTTTTTCTTTTCTTTAGTGCCCCACACATAGAAATACCCCAATGCGTAGTGGAAAACTGCGATGTGGTAGATAACGTAAAGTCACCGATTTTGCTCGGCTCGCAAAATTCACTACACGAGGATGATGGCGGCGCGCATGGGAGCGATTGCTCTTCGGCAAAAATTGCATGGAGTTTGCCAGTTTCGACGGTCTTTGAGCGTGATTAATCAACGGTAAGTAGGATAAGCATTGCAGGATCTAGAGGTTCATTCATTTTCTATATCCTGTTTTTTTTTTTTGCTCTAATTGGCAATTCCAGTCGTTACGTAATGTTGTGTATTTCGTGAGGCTAACTAAATACAACTTTGTAGCAGTGCATTTACATATCTGGTCAATCGTGAAACTTTGATGGTATCCTGCCTGCAATGAGCAGCATTGCTCAATGACTGACTCCTGCACATTTTTATTGCTGGGTGTTGCGAGACGCAGGGCTTTGTTGCGTGAAGCGTGTCACCCGCTGCTACCAGACATTGAGGTTTGGTTTCCATGAAATATGAATGCTAGAAAAACTAGGCAACTTTGTATATTTGTGCTAATTGTAGCTGTTATCCCTGAGCAGTGTTTCATGGCTTCGTGCTGGTGCGCAGCGGTGTATTGGGGTTCCAGGGAAACATAAACAAACTGAGACGCTGGCAGTGCCGGAGAGTGGAGACTCGGAGAGTCCAGCCGAATTTGCCTCAAGTGACACATGAATGCAGCAGTGCAGAGTGCTGCAGTGGCATGCCTTGAAACAGGGCCCTGGTACTGGCTGGAAGCATCACACACCATGAAACAGAACCCAGTAGCCCCAGCCTTGGTGAATGACAGCAATGTGGTCAACAGTTGTCTCACCAAAGGGCACTTCTGGTTGACCTATAACAATGTGTTTTATCCTGATCCATTTTGAAAGTCAAATAAATTTTTGAGTTGGTTTTTGGCTGCACTTCATGCACCATATCCTTTGCACCAGAGTACCAAAGATTGGTTTGCTCCAAGGTGCTTTTCTGTAGCTATCAGTGGAGTGCCAGGCTAATGGCATTTCTAAGCTTCTCATGGGGCAGATTGAAGTGGCCTGTGTACTAGACCAATGAGAAGGCAAGAAATGCCAGATTGAGTTTCCATCTATTGGATAACCAGCAGCATGCTGATATAAAACAAACAATGAACAGTGCCCTGGTGTTAATAAAAAATACACAGTTATAAGTGACCAGTTAGAAGACAGGCTTCATTTTAGGTGCCTTACTCACAATTGGAACCTAAACCAAGACTGGATTTACAGGCAGATTTAGGAGAGGAGGGAGGTCATTATGATATTTTATACTTTTTACTATGAAATGAGATTAATAAGTTGTTATTGAATAGCTTGCTTTTAACTGCACAATATCATTTTAGGAAGAAAAATCCAGAGGTGTTGGAAATAGATTTTTGTGTGTACCTTTACCAACTAGTGTCCTAAACTACCTTTCTGGGTCAGCCAATGACTTTATTTGAGACCAACCTGTCCAGAATGGACTGATCATTGATAGGACGCATCTCTGCGAAGACTCTGTGGCCATGCACCCGCAAAACTTCGTCGCGGCAGTGGCATTGACGCGCCGAGCAATCATATGAACCTACAATTAACATCCTCCTTGATTGTGACTTTCTGGGGACATCATATGACATCATGCTAAGTCACCCTCAACTCCCAAGCGTAGCCACTTCTCATTAATACTATATTACTGGGCCATGAGTGCGTGAGCGTCAGCCATCGGTATCGACGCGTATCGCAGTACCCGTCCTCCAAGTCATCGTCGTCGTCGCCCGTCGTCTCTGAGCAGTGCGCACCGTTGCAGGCACTCGGCGGCCTCCGATCGGGGCGGAGGGCGCGCCAGCACCTCCACAAAGCCGACCAGCGAAGATGACGAGGGTCCGCTACGCTTCTCCACTTCAGGCGCTGCCTCGTGGCGCGCTCGGGACACCTTCGGAGGCGGTGCAGAAGAGGATGACGTACCCTGGTACCAGATGCCCATCGTGCTGTCCTCGACGACGGCATTGCTCATCTACTTCTGCGTCCTGCGGGAGGAGAGTGACATTGACGAGAGGCTGGGCGGCGGCACGGCGGGCGCGCTGAGTCAGGTGCCCGGGCTGGAGAGGCAGACGCTGGAGGCCTATGTGCGGCATCAGGAGATGACCGGCGGTAGTGCAGAGAAGGAGAAGGCTCGCCTGCTGGAGTTAGAGGTCGAAGAGGAGGCGGTAGGAAGGAAGCGGTAGTGGAAAGCGTTAGGAGGAGAGAGGTGCGAGTGTGAAGAGGCAGCGAGAGTGAGAGGGGAGAAAGTGGGCGCTAAAGTTGGACTGCGGGCTAGTAGTGTGAGTAGCTTGTGTGAAACTGTTGTTTGTCTCATGCTGTAATAGGTCAGTGTGTGGTGCTCCCGAGGTCGGTAAAACGCAGTTTAGCTTGCAATACTATGATGCGATAAGCCGATAGCGGGTAGTATTATTGCTTTACGTGACCTTGCTCTCGGGGCGTTGTCTTATACGCGCCGACAACCAGAAGCAGTTTAGGTGCCCTGAAAAAAATGAATGTCATTCATTTTAGGTCATTTTGTCAGGTACGTACTTCGCGATTTTTAAATGTTTCAGCTAATATTGTTTCGCGATGTATTTTGGATTCGGTTTTCCCTGGGTTGATGTTCGAAACACTTTCTTGCCAGTGAACGGTGCAACCGCCAACCCTTGTGGTTGATTGTTTGCACATACGATAATATAAGACTGTCTGATAGCTTTTCTGGTGTCTGGTTGGTTGCAGACATGTGCGTGGATCCGAAAAAATGGATCTGGGATCTGATCCCACGGATCCTGATCTCGGATCCGTCGGGATCATAGATCCAGTTCTTAAATTTATCGACAGATCCGTAGGGATCATAGATCCGAGTCTAATATTTTTGCTTGAGATCCAGTGAGATCATAGATCCTCATTTATTTATTGTCAACACAGAAATCCCCAAAAATCGCTCGTTCCAACTCACAAACGTTCTTATTTAGTGATTTATGTGATAGCACATCATAAGCCATAGTTTTATGGCACTTATTGACGTAGAAACACTTGCAAACTTGGTTTAAAATGTTGTGCTTGGTGGGATCCACTCAGATCATAGATTCATGTTCTTGGTTTAACATCAGATCCTGAGAGATCATAGATGCAGGATAAATTTTTCACGCCGGATCCGGTGGGATCATAGATCCGAACCTGCAGTTTGCTTCGAGATCCACTGAGATCATAGATCCATCACTCGGATCCATGCGCACGTCTGGTTGGTTGGTTAGTGAGGCGATATGTGACCTATTCGTATGAGCAATCATTTATAGCATCTATTAATGCCCTTATTCTATGGATATGGATATTATAGTCATGGTGTCAGATGCAAATGGTAAATTGTGTGGGAAACGACTTGTCATAATCCAAATGGTATAATATCCATTAGGTATCCATCACATCGCACTTAGAGGCACCAGCTTAACTAACGAGACCGTTTCACTCACCGGTTATCCGTTCGACATCCGGCGGGTGGGAGGGGGCGGGGACTGAGGACTCGTCATCCGTCTTGTGTCATCCTGGCTATTTGGTGGTTACTTAACTACCTTTTGGGAGAGACTAATGGCTTATGAGTGAAAGACTCCTGACCGAAGTACCTTGAACAGCCATCGGGGAAAGATTCGGTTGACCCGCTCAACCTACCCTCGCACTGACAGGGGAGGACTTGCTCCTCTTCAGAGGGAGCTCGTCCCGATGACTGCCTACCTCATCACCCGCGGGCGCACAACGCCATGAACGCTTCACCGCTCCGCTGTTCCAGAGCCGGGCGTCCGTCCGCGCCCCCGCCCGGCGATGGCTCCACGGGCAGACACCCGTGGGACTTCAAGCTGAGCCCGATGGTGGCTCAGCTCATCATCACCGGATCCACGCTCAGCTTCATGCTCTACTTCTTCGTGTTTCGCGACGAGTCGGACGTCGACACTGCCCTCTATCGGCCGATCTGGGAACGTGTGCCTGGAATATCGCCCGGTAGGTGAACCCGAGGAGTTTCGCTTCATTCGGGGTTCCACAACACTATATTGTTCATAGGGATCAGTTATAATTTTTACCATCCAATGAGCCTTTCTCTGAGAATGGGATGTGAATTAAGATTCAGACAGACACATTTGCCAGATGCATGAGTGACAAGGCATTTAGGCAGGCATTGCTCTCGAACTTTGTATTGGCTGTCGACTGTCGAAGCTGTCTGCTGTCTGACTGTCGAGTGCTGAGAACTTCATCACCATCTTTTATTGACTCTGTGCCAAGAATAGCCTCTTTGACTTCGGTCATAGATAGGGGACGGCCACTACGAAGTAAATAAATAAATAAATAAGCGGGTACGACTACCGTGCAATGGGACCCAACTTTACTCCTGGGAAGGTGTTTAAAAATGCTTGCGGATAGAGATACGCGCAAGTCGCCGGTTTACTCGCCGACCTAGAGTTAAATCGGTTTCAGCGTGCGGTAATGCCTACATTGTTATTGAATATTGATAATTGCATTAGTAATTTTACGTTTAACCCTAACTCCCAACTCCCAAGCGTAAGTAAACTATGCAGTGGATTGTCGTATGTTTCAGTGTCTACCTTTTATTATAGCCACTGGATCCGTGTTCCCTCTGCATCGGCATCAGTCTCTCTTTTCGTTCACAGAGGTGGCTGAACGCATGTTAGAGGTAGACAGACAGATGGGTATCCTATACGACGCCAAAGAATGGGAGGCCAGTCTACGTGAATACAAGAAACGCTACTACATCAACCATCCGGACAAACGGCCTGCTACCAGTGTGACGCCACAGGCTTGAAGGATAGTAGTGTGTTTGTCGTGTACTGGATTGAATTGTTGAAGACGTTTGAAGGATATAACTATGTATGTCGCAAATATGAATACTATTATTCGTCAATAGTGAATTGGTCACTATGTTGTGGCTACATTGCTGGATCGAATTGAAAGCCACATGATCTTTTAAAATGACCGTAGTTTCTCAGCGATTAGTACAATAGGTTGTGAATGTGTAGTCGGTGTCGGGGGATTCGTTTGCTAGCTAATGTGTTAGAATGTCTGTGACTGATGTGTTGCATATAGGTCACTGTAGAAAGAACGTAGATGGCTCCTCTCATTCGAAATATTTTGCCGGCTCCTGAGCCGCTATTTTTTGCTCCAGCCCACCGTTTTCTTTCAGTGAACTGGTTGTAACAGTTCACGCTTTGAAAATCTCACGTCTATGTAATCATCTACCCCCGGCCCTATAGTGGAAGGCGGTAGCAGAGGTGCGTTTACTTAGCTGCTGTTGGAAGGTGCCAGGTGGGCCGTGCAGTTACCAGGAATCCTTTGTGAACTCATGTATGGGAATCGTGCGTTTATTTCTGTTTGATGAAAGTTATTCGGATTGCGTGTGGTAGATAAAATTGGTATTATGTCGATAGAAAGGTCTGAATAAACAGTTATGTCCACCAAATTCAAAGTATTGTCAGTGATTGCGAGTATAAAAGGCAAAAGCCACCAGCTGGGCCCCGTTTCACGACCGCTGTGATATATTCTTGGCCGCTGCCAGCGCGCTGCCCGCACGCAAGGTATATAAAAACACTAGGTAACACCGAAAAATTCCTTCAACATGAAGGCAACGGGTTCAGGTCTTGACAACTAGTGCTAGCATGATTTGCAAGATACTTGCTACGTAACTACTTTACAGATTTTCCTAATACTTTGCTATTACTTATGTTTCGCGATTTAATAAAGACATATTTTTAGTTATCCTCATTAAAATTCGTTCTTGCCAAGAAATTTGTAATTTCACGGTATGACATCATGCCTTCAGGAAGCCTCGGATATCTCAGTATCTAGGCAGTGAACCTACTTAAAGGGATTATCAGGGTTTAAAAATTGAAAGGAATCGGAATGTATTGCCTATCAGTTAAGTCTCCAGACTCTGCCGATTTCAACGATATACATAAAATGCCTATTGATGCTATACTTTGCAAGTTATAGCCGTTTGAAAAACGACAAAAATGTACTTACTCCCGCAAAACAAGTACTTGAGCGGTCAGATTGGCCCATCACTATAATGTAAACAAAGAGCGGCCTTGCGAAATTTTGCGGGATTGAGGATTTCTACAAGATTTCGGTGATAGGCATTGGTTGTGGATATACGATGGATTTTTGGTGAAGAACTCGACTGAAATTGAAACAAATTGAAGATTTGCTTGTCTAAGGCAGCAAGATTTATAAACATCGCCAAATTTATCATATGCAATTGGAGCTTGTTTCAGTTTTTTATAGCAGGGTCATGATACAATTTTCTTTCAATGGTAGATTCGTCATGGTACAGTACAATTTAAATGGTAATTTCGAGTAATTTATGTCATTGAATTGAAACTGCAAGTACATCCCACAAAAGAGCTTATCCTCTTCAATTTTCAGTCTTGATCTGACTGATTAGTGATTTGTCAAGAGTGCGAAAAGTGAGGTGACAAGAGAGCTACAGGTTTTTCAAGATTTAAGTGTTCTTGAATAGCAGGTTGTACAACATTGTGCTGTGACATAACCATTGGGCCTTGTGCCCCCTGTGACAGAGCCCCTGCATCAGCTGGTCTGACACGGCTGGGCTCGCAAGTCGCAAAGAACGTCTTGGTGCTCTTAATTATGATTGATGATTGTGATGTGAAAGGAGGGTACCTACATGGCAAAATACATTTGTATGTAATTTCTTGCCACAGTACCCACCTGCATGTACATTTTTGTTGTCTTTGTGTGAAAAATGAATATATTTTAAGGAAAATTAAGGCATTTCTGTTTGAAGCATGCAGAAATTCATGTGTGATGCTGTCCCGGCAACTCATGTGGAACAGAACAGGCTGCAGAGTGCCAGATCGTGCTTGAACAGAGAGAATCATCAGCTATCTACATATGCGCATGCTTTGAAGTTCCCTGCCTTTTCCCACATTCTACTTGCTAGTTGTGAATAGGATCGGACAAGGCGAGGTACTCATGCTCATGGTGCCACCATGTGCAATTACTGACTGGTGAATTCGGTGGCTAAAATCCTTAACGCTCTATGGATAATTATTCTGCTCTTATGTTCAGTATGTTGATATCAGAAACTCACCAAGGTAACCTGCCCTGTGGCATTTCTTAGTTCAAAAATGTAAGCATTACACTCATCAGTCATGTAACTTGTATTTACATCCATGAACAAACAATGTGCAAAGGGGCTACCCAACAAGCATTACTGTCTACAGCGTAGCGCGTACCGCCTCCGCAAGGGGCGCGCCCCTCTACAATGGGCATGCGCGAACCCCTTCTCTGCAATGGGCGCGCCGGCGAACGTACGCGAGCGATCACGGGTCGCCACCACCAGCTGGCGACTGACGGCGCAAGGCCATAAAACTACGACGGCGGGCCCGGCAGCAGCGCGCGGTGTGGGGGGGGGGGGCGTTGGACACGGGATGGACGCACAGTCGCGCACCACGACCGACGGCGACATCACCTGCTGCGTCTGGCTCGGCGAGCGCAGCTGGGAGCCGGCTGGAACAGACAGAGCGGAGTCAGCCGGCGGAGAGACCCGGGGGACGGGAGAGAGACACGGGCCAACAAACTGGGAGAGATTCGAATGCCCGCACGACAGCAAGGAGCAAACATGCCCGTTATATTCACGTGTCGATTGTCATGACGTCAGTCTTGAGCACAAGCTGACTTCATCCCTACATCCCGTTTTACTTATAATCAATTGAGGTCCTGGATCGGTACACCGGCTCAGTCACCTGTTGACGGCGGCGCACAGCGTGACCTACCCGCCCTTCAGCCGGCCCCAGCAGGGTGAGTAGTGAGTACTAATACCCGCCCCCATGCCAATGCCAAAATCACTAGCACTGAGAGTTTTATGGAAAAGCCCTCCTCAGTGGCCGGTATGAGCTGGCCGTGCGGCGGCCGCGACTGACCTGCGGCCGCTGAAGGTCTGGTGAGTCGGACGGGCACCTCCGGCACTGTCGGCAGGGCGGCCGATTTGAGCGCAGCGCTGTCCAGTCGGACTGACGGCAGCACAGAGACCAGCTGTCCGTGCAGGCAGCACCGGTGGCCCGAGTCGCTGCTGCTGCGGACCCGGCCCGGTACCGGCGCCGGGTGGTGGCCGGCCGCGGCCGGGAGCGGGTCCGCCGTCCGCTCCGCGTCCCCGGCCGCCCCGCCGCCGCTCTCTGGACCGGCCGGAACGGTGACGGTGACCGCGCTGATCTGAAGGCGCACCTCCAGACGCTCCAGGGCCGGCAGCCAGGCCAAAGTCGGAGCGGCGGGCGGCGCCGGCGGAGTGGGGGAGACGGCCGCCGCAGCGGAGGTGTTGGGTGACACTGCGGGTAGGTTCCTCTCCGTGGTGTGGCTCCGTGCCGATCGCGAGGTACCCGAGTGTCCTTGCGGCCGGGGCACATCCATGGCGGCGGCGGCGGCGGCTCGGGCGGCTGGGGTAGTGGCGGCGGCGCCGGGCCACTCAGCTGCTGGCCAGCTGAGTGGCCAGGGACAGCCAGAGCAGCAGTGCCGGCTGCCAGCAGAGTAGGGCCGGCTCGGAGACGACCACCAGCAGCGGGCAGCTGTCCGCGGCGGCGGCAGCTGTCGGCAGCTGCAGCAGCGCCCGTACCGCCCGCTCGCCGCCGCCGCCGGGAGCCGGCGCGTCGGCCGCCTGGGGCGCGGCCAGCACGGGCCGGCCGTCCAGCTGACAGCGCACCGGGCGGCGCCGGCCCAGCACCAGCCGGTCTGACACAGCCGCACGTCCAGGTCGCACAGGTCCGTCTCTAGTGGCAGGTCCAGCTGCGAGCCGGCCGGCTCAGCGCCGGCGGTCCCCCGGTCGTCGGCGCAGTGCAGCCAGTCGGCGTGGCACACCTGCTCTGTGAGCGGGTGCTGGGAGCCGGCCCACAGGGCCGGCGCCAGCAGCGCCTTCCAGTAGACCGAGGCTGAGGAGGGATACAGTCAGGAGCCGCGGCTGTAGTTATTCATTTCCAATCGACAATAGGGCATTGGGGCAGTGTTCCCGCCACTTCTAATGAGTAGTAATGTCGAGCCTACCACAGTGTACTTCACAACTAGAAAACGCACTCAACAATAATCACACAACAAAGGCACACTCTCAGGGCCATTCTAACAAAACACCCGCGGTTATAATTAGCATTACTCGGTTAATGACTGACCGTGCATCGTGTGTGGACGTGGCAGTTGTAGAGCAGCGCAGCGGTCGGCCGGCGCCGCTCAAGCTGGGAGACAAACCGGCACAGCCGGGACGGGTACATGGGCTGCTGCTCGTTCCACTGGATCGTCTGACAGCGCAGCTGGAGACGCACCTCACCGGCCTGAGGACGGGGGAAGACTGGGTGATACAACCGGGACAGACAAATAACACAGCTGCTGTAGACGTATATACCTCCCCGGCCTGGTGACCGCGGGCGGGTAATACGACCTCATAGAACAGCGATCAGCCGGGTCATCGAAGCACGCATCTCAGGAGCCCATCTCCTTGCAAGTCTGCGATCATATCTCAACGCCCAACTGCAGCAGCTCTTCAAACAATGCAGCTGATGCTGTCCTTTCGAACATCCCCGCTATGCATGGACCCACGCCGCCCAGCTCCCCGTTGGCGGCCACCACTGTCAGCCGCCGCCCCTTCCTCCGCTGCGCGGAGACCCACCTTTTCCAGGTCTCCATGGCCAGCCAACACGGTGACTCGCGGCTCCAGCACCGTCAGCTACAGGTCGCGAGCCGGGGTGTTGGCCTCCAGCGCCACCGCCTCTCTCCGTGCGGCACTGGGCCCGGGCGGGCCTCTCCGTCCGCTGCGGGAGAGGGCAGAGGGTAGAGGAGAAGGTCAGGGCGGGCCTCCCCGCCTGCAGCAGAACAGGGGGAAGGAGCGGTCAGGTGGGTCTCCCCGTCCGCTGCAGGAGAGGGCAGAGGGGCGTTAGTGGTAGTGGGCAGATGAAACGGAATGTTTATTTCAAAGATATACACTTTTTCACTAGTACGGCAACTATACTTCTCTGAGGTGAAAATCGCTGCTGGGACGCACTGCCGAAAAAGAGGGAACTTGCAAGTCACAAGCAGCGATGGGGACGACTCATGAAGAACAGTGCATCATGTTAAACAACTTCAAGCTAACTCTGAGCGCTACTCAGTACTCAGTTCACTACTCACCCTGCTGGGCCGGCTGTAGGGCGGGTAGGTCACGCTTTGCGCCGCCGTCATCAGGTGACTGAGCCGGCGTACCGATCCAGGACCAGGAGCCCAAGCAGGCCCTTGTCCAGTTTCTGCAGCAGCAGCGTGTGCCGTCACCGGCAGAGCTGTCGCTGCCAGACGACTGCCGTCAGCGCCCGGCGCACGCGCTATAAACACTGCGCCGCGGCGAGCGAGCACGGCGCGCTGCATCAGCTGGTAGCTGCTGAGCGCCGCCAGCCCCAGCACAGCAGCTGGCGGAGCGCCGCGCTACACGACGACCTGTCGGGGCGCGCGGGCGGGTCAGAGGGTGGGGGAGGGGGGGCCAACAGGGTCAATCACATCACCTCTCTCTGCAATGGGCGCGCGCGTGCGCACCGGCGATGGGCGCGCGCCCGCCGCCGGTGCCCGATGGGCACGCGCTGGCCGCCGGTGCCGATGTGCGCGCGCCCGCCGCCGGTGCCGATGGGATGGGCACGCACCGGCCGCCGGTGCCGATGGGCGCGCGCCCGCCGCCGGTGCCGATGGGATGGGCGCACGCTCGCCGCCGGTGCCGATGGGATGGTCGCGCGCCTGCCGCCGGTGCCGATGGGCGCGCGCCGGCGCCGGTGCCGATGGGATGGGCGCGCACCGGCCGCCGGTGCCGATGGGATGGGCGCGCGCTCGCCGCCGGTGCCGATGGGATGGTCGCGCGCCGGCCGCCGGTGCCGATGGGCGCGCGCCCGCCGCCGGTGCTGATGGGATGGGCGCGCTGGCCGCCGGTGCCGATGGACGCGCGCCCGCCGACGGTGCCCGATGGGCGTGCGCTGGCCGCCGGTGCCGATGGGATGGGCGCGCGCTCGCCGCCGGTGCCGATGGGATGGTCGCGCGCCCGCCGCCGGTGCTGATGGGATGGGCGCGCTGGCCGCCGGTGCCGATGGACGCGCGCCCGCCGACGGTGCCCGATGTGCGCGCGCCCGCCGCCGGTGCCGATGGGATGGGCGCGCGCTCGCCGCCGGTGCCGATGGGATGGTCGCGCGCCGGCCGCCGGTGCCGATGGGCGCGCGCCCGCCGCCGGTGCTGATGGGATGGGCGCGCTGGCCGCCGGTGCCGATGGACGCGCGCCCGCCGACCGTGCCCGATGGGCGCGCGCTGGCCGCCGGTGCCGATGGGATGGGCGCGCGCTCGCCGCCGGTGCCGATGGGATGGTCGCGCGCCGGCCGCCGGTGCCGATGGGATGGGCGCGCACCGGCCGCCGGTGCCGATGGGCGCGCGCCCGCCGCCGGTGCCGATGGGATGGTCGCGCGCCGGCCGCCGGTGCCGATGGGCGCGCGCCGGCCGCCTATCAAGTTTACCTGTCCAGATGTACAGAAAGAATGTTTAGTCTGTCAAATACATGTACAGCTGGTATACCTACCCTGTAGCTGCAACTGTTTTGACCATGTGGCCCAGCAAAGTTATCTGGCCTAGGTAATGATTGTGATTCAGGGATGAATCCCTGGGAAGAAAATATAGATGATGGGGCTTCAGGAGACTGGAGATTGTCGTGAAGAAGCATTCCTTAATTAGTGTTAGTCACCATCCAAGCCATATGACCAAAACACACCACATCAATATTATCCCAAAATTATATTTAAAAACTTTATGGTTGGTTACACACAAGTTTTTTAGGTGACCACACTCAAACACGAGACTACTAGGGTGCCAACGTCACTTGTCAGGCTCAATGCACCAGCTGCTGTTCATACAATTTGGAAGACTCAACATCAGCTATCAGGTTCTACATCACATCAAGTGTTCAATGTAACAATGTTCGTGCCACTTTTACAAGTTGTGCTAAAAACCAGTTCAATTACAAAGGAAATGCCAAACCCACCTTCCACGACTGCTATTGACGGTACGGCATGTGGTGACGTTCTAGCCCTTTCTCCAAGCAAAAGATCTTGAGGGTTGAAGTGGCAGCTACACACAAGTGCTTCGTCAACCTGCTTGTCCGCCAAGCCATCTTCTAGGACAGCCACCCAACCAAGTCTCCTAAAAACAGCATGACTTTGTGATCAAAGGTCTGGGAAAATTGCAAGGCTTGCCATTCCAGTACAAGTAACAGATAACAAGTAACCACAGATAGTACATTGAGTACTTTAGTTATATGTGTAGATGAACTCCGAGTTGTAGGTTGTAGGTTGTAAGCTGAAGCATGTAGGTTGTAGGTTCGTGGGAGGCTGTAGTTTAGTAGGTTATTAGGTAATAGGTAATATTAGGACTTAGGTCAAGTTCGCTTGTTTTTTTTTTTCCTCGGACCACTCAGACTTCATCCACACAATTTACTCGTACGCCTTACTGTTTGATGTATGAGTAACACTTCAAACATTTGTGTGTTCAAACACTTCAAACACTTCAAACATTTGATCATTACATTTGTGCATGTTTGACATAAAAACATATATTAATACAATTTCGTAAAATATGCAACTGTTTTTCACTTAGTGCCTGCCCCGCAATCTCCAGGATTTCAAATTGGACTTACTTGACACGGTTTTCGCAACATGGAAGAAGTTGAGACCATCAGCCTTTGTTTTTCCACAACCCTTCACACTACACCGCCGATTTCGCACTTGGCGGGATGGTGCCATTCCGTCCAACTCATACAGCCTCAGAAATTACAACAACACACTCAACTAACAGAATATCCGTCAAACAAATCTTATTTACGACGACACGAGCCAATGCTAACAACGCTTGCCAGTTGCGGAGTGGAGACGTCAGAGAGAAAAAAGTCTTTAGATTTCTCCAATTTCCCCACGTAACGTTGAACGGCCATTGCGGCCTTATCTGGTATGCGACGGCCTTATCTGGCATACAAAATATCTCTAGAAGTCTCTAGCTAGTGTTAAGCCTATGGACTTATAGGGAAATGTATCCGAGTACTTGGTACTGCCTCCTCCAGGTACTGGCTGGCAGACGGATCAACTTTGGAGGCCCACCATTTGGAAATTAGGCAATTTTGAGACGAATGACTTCGGATCGGGGCCTCAGCCACCTTCATCTACACGTTTCACTGAGTAACTCCGAAATTTCGGAAAAAACCCTGATAATACCTTTAATTCTGATGTTTTTAGAAATGAAATTGATTTTTGCATTCTCTTGATATGAACTTTTTGGAAAACAACAGAAAAACATTAAATTATCGCTTTTCAAAGTGCCATTTTGTGCTTGATAAGAAGTGATGGCCCTTAGACAGAGCGTTCCTATAAAAAATCTAGAGTGAGCTGGCCTCTATAAAAATTAAAATTAGCACCAGTATTTAATTGTCTGTTAGATGTTAATTTTCATTAAGCTTAAGGTTCTACGGAAAAAGGCGAAATTCGCCCCTGAAGGCTTCAATGTCTGAATGAAAAAAGGCACTATGGTAAAGAGGTAGTTGAAAAATGGGAGGGAGCTGGCCTCTACAAGTTGTTGATTGAGATAGATTAGCGTATTGACTTTCGATTGATATACCTCATTAAGCATATGGTTTTACGGAAAATGGCTAAATTTGTCGAAAACTATCTCGTTTTTGTTATAAACCGTATATTAGAAATGGCGACGTGCGCCACTTCCGTCGCCGACGCCATTTGGACGCCATGTTGCCCGAGATTTGAGCGCTTGTACGCCTTGGCTTCTAAATTTCAAGATGAATATTGACGGCAGAAGACGGCGTTGTGCATATGGGGGGCACGCACTGATTTCAAGTGAGTCGGAAGTGCCAAAATTGAACAAGATTGGTTCCAAGTACGTTTCGAAGTCCGTCATTCAGGCCCTGGGAATGGGTGACCCTAGGGGTGTTCACGGGCACCGCACACTGCTGCGTGCGGTGTGTGCGGTACGTCCAGCAGGCGTGGGGGTAGGGGATGGGTAGGCGGCTCTGACGTCACGGCTGCGTGCGGTGGACGGTCCGCTGTGGCCAGTCCCGACCGGCCACAGCGGTCGCTGTGTGCGGTGACGCAAGGCTGACGTAGGGACGCAGTGGGCGGAGCTTGGAGGCTGTGTGCGGTCCGACCGCACACAGGGTCCGTGAACAGCCCGCATATTTACGTCTGGACAACGAGTTGCGTTGGAGAGGCCGGAAATAGTGGCGATTTCAGGACCGCAAGAATGGACCGTCATTGGAGTGATTCTTTTTTAAACCGTGCACTGTTTTCGGCCGGAATTTAATAGTTACTACAAAATATTTTGTGATTACGTTTCCACCAAGAATGAATGCCATCAGGGCTAAATTTTTAATACTATTGCATTTTGCCAAGAAGCATATAGTGCTGTTATATTGCAGTTTTAGCGCGTTTGTTACAAAATATGAAGCGAATAAGCGTCAGTATAATTCATCAACAGTGCCAGAAGTTAACTTGAGGGGAAGCTATGCTAATTGCTCTTGTCCATCCACTAAAATTTATTAATTATTTTGCTTTGTGTATTCCAAAAGGAGAGCGAACTATTTCATTTGTGCCTTCATGTCAGAATTGAAGGTGGATCATTAAATTTTCAACGCAGTTTACAAACAAGCATTTGGTCTTTCTCGTTTATAAGCAGTGGCTAAGAAAAGGTTGATCAATCCTGAAGTTCAGTCATCGTACCTCAACTTGGCAGCAAGATCCCCCAAGGACAGAGGATATATTGTATACATGTCCTGTAAATCAAAACAAACAAGCATTTGGTCTTTCTCGTATATAAGCAGTGGCTAAGAAAAGGTTGATCAATCCTGAAGTTCAGTCATCATAATTCATACCTGAACTTGGCAGCAAGATCCCCCAAGGACAGAGGATATATTGTAAACCTGTCCTGTTAATCAAAACATTTTTGTGCCTACAAAGGCTTAAGTTATCTGTGGTGTGTTCGGAGTTAGACTATATGGCCGGTTTTGTTGTATGTTTATGTGGAGATTAAATATAACTGTGACTCTGTGCTTGTTTTTATACTTACAGTCAAACAGGGAACAGCACATTCACATAACATACTCACCTAGCACCTAACTCATAGCTGTACCCTGCAGGATCTGTACTTGTTCATGTCTCGAGCATTAACAAAGCATTAAAGTAGCTTAGTAATCATTTCCCACATTTTCTGAGCATCTAACATGACATACAGCAGTGCAGAGCAGCTTCAGAGAAAAAAACACTTTAAATGCACAGACTCACACCAGCCACCCAATGAGCCAGTTCCTCAGTTGACTGTTTCCCTGGACGCAGCTTGGCAATGTGAGCTAACTTTTGGCAAGTTGAAGGTTAGCAGGTAAGATTGAGTTAGGGCGAGTACCTACCTATAACTGGGTGCTACTGCCATGCAGGTCTTGGGTAGGCTGCAAATATGTGTGATGATTGAGGTTAGGTCAGCTGTCAGGTTAGTCAGGTTCAGGTATGCTCATTGCTCAGGTCACATTTTTATGGACATTTGGCAAATTAAAAAACTAACAATCTAATCTAAGCTAACCCGACTAAACATACACTACTGACTATAGGAACTGAGCACCTACCTACTTGTGCCTACATCTCATACCATGTCAAAGTAGAGTTCCTTGGTGGAAGATGACCCTCAGTACTTTTTATCCCAGCCCTGTGAAGAAAGCTAATACCTGCTTCTAAGCTCTGAGTCACTGCCGACCATCCACAGGAAGAAACGCTGAGACTGAGAGCTTTGCCATTGTATATTGGACCAATAATGACTATCACGAATGACTATGAACACATAATATGATCACATCGTTGCATGGATTGTCACATTGACAATTTTACTACAATCCTTTTTTCAAGAAATACAGTGATGATGATTAACATCAAAAATCAAAATAAACATAAAGTGGATTTAGTGATCCAAGCTTTCTACTCCAGTAGCAACGGAATGATCGCATGTTTCATTTGCCAGACACTGAGTACCTGATGCACATTACAATCTGCATAGCATCTAAGCATAGTAAAACTGCCCAAGTCCATTCATTCTAGATTTTAACTTGATAGTTAGCACTAATTTATCTTGCTGTTGTAAGTTATCATTCAATATTCATACCAATACATCAATATGCGCTCATCAGTCAACATTTTCTGGCATGATCCTGCTCAGCGTGCTCTTCAGTATTGCTCCAAGGTCTGCAATATTGTAGCTTGTTTTTGGACAATAAGCTCTTTTAATTTTACTTTTTCTTGCTGATATATGAGCCCGATCACCTTGCGTTTATCAACCAAAATTTAATAACTTGTTCAACTTGATATTGATATTGCTCAGTAGTCAGGACCTCTGTCAGCCTCCTGGGTACTTCAGATTGTTTTCAGTCAACATGCTTCTTAAATATGATATAAGTCAATCTTAAGGGATTCAAAACATCCAACAAAACGACGTACAAGAGCAAGAAAACCACCAGATAAACTAAAAATGGCCTTGGAACAGAGCCAAGTGGTGCTCCATTTGTTTGTTTACAATGATTGTAGTGCTGATGTATTTTTAGGACTCTGAACGTCGGCTTATAAAAAAAAATGAAACGTTTTTACAAAAGTTGTAAGGCAAGTAATATTTATCTGGAAGAACTAAAATATTCAAAAGCCAAACACTATGAAATACATGAATCAGAACGAAAAAGTAACCCAAAAATCCAGCCTAATCACCGGCTCCTAAAACTGCAACACAATCAGCACTTTTCCCCGCAACTCGTTGTCCAGACGTAAATATGCGAACAGCCCTCCTGGCAAGCTTGCTGGACGATACCTGTGTCATAAGTGTATTTCCTATGGCAGGTCGCAGATGAAAATTGTTCAGGTGAGATTACTTGACTGATGTGTTGGCTCATAGCTGGGCTCTCCATTGATGTTTGCAGTGTGAATTTACTCTTGTGCTGTGCAGATTCACAGGAATTTGTATCAGTCTGGGAGGTTTGGTCAATCAGTCATTTTTATCATATGCTATTTTTGTCACATGTGCTAAAAATGACAACGATTCTGCTATTTTTGGGAGCGATCCAGTCTGCAAAACGTGGCAGGGTTCGACAAGATCTGGTTGGGGCAGACACATGCTGCGTTCGGATGGGCGGTTTCGTTTTTTCATCGGGGATCAGGTACTCTCTTTGCAGACGTCACCCGAGCTGCCATATCTATGTCTCACTTGCGCAACAATTGTCTTTTCATGGTTAAATATATAACAAAACATATCTAACCTGACCTTACCTTACCTACAACCTACAACCTACCAACCTACAACCTAACCTGGATGATTAATTCCGTGACGCTGAAAAGCAATGTCTTTTTACATTTGATGCAAAGCTGTGATAGTGTAGCACATTATAGTGTGTGTTAACTGTAGTCAAAAATTTATCTCGTCATTGGAAACAAGTTAAAAATTTACGAAATTTGACCCTTCAGTGAGCCTGAATGTTGACCAACAAAAAGTCAACCAACGTCATTATTTATTACTCCTTTGGTTCCCCGTGTGTCGCAGGTGCGGGGTCAGGAATGCCAGCGCGTGTACCTGGCCGCCCAGCTCCTCAGTGAGCGCGTGGCCAAGGCGGTCTCGCACATCTTCGGTGACCGGTACCGGAAGGAGGCGGAGTTCATCGCCCTCGTCGACCAAGCCTTCGACACGTTCAACTCCCGCCACGTGTCGGACGGCAAACTACACCGGTCGGCGTTTGGGCTGGCCCATACCATCGAGGACCAGTACTCCTGCCTCCTCAAGTTCACGAAGGTGATGCGAGACGCGCGCGTGGTCGGCAGCAACTCGATGCTGCCCTTTCAGAAGGGCTTCGTGATGTCCTCCACCGCTCTGCGCGGCCTGTACAGCGCTGTGCAGCGGCATCACGGGCTCAGCTACCTACTGACCTCCCGGCTCAATCAGGACTGCGTCGAAAACTTCTTCTCGCAGGTAAGCATTCTAACATCAGTCACACATTTTGATGCAACTCAAATAAAACACGGGCGATTCTTTTCTTTCTTTCTTTCTTTTTTTATGCAGGTAAACATTAAGAGCAATATGCACATAGACTATCACACAAAGCCCTTTGTCCTGGTATTGTATCTAGCCTTGAAATTTATTTTAATTTGATTGTTTTAATACGTCTCGCCCGAATGTGTAGCTTACTACATATCTGGGTTGTGTATATAAGTACTTTGACGGCATTTTTTCTATCCTTAAACAATAAACATTCATGGTTTACTCGTAATGAAGACATTGGTCTTTTTTATATATATTAAGTGTTACCCACTCACACTCACCTCTTTTGTGTTATAATAGACTTTAATTACCTCACTCTGATAAACTATGTTTTGTTTCACTTCTTTGATTTCACTGGGTGACCCGGTAATGGTAAAAAACAATAAATATTAGACCTGTTGTCACAGTGGTTAAGTTATACCCCGCACCTTTAATGCCCACCTAATCGAGTCTTTTTTTAGGTATTTTACCAACCACTGTTTCTATTTCAGTTGAGAGGCATGGGTGCGGCGAACACCAACCCCACGGCAGTGGAGGCCAAGAACCGCCTCCGCCTGCTCCTCATAGGAGCTGCGCCGACAGTGGCCGCCGCAACCCACGATGACCCGCGCGAGTCCGGGGCCTCAGTACTGCTGGAGGAGAAGGAGCCGACTTACCTGAGCGCCACGACGCTGGACCTGGACCACGAGCCGCCAGTGGAGCCAGAGGTGCCGGACGCGGACGTCACCGCGGTGGAGAACCTGGTGACCGCCCGCCAGCCGTGTCCGGGACCCGCAGCCAACGCCGGCGCCGCCCCGCCACCTGCAAGCCTTCCCTCTGGAGCAACCGGTGTCGCCAGTCTCTCCAGGCAGGCGCTGGCGTACGTCGCGGGGTACGTGGCCGCTAAGTGCGCCACAGTGGACAGCACGCTCGGCAAGATCACGTCCGATGCCAGCGAGGTACCCCGTGACGAGCGCTACGCCTGGATTGACACCCTCAGCCGCGGCGGCCTCACGGTGCCCAGCGCGCGGTGGCTCGATGAGGTTGAGCAGCTGGAGGTGCTGTTCACCACGATGCACGGAGGAGATGTCGACCGCGGCCCCGGCGTCGTTAGGCGACTTGCCGAGGCTGCTGCGCTGAAGTTCCCGCAGCTGCATCCATACGTACTGAGGAAGTACGCTATGACTAGGACGCAGCTGCGGGTACGTGAGATCCGGCGCCTCATCGGCGACAGAGAACGTCTCCGAAAGGAGCAGCCTACCTGCAGCCGGGAGGCCAAGCGTGCGCGCCTGTACGTGCATCCTGGTGATTAGACTTCAGCGTGGCCCTGCTTTGTGTGCCGCGCCGGCTGTGGCGGAAGCCGGCGGCGGCGTGCCACAAGACTTTAGCGTGGCCTCGCTTTGTGTGCTGCGCTGGCTGTGGCGGGAGCCGGCGGCGGCGTGCCGCAAGACTTCAGCGTGGCCTCGCTTTGTGTGCTGCGCCGCTGCGCTGACTGTGGCGGGAGCCGGCGGCGCCGTGCCGCAAGACTTTAGCGTGGCCTCGCTTTGTGTGCTGCGCCGCTGTGCTGGCTGTGGCGGGAGCCGGCGGTGGCGTGCCGCAAGACTTTAGCGTGGCCTCGCTTTGTGTGCTGCGCCGCTGCGCTGGCTGTGGCGGGAGCCGGCGGCGGCGTGCCGCAAGACTTTAGCGTGGCCTCGCTTTGTGTGCTGCGCCCCTGCGCTGGCTGTGGCGGGAGCCGGCGGCGGCGTGCCGCAAGACTTTAGCGTGGCCCTGCTTTGTGTGCTGCGCCGCTGTGCTGGCTGTGGTTGGAGCCGGCGGCGGCGTGCCGCAAGACTTTAGCGTGGCCTCGCTTTGTGTGCTGCGCCGCTGCGCTGGCTGTGGCGGGAGCCGGCGGCGGCGTGCCGCAAGACTTTAGCGTGGCCTCGCTTTGTGTGCTGCGCCCCTGCGCTGGCTGTGGCGGGAGCCGGCGGCGGCGTGCCGCAAGACTTTTATGGTATTGGTGATCAATGATCATTCACATTCGTGATCGTGGTAACCTCGGTTATTTGCCGTTTGTGAGACTGTTTGGCGCGGTGAGAACTGATATTTGCAGAGCTGAGTTCGGACCGAGCATGTTGGTTCTGCGCTGTTGGTTACTACTCTGTGCTCGTGGTAAATTCACATTATCATTTATACAATTAATGACAGCTCAAGTTTCGCCTCAGTTTTGCGTGTGAGTGGTGAAGCTTGTTTCCGTTTTAAAGTCGTTAATGTGTGTTTTGTGCGCATATTTTTAACCCGGACTTCTTGAAGCATTGAGATGAATATACGAATCGCTGGGAGGGATGCAGATTTTTGGCTCCTCATCAAACTTCCGAATGGATGGTCGAGACAGATTTTTTTGGTGCATTCTCCATCAGTAGGTCAACAAGTCACGTCGATGTCAGGTTAAGTCTGAGACAAGTCACTGCATTGGGTTTAGAGACCAGCTAACGTCATTCAATATTGGAGCGTCCGAGTTCTTAAATGTATGTGGAAACCACTGAACTCTAATGGTGGAAACCGATTTCGCTGCGTGTGGTGGGAGGGTGCTAGCAGCGGCCGTGAAACGTCGCTCACGACGACGTACAGTACGCCGGGATGTCATATAATTAAAACTTTCAGAAAGCGCGTTCTCTCGGCCTTCATTTACACTGGAGATAATAGGTGGACAACCAGCACCATTTCAGAGTTATTTTATTTACAGAAGCGGTTTTGCATCAAAGTCCCTGCCGTAAGTGTTGTGTCTATGCCTGCCGCTGGATATTCGGCATCAGGGATATATAGTTGCGGATGTAAAATAAGAAGCGATGCCAAAATTAGATCAACCAGGAAAGCGACTCTGCCTAATTCAATTCTATCCATTTTCTCACAAATACGCCTATGCTTTACTACGCGGATGATATGCTATTTCTATTTACTGGTAAAGACTCAATTTATAATTTAAGCCTTTTGATAGCTACTTGATTATACATTGAATAACACATTATAATGATTATATTTTGACACAATGTAATAATATAAAGTGTCAATTTATAATAATAGAATTTGAAACATTGGTTAATTTTTAATGTGAACGATATGTACCGTACGCAACTGTTCAAAAGCAGCACACGCATCAATCAGCTGACGCCACATTCCCGGTGGCGCTGCTCACGGTGCACGCCTGCCCGCACGCGTGTTGGTGTCAAATAGAAGCCATGCAAGGCTGATGCAAGGGACAACATGCAAGACGAAAGACTCGCAAAACCTTGCGCAACGGCAGATTATTACCTCAAGATTCCTTTTATTACCTCACCAAGCATGAGGTACAAAAATCCTTCATATGGATGCCTATTTGGAAGCTCCGTGTTTTGCCAGGAAAATATGCGCACCTGTTTCGAAACTGCCGCAATTTTTGTAAACTTGGGCGCGATTGGCGCGTTATTTGTCTGGGATTGTATTATTTTGGTAAAATGGTATCCCCTGTATCATTTACAATCAATAAAACATAATTAAATATTTACAGAACTCTGTTGTATCGTATGATGAGTTACCACGATTTATCTGTATCTGAAGATTCGGATGATGATGGGTGAGTGATTTTCGGCCTCAGTCCATTGTTCATTGTTGCCATTTCAATTTACTGCTAAAGCGAAGCGAAGTACCAGTGTGACCATCAGCAGTTTTTCGATGCCCATTTTGTTTTCTAATAAATCTGTTATTTGGAACTTAGAAGGGTTACTCGCCACGGTACTGCACATTGTAAGACATTGATTTAAAAGTGTTGTGGAGAAGATATGGCTGATTTTGCTAGTTATAAAATATTGGGTACTCTCTTAGCAGACGTCACCCCAGTTGCCAGATCTAATGGCCAGTTGAAAAATCTAGAGACTTTTTGAAAAGTCTCTAAATGGGCAGGAAAATCACCCCCAGGCGTCAATTAGGGGGCGGGGAACACGAATTTGACACTTATTTTGGCCTAACTCCCCTCCTTCATCCCTTAATCCTCCCTTAAAGGACGGGGCGCGTCAAAAGTGCCTCAAGGATTCGTCTGATCGCCAAAATAAGGGTCGCAATCGATTCCTCGCGTCAATATGTGGCCGCAGCCTCACGTTCCAGATGTGTGCAGCGTATCCCTTATCCCTTAATCGTCCCTTAAAGGACGGGGCGCGTCAAAAGCGTCTCAAGGGCTCGTCTGATCGCCAAAATAAGGGTCGCAATCGATTCCTCGGGTCGATATCTAGCCGCAGCCTCACGTTCCTGATGTGTGCAGCGTATCCCTTATCCCTTAATCGTCCCTTAAAGGACGGGGCGCGTCATAAGTGCCTCAAGGGCTCGTCTGATCGCCAAAATAAGGGTCGCAATCGATTCCTCGGGTCGATATCTAGCCGCAGCCTCACGTTCCAGATGTGTGCTGCGTTTCCCTTATCCCTTAATCGTCCCTTAAAGGACGGGGCGCGTCAAAAAAGCCTCAAGGGCTCGTCTGATCGCCAAAATAAGGGTCGCAATCGATTCCTCGTGTCGATATCTAGCCGCAGCCTCACGTTCCTGATGTGTGCAGCGTATCCCTTATCCCTTAATCGTCCCTTAAAGGACGGAGCGCGTCATAAGTGCCTCAAGGGCTCGTCTGATCGCCAAAATAAGGGTCGCAATCGATTCCTCGGGTCGATATCTAGCCGCAGCCTCACGTTCCAGATGTGTGCTGCGTTTCCCTTATCCCTTAATCGTCCCTTAAAGGACGGGGCGCGTCAAAAGTGCCTCAAGGGCTCGTCTGATCGCCAAAATAAGGGTCGCAATCGATTCCTCGGGTCGATATCTAGCCGCAGCCTCACGTTCCTGATGTGTGCAGCGTATCCCTTATCCCTTAATCGTCCCTTAAAGGACGGGGCGCGTCATAAGTGCCTCAAGGGCTCGTCTGATCGCCAAAATAAGGTTCGCAATCGATTCCTCGGGTCGATATCTAGCCGCAGCCTCACGTTCCAGATGTGTGCTGCGTTTCCCTTATCCCTTAATCGTCCCTTAACCCGCGCGGGGCTGGGGTCTCCAGCCGAACGCGCGGGGCTGGGGGGGGGGGGTAAATTTTACCCCCCTGTTATCTCCCGAACTAATGGTCCGATTTGGAAAATTCAAACGCCAATCGAAAGCTCTCATCACGAACTACTAAAAACATGTACTTAATTTAAAGTTTGAGGTCAAGGTCAAGGTCAGGTCAAGGGTACAAATTGCAAGTTTCTACAGTATCGGCCTTGCACCGTAGTTGCCGAAGAATGGAGTCATGGACTGAGACTGATCGCCCAAAACGTGTTCTTAGGCTACCAAGACAATATTCGTTGCATACAATATCATTTAGAGGTCAAGGTCAAGGTCAGGTCAGGTCAGGTCAGGTCACCAAAAAACAAAATATAGAAAAGGGCATGTGCGACACATGTTTTATGGGTCATTTTACTCATAGAATTCAGTAGGCACACTCAATAAGTGATATGGACCACCTCGGGATGAATTTCCGGTCGAGGTCAGGTCAAGGTCAGGTCAAGTGAGGTCAAATTTTGAAGTTAGTTGTTAAGGCCTAAAAAGGTGTCTATCTGATGCAGTTTTTCACGGCGAATCGAATGGTGCTATTTTTGTTTCCGTACGAGGTCTAGAACTTCCAAAAAAGTCATTTTTCAAAAATTTTGTGTGTCGTGACGTCATAAAATTTTGAATAACTCCCACATTTTTGAACCGATTCTTCTAAAATTTGGTATGTATGTGCACATAGACCACTTCTCTGACATATATTCCGGTTTTTTCGATAGACTCAAAATTTTGGATTTTATAATGATTTTCCCAAAAAAATCAGTTTTTTGAAAAAAATTAGGCCAAAATCCAAAATTTTCAAAAAACCGAGATAGCCATTTGATAGACAAAGTAAAATTACGTATAACCTTTTTTGTTACGTCTTGATTCCTTTAAAAATGAAGATGTTAGCGGCGTTTGAACTTTTGCCGTTTTTGAGGCGAAAATGGCGAACATGACGTCACTAAAACGTCAATTTCTCAAAAATTTTCCGACGGATTTCGCTCAAATTTTCAGGGAACGTGTCAAATTGATGTAAGAAAAGGTACTGAAAGTTTGGCGGCGCTGCGCGCCGCCGTTTTTGAGATATCGCAAAAATTCGCGAGGGGGGTAAAATTTACCCCCCCCCCCCAGCCCCGCGCGGGTTAAAGGACGGGGCGCGTTAAAAGTGCCTGAAGGGTTCGTCTGATCGCCCCCCTCCCTACGGAGCGCGATATAACGGGCATTTAACCCGCGCCCGGCTGGGGGTCCTGGATTTCCACGCCCTGCTGGGGGGGGGGTGTTTGAACACCCCCCCTTGTAACTCGGCTCCTGGGCCACGTAGCGATACGCGGAAGGCGGCGTTCGAAAGAGCGTCAAAAATAATGACGAAATCAATTCGGTCAATTTTTTGGTCAGGTCAAAGGTTAGGTCACCAGAGGTCATTGAAGGCAAAATTTCGCCGATTTCCAGGTCGAATATCGAAAATTTCCAAGAAGCCAACGCATAACTCGGGAACCAATAGAGCTACGGCGCCGCGGAAAAGCGCATTCGATAGCCCTATTAACGCCCTTTCTGAGTAATTCTCTCAGATTTGACCTAACGTCAACGGTTTTGCCTGCAGGGGGCAAAAACTGCAAAAATAGCCGATTTTTTCGGAAACAGTTTTTCGGCAATAACTTTTGACCCAAGCCTTGTACGAGCTTACTTTTACCGGTATCGTGTTCCTCTCGTCAAGACGCATCGAATGAACTATAACTTGACCTTGAAAGGTCAACTTGAAAATTTGACCTCAGGTCAAGGTCATGACCTGACCGGAAAGGGTCATATTGCATATCAGTCGATCCGTATCGTCGAGCTGAACACATCTAAGGCGTTTTCATCGCTCTAGCATGCCTCTATCAAAAGTTATTTGCGAAAAACTGTTAGATACAATTCGTGACCTAAGATGACCTCAGGGCATAAACAAGGGTCACGGACACCATTTTCATGTTCAGTGTGACTAAACCACTTGTAATTCAGTGTTTGGGAGTGTTTATAATGTCTTTCGTCCAAAAGAGGCGCATTTCAATTTTCTCCCATTGACTTATAATGGGGAGGTCGCAAAATTGACCTGACCTTAGGTCACCGATATCAAAATTCCGAGATATACATTTTATAGATACTGTTACTCTTATCAATCGCTGAAAGTTTCAAAGCGATCGGTCACTCGGTGTAGCTATGACAGACATTGAAACTTTTTATGAGGTGAGGTCACTTCAAGTGACCTGGTGACCTGACCTTGAATGACCTTGGTCTGAAATTTTCACAACATGTGTAGAATTGATGTATGATAAGGTATACCAAAAACGGCGGCGCTCCGCGCCGCCGTTTTTGAGATATTCGCGAAAAACCACAAGGGGGGTGTTCAAACACCCCCCCCCCCAGCAGGGCGCGGGTTAAGGGGTAAGGGACCGGTGCCAAACATCTGGACTGGAACCCAAAACTGCGGCTAGATATCGACCAGAGGAATCGATTGCGACCATTATTTTGGCGATCAGACGACACCTTGAGGCACTTTTGACACACCCCTTCCTCTAAGGGGCGATTAAGGGATAAGGGATACGCTGTACACATCTGGAACGTGAGGCTGCGGCCACATATTGACGCGAGGAATCGATTGCGACCCTTATTTTGGCGATCAGACGAATCCTTGAGGCACTTTTGACGCGCCCCGTCCTTTAAGGGAGGATTAAGGGATGAAGGAGGGGAGTTAGGCCAAAATAAGTGTCAAATTCGTGTTCCCCGCCCCCTAATTGACCCCTGGGGGTGATTTTCCTGCCCATTTAGAGACGTTTCAAAAAGTCTCTAGATTTTTCAACTGGCCATTAGATCTGGCAACTGGGGTGACGTCTGCTAAGAGAGTACCAAATATTGTGAATGTTTTACCTTAATCTCGACTCAATTCAGCTAGTAAATTAAATGAAAGCCTCAACTGATGTCGAACATATTTGTGATTGTGTACAGTGCATTACGTTCCTAACGGGTATTTCCATCCATCCTCAGATGGTATGTGCCACTGCTGCAAAGACTGGCACCATCAGATGAGTCTGCTGGCAGCAGCTTTCAGGACCCAATCAGACTGGAATCTCCTGAAAGGGTAACACTACCAAACAGAGAAGTGTGTGAACTTTTGGAGAGATGCAATGCCGCAGTGAAATATTTTGTGATCCATTAATTTACAGCAAATAATCTTACCTTGGTGACAACTTTTTTAAGAATATAAATGCTGTTGATGCACACTGGCACTACCTAAGGATGATGATTGACAATTTATTTATTTCAAAAGTTACAAGTGTTCTTGCATTTCATGAATGATATGAGGTGACTGATGCCTAACATTAGACAATTTTCTTACCTACCAGCAATGTTTATTGATGAACTCTGCTGTCTCCAGGACCAACCACGCAGCCGTTCGCCGCATCGAAGCCCGCCACCGGCACTTCCACCGACTCAGAATGGCGTCAGTAGGCCAGCGGCGACCACCACCTCAGGGCGGCAGCGTGGCGGCGGACGAGGCGCTGCCAGTCGACAGAAGGCGCTGGAAAAAGAACTGAGGCGCGCCGAGACGGCAGCGCGGCGCATGGAGCGGCCCGAACACTGCCAGAAGGTGAGTCAGTGGGGAACGGCAGGCTCGGTACTCGGGACACTCAACCAAGGCTAGGACAGCTGCCAGGTGAATAGTCCGAGGACTGAGTTGTGGGGGGCGGGGCTGGCCACTGGGCATCCATGTGACCAGGTCAGGGCATTCCCAGGTGCGTAGACTGGGTACTGAGGAGTGCCGGTAAGTGTCCTTGGGATTGGGGCACTAAGCTGAATATGTCAGGGCATTGCTGGAGTACGGAGTGTCAAAGAGGTCAGTAAGTGTCCATAGGGGCTCTAGGAACCAACTGACTAGTATGTATGTCGATTAGGATTTTCCCGATCGGACGGTTGAGTTCACGGCCCGCACACAGCACAAACTTCGCTTAGCCGTGGCTCTTGCTGTGTCAACCCGTCCGTTCAAAGACGTCTAAACTAAATTTATCCTCAACGAAAGGGTAACGATCGTATGCTTGTGCAATGTGCACAAGGAATTAGTTCTGTAACTCTTCGCATGATATATTGTCACTGTTCAAATCTTTAGCATACTTTGTTTGCCGGTTTTCTGCGAGTCGCTGCTCGGCACACTAACTGTAACATCTTTATTTGCCTCTTTGCGGCCAGTCTCTACACGCGCTGGTGGACCGCCGCGTGCTGGAGGTGCCCGGCGGCGGTCAGCTGCTGGCCGCCCTCCAGGAGAACTCTGACGTCACTGTACACGTCATCACGGCCGCCCAGCCGGGCACCGTCACCTGGGAGCGGGAAGTGAGCGGCTGCCTCGAGCGCGATGGACAGGTGGGCTCCGGCGGACGGATTCACAGAGACAGAGGTATCGTAATTCGTAGGGGCTGACGCTGTATCTATTACCGGCGCCATTGATGTATGGTACACTCGGAATCGGTACTTACTACTTACTATCATGAGCGATCCAAACATGGCGTGACGATTACGGCTCAGAGTCCTGGCACACACTATTCCAGTCGGACAGTCACAGACTAGCAGAGGGCCATTTAAGTGTCATTTTCCGAAATCTCGTGCAACGGTGTGTGTTGTAACAAGTAATGAAGGAGCATAATGCTTCAAATTTTAGGTAATTTGCAGCTGATTTTTAATTGGTTTAGTAAAAAAAAAGTTTGTTTGAAAACGCCTTGTCGGGACACTTATAGAGTAAGTATCGTAATACTAATACGATAATGTGAACTTTTAATCAGGTTGTTTCCTAGTCAGCCTGCTGTTTTCAAGACACAAGGGATGATAAGCAAAATGATTATTTACTATGGGACTAAACCGATATTAGGCCTCACACATCCATATGCTCCGTAGTTGATGAGTGAGGTACACAATTCGTGGAACATAGCGCTGAACTGTCAGATCAGATGTTGCACCATCTGATGTTCTCTGACCCCTCTGATCCTCGTGCTGTTCTCAGGCGGTAACCACCACTCGGCGGGAGTCTCAGGACCACCTAGTAGCTGTCATAGAGGCTGCCACGCTGGCCTCACTGGTCCAGACCGGTCAACAAACAGTGTCGGGTGGGCGGGGGCTGACCGAGACAATGCTCCAGCTGGGCAGGGAGACCGGCAAAAAGGTCACCATACTCTGCTGGGATCTGGACAAGCTCTGCAGGTCAGATTATCAGGGATGGGGCAGGGTGAGGTATGATGAAACGCTTATTGGTGGTTGTCCTAGTGCAATGCTGGCGCTAGGTAGTGCTGACTAGCTAGCCAGTTATTGTGAAGTAATGTTCAACAGACGATGAAGTTTAGTTCATGTCATTACATAACTAATCTGAAACGATTTAAGGTATTTTTCGGATATTACGTCAAGATGGTAGAATTTTCGGATTTTAATGATAAACATTAGTGACTTTTCCATAAGTACAATCCAACCAAACGTCACCACCTTTCCTTTACCTTGCTTACCCTCACTCCCCGCGACAGGACGAAGAAGGTGACCGGCAGTTACGGTCGCGCGGCGGCGGGCGGCGGCGGCGGGCGCAGACTGGAGCGTCTCCAACTGGAGGACGCTGTGGTGGACTCACTGCTGGAGACTCCCCACTCGCTACGGATCGTCACAACACCGGCCGACGGCGGCGTCTTTCTAGCTCAGATGACCAAAGCCATAGCTGAGGAGCCGTTCAAGTAAGAAAGGGGATGGGATGTGTTTCTAATCTAGTCGATCCGCGAGATTTGCGTTACATTCCAGTCAGATTATATCTGACTTGACTTGAACAGTTGTGTGATGGAGTTCATACTTCAAAGTCAAAATGGTTTATATTGAAGAGCAAATTTACATTGTTATCGCTACCTAGCGCGTGACTAAGGTCTGAATTACATCTTTGCCGCAACGGTAAATTGTGTCGGTCATCCCTTTCAAGATTGTTACATTGCCTGAATTCTCCAAATTTTCTGCGTGGCTTATTGTCCCCAACGGGTACTTGTCTGTTGTGGGTCATCTAAGCACGTCCGCACCCGTATGATGTACTAGATAACTTAAACGACAGCTAGTCATAGGCCTCCAATGACTCCCCCCGCCCGCAGGCGCCAGCGCGGCCGTCACCCGTTCGCGTGGTTCGCTGACGCCGACTCGGCCCGCCCGGTGAAGGTGGACGCCTCCCTGCGCGGACTGAGACGACTGTGGACGGAACAGCTGCGTCCCCTGTGTGGGGGCTCCCTGGAGACGGCCCAGGCCGTCGGAGAGGCCTACCCGAGCCCGCAGGCGCTGCTTCAGGTCAGTATGGGGCGGGGACCGCTGCTGGTTTATTGGGGCTTTAGGGCGCGCCGACTACAAACTGGTCATTTTGGCTGGCAGCGCTGGGGAGGGATTCTGCTCAGAGCCCAAAGGAGGCGGCTTATAGAGCTTTGGTGGTAGGTGTGAGACTTAATTCTGTTTGTTTATTAGGGGTTTATAACTCAGATACTTAGTTAAGTACTAAATGCCTCGGCATGCTGAGTCCTCCAGACAAATTCCGGACAGGTTTACAGCATATGATACCCAATACTAAGGCAAGTGTTTTCATCCAAGCTCAGGTAGATATTTTGCTCTATTCGTCTCTGCGGCACCCCCACTCCCCTCTGTCTCTGACGGCACGCCCCTCTTCCTCTTGCACAGGGGTTCGCGTCGTGCGCGTCTGTCGAGCAGCGCGAGCGGCTGGTGGCGGATCTGACTGTGCGCAGGTCGGTCGGACCGCTGGTATCGTCACGGCGGGTTGGAAACGAGACCAGCCGACGACTTTATGCGGCCATGACCGCCACCGACGGCGACCTGGAGCTGTGACGTCATGGGTGTGAGAAGTGACGTCACCAGCGGGCGAGAAGTGACGTCATCAGTACAGTGAGGCCATCAGCGGGAGGTGGGGATAGCGCACAGCACAGCATTCCATGTACATATTTCAAGTCATTTTTGTGTAAAATAAATGTTTTGCAATCTGTAGTTGGTTGGCTGGTTCGCGTGATTTCATTTCGCCGGCCGCTGGTGATAACCGAATAACATGTGAGCCAACTGAGCTGATTTTAAGTGCGTCGTTATGACGGGTCTACTGTACCAATAACGGGTCTACATACACTATCAGGGAGGCATATTCGCGGAGATATCACAGAAACTCTCCTTTCGTCATATGACTGCAGAAGGTATTTTGTGTTCAAACTGGTTCAGTTGATTGCGCGTGTTCATCAATGCTGTATTGGGATAGGTCAAGTCAGTACAACCAGCCCGGTCGCAATTAAGGAATCGTCGAATATTGACAACTGGAATGATTCTTTATGTAACTGTTAATAATTATCACAATATCCCAATGATGTAGCTAACCTATCACCGTCTTCAAGACTGTACACCATTTAACACTCCCCCCCCACACACACACGAAAACACGCATTTGACATGCAGCTCCAAGCTTCAGAGTCTATAGTGTATAAATCTACTGGGTCGATGGATGAGACCACCGGGTGGGGCAGCAATGCAACGGAGTGCTCCGAGGCCACTGCAAATGTTTATCGCTGAGTCTGTCGGTCACGGGACCGGGCCGCCTGACCGGATGTGGCGCCTCTGATAGAGGCCAGCCGCACCGAGCTCTGCAGACGTCCTGCCAGCTCCGAGCCGTCAGTCCGAGGGCGGCAGCCGACGCCGCCGGCACCTGCTTCTAGGCCAACATGGCTAGCACAGTGATCGGTGTGATACTTGTCGTCTGGACCGCCCTGGCCGGATGGACCGCGGCGCAGCAGCAGCAGCCGGCCGCCCTGCCCACTGCCGACGAGGTGTACAGTTACATAGCAAGAGCAGTTCATCGAGAGCTACAGCCCGTCGTCAGCAAACTCGAGTCTCGGGTGGAGTCCCTGGACACCAGACTGACTCTGCTTGACTCCAGGATGAGTACGCTGACTGCCCACGTGTTGACGAACCGACTGGGTGAGCAGATGGATGAGATGTCCAGTCAACTGAGTGGAATTACTGCCAGACTCGACAGTCAGCAATCTCAACTGAGCGAACTCAACACCCAGCTGAATGAACAAAAATCGCAACAAGAGGAGACCGCAGCCACAGTGAATAATCGCACGGCGCAAATGGATATCATCGTTAAACAACAAGGAGATCAACTCGCACAGACGTCTCAACTGGCTAGAAGGCTCGACAGCCAGGAATCTCAACTGAACGAGCTCAACGTCCAGCTAAACGAACAAAAAACGACTCAGAGTGAGCTTTCCATCAGAGTGAATAGCCTGGATAACCTGACCTCCCAGGTTGATATTCTAGGATACAAGCTGACCGAAGCTATAAACAACACATCATCCCAACAGGAGCGTATTGGTGACCTCGCTGCTAAGATAAAACAGTTGGCCCCTGCACGTGATTGCAGCGACTTGCCTGTCGACTCCCCATCAGGAGTCTACCTCCTTCTGCCCAGTGGCGACAACAAACAGCCACCCGTTGAGGCCTACTGCGACATGGAATTTGCCGGAGGGAACTGGACGGTGATCCAGCGGAGAGACAATATCGAGCCCCGCCAGGATTTCTACCTGGGATGGAAGGAGTATAAGGAGGGATTCGGTAACGTAACCCAAGAATTCTGGTGGGGCCTTGAGCACCTGTTTCAGCTGACGTCATCAGACCGACGTTACGAGCTTCGAGTTGATCTTGAGGCGTTCGACGGCAGTCGACGATACGCTACCTACCAACAGTTCCGTATCTCGTCTGAGCTGTACGGCTACAGACTGAGCGCCTCTGACTACTCGGGAAATGCCACGGATGGTCTGAAGTATGCCGTCAAAAGGAAGTTCTCCACCCGTGACCGTGACCAGGACGACTGGGGTGACGGTCACTGTGCACAGGACCATCAGGGGGCCTGGTGGTACAGCGGGTGCGGGTGGAGCAACCTGAACGGACGGTACCGGGACGGCGGTGATGTGGACAAGACGGGAATATGGTGGTACAGGTGGAGGAGATTTGAGTCACTGAAGAAGACCGCAATGAAGATCAGGCCCACCTAACTCAGCTACGCACCGAGGAGGTCATCACAGAGATGTACAGTCGGTGTCACAAACACCGTGCGGCAGTCGCTCGGACACTAGCGGGGTCAAAAGCAGTGTGATTAACCCAGACACTGGTGGTGCTGTGAGTTAGAGGGCGTTCTAACCTGGTGAGAGTATGAAATGTTGGGAACACGTTATTTCATAGGGCCGGAACGAAGTACGTTCCTTTCCCATAGGTGGGGGCAATGTACCCACTCTCTGTATGCATACAGCCCTGGTCGTGAAGTCAATCATTTGTGTCACATGCTTGAAAATGTACTCCGGTAATGCTTGGATAAATAAACAGTTATTTGAATGCTGATGTACAGGGTGATTTTTTTTAACTGTTAAAAAGTAAACGTCAATGGTGGTCCCTAAATCGAAAAATCGCGTGCAAAAAAGCATTGCACGTGATAGATAAATCTGGGACATTTTGTATGGTGTCATCATTTATCCCTTTTGACCGACGGCCTCGGCCCCAATGGAGCCTGAAAATGTCCCACCAATCGGGCACGCATGGTCCACCGCCGTTCAGAAAGGAACGACACAAAACGATGATTTTGAAGCATTGAGGCAGTTCGAAGCATACGATGATCAAGGAGATGCCTCAGAAAGACGTTAAATAACGCATGAACAAGCTTGTAGTCATAAATAACCTTCAAACGGTCCATCTGGCGTATGAGCAGCTTTTGAAGAATCAGTCTTCAGGGAGAAAGAAAAACAGCGAATCAGACACCATCAGGGCCGCCAGTATCAAAATCCTCGACCTGCCCTCCCTAAACTTCTAGTTTTTGGACCCAGCTATGGCAGATATAACAAGAAAACAGTGGAAATATCTGGCAGAGCTGAAAATGGGCGATAGGAGCCTTTTCAGTCCGCCTAATGAGTATGGGAATCCATGGTGCTGTTTAACACGTGCTCAGGCGGGCTGAGTCGTGTCGGTGAGAGAGGGGGTAACTTCAAGCACAAGTAAAATACACGATGGACGTTCCTTTGCATCGTGTCTGCATGAAATCAAAATGTCCCAGAATGCTCGTCATCCTGGCATACAATTTTGCAAGATATATTTGCATTTTAACCCCACTAGACCTCATTACTTTTTAACAAGTAAAAAAAATCACCCTGTATAATTTGCCATCGCACAATACGAATTTCTGACAGCTCGCCCAACGGGTAAGCCAGTGGGACTATTGACCTATCTCATCTGATATAATCCCATTTGTCATGTACCATTTTATCCCACCAATTGTCCCATCAGTACAAGCTGCTTTCGAAGGAGCTGTTTCCGCCGCCGCCTGACACCGCCCCCACTCAGCTGTCGAGAGTCACTGTCACAGCACGGCGTACACAGCCGCTACACAGGGGACGGCGGTGTTACACAGGGGACGGTGGTGTTACACAGCTTGGGACGGCGGTGTTACACAGGGGACGGGGTATTACACAGGGGACGGGGGTATTACACAGCTTGGGACGGGGGTATTATACAGGGGACGGTGGTGTTACACAGCTTGGGACGGGGGTATTATACAGGGGACGGTGGTATTACACAGGGGACGGTGGTGTTACACAGGGGACGGTGTTACACAGGGGACGGTGTTACACAGGGGACGGGGGTATTTCACAGGGGACGGGGTGTTACACAGGGGACGGGGTGTTACACAGTGGACGGTGTTGTTACACAGGGGACGGTGGTGTTACACAGTGGACGGTGTTGTTACACAGGGGACGGGGGTATTTCACAGGGGACGGGGGTATTTCACAGGGGACGGGGGTGTTACACAGCTGGGTGTTACACAGCTTGGGACGGGGTGTTACACAGGGGACGGGGGTATTTCACAGAGGACGGGGTGTTACACTGGGCACGGCGGTGTTAGTGTTACACAGGGAACAGTAGTGTTACGTAGGGTTATAAGTGTAAACACAGTTGTGACACGGCACACAGTGAACATATGGACTGACAAGAGAAACTGGGTAAAATAAACCTCCGCTGAGTCGAGAAGTGTCGGCAAAAGCGCGAGAAAAGCACAGCTTTATTCTCCCAATCTCGATGGTGGTGGTCGAGAAGAGTGCGTGTGTGTGAATGAGAGTGAGTGAGTGAGTGAGTGAGTGAGTGAGTGAGTGAGTGAGTGAGTGAGTGAGTGAGTGAGTGAGTGAGTGAGTGAGTGAGTGAGTGAGTGAGTGAGAGAGAGAGAGAGAGAGAGAGAGAGAGAGAGAGAGAGAGAGAGAGAGAGAGAGAGAGAGAGAGAGAGAGAGAGAGAGAGAGAGAGAGAGAGAGAGAGAGAGACGATTAGGTCAGATAAGGTCAGATTAGATTAGTTAGGTTAGATCCTCCGGGGTCAGGGTCACGTCCGCCTCCTTGTAAGATTAGGCTGGATCTATCTTTATTATTCATATACCTGCAGCACGGGTGCGTCCTACTGAAAGATCAAGAAAGAACAATTGAGACTGCAGTAAGACGTTATATTGTTCATGTCGATAAACACACATCTATTACTAACCACGTCATTCAGTCATGTCGCCGCCAAACGGCGCCGAGTCGAGAAAAAGCAAACAAAAACACGATAGCCGACCGTAAGGATTCTCCCCAGCGGCAGTTCACGAGTCCGTGACCAATGTACAGACATATTCAGACAGCCAACAACTGACAACATAAACATGTCAACAGTCGCGACAGGTTGGACGACGCCGAAGCAGAGATGCGCAAGGTGAATTCTCAGTAGGTGGCCGGCTGGTCGGGGTCCCACCAGTGGCTCAGTAGGTGGCCGGGGTCCCACCAGTAGCTCAGTAGGTGGCCGGGGTCCTACTAGTGGCTCAGAACTGGCCGGGGTCCCACCAGTGACTCAGTAGGTGGCCGGGCCGCTGGTCGGGGTCCCACCATTAGCTCAGTAGGTGGCCGGGCCGCTGGTCGGGGTCCCACCAGTAGTAGCTCAGTAGGTGGCCGGGGTCCCACCAGTGGCTCAGTAGGTGGCCGGCTGGCCGGGGTCCCACCAGTAGCTCAGTAGGTGGCCGGGGTCCCACCAGTGGCTCAGTAGGTGGCCGGCTGGTCGGGGTCCCACCAGCTCTGGCGCGGATCGCCCGCCGTCGAGTCGGCCGTGTCTGTAGCCTGCTCCGTCAGCGCGGCCACGCCCTCCTCCGGGGTCACCGTGACCGCCTCCAGGTGCTCCTGGCCGGGTCAGCGGTCACCGGGTCAGGTCACCGGGTCAGACGACACAAGTCAACTGGGCGAGGTACACGGCAGGGTCAACTCATGTCCACACCTGTCATAAATGGAGGTAAAACGACTCCTAACAACTTGTAACACAAGCTGCCAGTTGAGGCAATAAACTGAAACTGTCGAAGGGTCACGCTTTTACCAATTCACGGTAAAAGGCAAAAGCAGAATTGGAGTATATTTTAAGAGCTGTCACTGACACATCGTTTCACGCAGTTTTTCAGCTTTGCAAATTCAATAGGATTTACTTATTTCCATGATATCTGATACGCTTTAGGCATAAGTAACCGATACGCTTTAGGTAAAGCAAAAAAAAAAAAAAACATTCCCAAGTCTCTCTCCGTCCCCCCCCCGCCGTTCCCGTCCTTACGATTGGTCCGGCGACGTGCAGCTGGACGTCCTCAAAGACCACGTTGGCCACGCCGTGTTTGATTCGCATGTGAGCCGTCAACAGACGCCGGGAGTGGAACCCGGAGCCGCACTCCTGACAGTAAAACCTGGCACAAGGAGGAGTCAGCGGTACAACACGGGTTGCTAGGCAACCGGTGTAATATTTGACACACAGAGGATACAGCGTTACAGCACGGGTTGCTAAGCAACTCGTGTAAAACCTGGGACACGGAGGTTACAATTTACAACACGGGTTTCTAGGTAACCGGTCAGTAAAACCTGGCACACGGAGGATACAGCGTTACAACATGGGTTGCTAAGCAACTCGTGTAAAACATAAGACACGGGAAATACAGTGGTTAGAACCAAGTTAGAACCAGGTTAGATCATTCGTAGCTCAGCAACTATAACATCTGGTGGCTCAGCTCGGCGGCGTTGGTTCCCCGTGAGACACCAGCCGGTGGTGCTGGTTCCCCGTGTCACCAGCTCGTTTGTGCTGGTCCCCGTGTCACCACTGACCTCAGCTCGGTGGTGACGGTGCCATCGGTGATGGTGCCCAAGAAGGTCGACTCCCGAACATCCTCAAATTCGATTTCCACCACTCCGTGTTTGTGCCGCATGTGGGCGGTGAGCTGCTGCTTCTGACGGAAGCCGTCACCGCACTCCTGGCAGTAGAAGCTGCCACACCAAACACACACTTTAGCTGGGGAATGTGACACATTACCAGGAACGGTCGGGGATTTGGGGTGGTATCTGGATCAGACGAAACTTGGGGAGTACGAATGAATTGGGAAATTAAATACATTAATTTATGATAGGCAAAAAAAAATGTCCTGATACAATACGATCAGCGGTAGTTAGGAACGATTTAATTATGGCTTTGATTGAAATATGCCTTTGAAAAAATACGATAAAATTCTACGATTCATGAGTGTCACTGGCCTATGGTTTGTTTACAAAGCGACTCTGCCAAAAGTGTCGATACCAGAGACGTTTAGTTTCGTTTTTATACCCTCCCCGTCCCCCTCTTCCCCCCTCCCGGTGACGGGTCACCCACCGGTACGAGTTGGTGTGGATCATCTCGTGTCTCTGCATGCTGTACAGCGAGACGAAGCCCTTGCCGCAGTGGTTGCAGATGTGAGGTCGCTCCTTCATGTGAACCCGCTGTCAGGACAACACGGGCACGGCGTCAGTGTGTGACGTCACACATACAGGTAGGTGACGTCACACTCACACAGGTAGGTGACGTCACACTCACACACGGTGACGTCACTCAAACACAGACCAATCGGCGGAGGATACACCGTGTAACGGCGCGGGTCATATACACACGGGCACGGCCGTCAGTCCGCTGAGCGGCAGTGGCGTAGACCGCGTGGTGGGCAGCCACGAACGGGTCACGGGGCCGACAGGCGACAACCATCTGACAAACGTCATCTGATGGCTCGTACAAACGTCATCTGACGGCCAGTACGGTGATTTACATAAGGAGGGAACGTTCGACGTGTCGGAGTGAGGACGTCGGTCGGTATCTATCAAATGGTCCGAACTGTTCTACATCACTCAACAGTGACTGGAAACGAAACAATACATAGCGACACACACAAATGACTAACCACAAACAACTAACGGAAAGTGGACATTTGTGGGCAGATAACGAGTTATCGATTGGTGACCAGAGCCAACACCACATAACACAACTTACGAGCCATACACTACCTGCATTACTATATTATGTAGTGCGCTATATCTATGTATACGGTGTGGTATGTAGTAATCTATGTATGACCAGTGACCACACAGAAGACCCCCAGTCGCCGCAGCTGCCCAATCCAAATCTCGCCGCTCGCCGTCGTAGCGGTTCTCTAACCTTGATGTGTCCGGCAATGACGTCCTCTCGGCTGAACAGTTTCTTACAGATGGGGCACGGGTGACGCACGTGAGAGGCCACGTGCCGTCTCAGCCGGTGCGAGATGTGCTTCTTACAGATGTCGCACTGGCCACCTGACAGAAGACAGAGTGTCAGTTGACCCTCGGATTGGTTTTGTACAGCTGAATACAGAATGATGCAGTTCCACTCATAGAGATCTTATATACATGTGTATTAGATCTCATCTATGGTTCCACTTTTCACAGGCAATCAGTTGCCTGGAGTGGTAGGCTGTGCCGCATCACACAGGCTGATTGACAAAGTTTAATGCTGTGACCCAACGCTCACCATCGATGCGCTGAATTGCATAAAAAGCGGAACAAATTAGCCTTCCAGTCAACTGATAGCTTCTGAGAAGTGGAACATCATTCTGTAGTCAACTGTACATCATTAGCCCCGGTCGAGAGAGAAGGGATGCACCCCCTGGCCATTTCAACCCTAGTTGTGCTACGGTGGCCGGGCGCCTCGTGGGTGAAAACGAGCGTTTGCGACGTTACAATACACAGCGACTGGTACTAGATTTTCAAGTCACGGGTCAACCGATGGCCTCTGAGGTCAGGTCAAGGATCCCAAGGTGGGGCGTTCCACGACAAATCGACCAGTGCCCTGCACCCTCATATTTTATTTTTTGCTTAAAATTGGTCTAATGGGTTGTGATGGGCGGGGAAGCCAGCTGTGACAAGGATTTTTTTCTTCGAACAACGGTTTCCGAGATATAGCCTCGGGCAATTCCTGGAGGTCGCGCTGCAGCCTTATGTTTGGCGGCCTATAACTAAAAAACTATTGGTTTTCTGCGGTAAAAACTCTATATGGTTCACCTCACAATCAGCCAACAAACATTTTGGCTATCTCGGATTTTCAATTTTTGAAAATTTTGATCACGTGACCTTTTGACCTATCTTTCGAAGAGTGACCTTGATATTTTCCCCACTGAAAGTTGCAATTTTGTCTGATGACGATTAAAGCCTTACCAATTGTTATTCATATGCGAAAATAAAAAAGTGGATATCGCCCTGCGCTGACCTCAGGTCAGGTCATTTTAATGACCTGTCCATTATTACGAGCGGGAGCGACAGCGAGATCTCGAGAATAAAGCAAGATAGCGACAAGCGGTAAACGGTGCAGGGTACACACGGATAAGGTCTATAATTTTTACTGAGGTCATTTTCAGGTCAGGTCAAAGATGACGTCACAGGAGCAAAAAAGGAAGTCAAAATTGCGGCACTACATATATATGAAGTTTTTCTCGAATAACTTTCAAGGTATCCCAGCTAGGAACAAACTAATATCACCATCGTGATCCTCTCGTCGATCCGCATCGAAACATATTTGAGTTGACCTCGAAAGGTCGAAAGGTCAAAAGTTGACCTTAAGTCACGTGACCTAAGGTCAACTTTTGACCTTTCGACCTTTCGAGGTCAACATACATATCTTTCGATGCGGATCGACGAGAGGATTACGATGGTGCTATTAGTTTGTTCCTAGCTGGGATACCTTGAAAGTTATTCGAGAAAAACTTCATATACATATATGTAGTGCCGCAATTTCGACTTCCTTTTTGCTCCTATGACGTCATCTTTGACCTGACCTGAAAATGACCTTTGTAAAAATTATAGACCTTATCCGTGTGTACCCTGCACCGTTTACCGCTTGTCGTTATCTTGCTTTATTCTCGAGATCTCGCTGTCGCTCCCGCTCGTCACGTGACCTAAGGTCAACTTTTGACCTTTCGACCTTTCGAGGTCAACATACATATGTTTCGATGCGGATCGTCGAGAGGATCACGATGGTGCTATTGGTTTGTTCCTAGCTGGGATACCTTGAAAGTTATTCGAGAAAAACTTCATATATATGTAGTGCAGCAATTTTGACTTCCTTTTTGCTCCTGTGACGTCATCTTTGACCTGACCTGAAAATGACCTCAGTAAAAATTATAGACCTTATCCGTTTGTACCCTGCAACGTTTACCGCTTGCCGCTATCTTGCTTTATTCTCGAGATCTCACTGTCGCTCCCGCTCGTAATAATGGACAGGTCATAAAAATGACCTGACCTGAGGTCAACGCAGGGCGATATCCACTTTTTTATTTTCGCATATGAATGACAATCGATAAGGCTTTAATCGTCATCAGACAAAATTGCAACTTTCAGTGGGGAAAATATCAAGGTCACTCTTCGAAAAATAGGTCAAAAGGTCACGTGATCTAAATTTTCAAAAAATGAAAATCCCAGATAGCCAAAATGTTTGTTGTCTGATTGTGAGTTGAACCATATAAAGTTTTTATCGTAGAAAACCAATAGTTTTTGAGTTATAGGCCGCCAAACATAGGGCTGCAGCGCGACCTCCAGGAATTGCCCGAGGCTATATCTCGGAAACCGTTGTTCGGAGAAAAAATCCTTCCCACAGCTGTCTTCCCCGCCCATCACAACCCCTTACACCAGTTTTCAACGAAAAATAAAATATGAGGGTGCAAATTTAATTTTTTATTTGTCGATTTGTCGTGGAACGCCCCAGGTACTTGCCGGTGAAGTTCGTCAAAAAGTTCATGAAAAACTGCGATTTGGGCATCATTGAATTGCTACGTTCTAGCACATGTATCTTTTTTTGCGTAAGGTCAACGTGGACGATGACATCAAGTCAAGCTCAGGTCCCAGCTTCTTTGGTCACGTAGTAATTGGTTGAGATCATGTCGAGTGCATGTCGTATACCACTTAATTTGACAGGTCTTCCTGATTCCATTGATGGCTTGCTCCAGTTCGCTAGCTTAATTTGACAGACTTATTGACGAAAACACCAACAAAACTAGTTGTGTGGCTTCGTGAGTTTGCTAGGACCTGCTAGTTTCACTCTCTATGCATTCTTCTTGGCACTGAGGGCGTTGAGAAGTTCATGAAGTAATTTTGGGACCGTGCGGAGGTTCACTTATAACGGCATTGGGCATTGACCTGACCTCAAAATGCATTGGAATCAAACAATCCACCTTGAATCAAATGTAGGCTGAGTCGCCTTTCAGCTCTCTAACGCTGTGTTCCGAGAACTCATGAAAATCATCAGCGTAGTGACACTCTCCCCCTCCCCCCACACTCGGCAGACGAGGTGGGGGGGGGGGGGGGGGCGCCCCGCGTATAGTGACACTCTCCCCCCTCAACCCCCCCACACACACACTCGGCAGACGAGATGGGTAGGGTAGGGGCGCCCCCCCCCCTCCCCCACCTTATAAACAAGCAGCGCGGTAAGGCCTCAACGGCACTATGAACCTCTTGGATTAATGTCATGCAAATAAACCGTGGAGGGTTGACCCGGGAGCTTGGAACGCTCCTACCCGACAGTACAGAAACAATCCACAGCAGAGCGGGCCGGTTGACCACACACGATGGCAACAAGCACTGGCGAGCTTTCCAAATGTCGTCGGCTTCAGACGAGGGACAAATACACTAACCACAGGATATAAGGGACAAGGTGCATCAGCTCAGTGCCTTTGATCTAATTTGGATGACCCAGCTATGAGTAATGATAATAAGCTGCAGCTTCATGCATCACTGCAGAGGAGGCTCTTCAAAATATGAATTTGAAACGAGGAGAAGTAGAAGTCCGTACTTTTAAACCAGTAACTTTTCATAAACTACTTTACTACGAAGACGAAGATGGTGGGTAAGAATACGATGGTAAATACAAGGTAGGTGTGGATGTTGTGGATAAACTACTTTGTACCCCAAGGGTGCTCAGCACCCACCACTTGTACCCATTGGTGTGACAGTTGCATCCCAGGGGTGTGGCACCATCACTAACTCTACCCAGGAGGGTGCACAATCCGCCAGTAATGTACCCCAGGGGTGCAGCTACCCACCAGTTGCACCCCAGGGGTGCAGCACCCACCTGCCAGCGACGCGCTGACCAGTTTTCCGTCCACATCCACCAGCGCCTCTGACCGCCCCCAGTCGGAGTCGTGCGTTCTTCGGTAGTGCATCTTCAGGTTTTTGACGTCCTTGCCGCACAAGTGACACGTGCCTGTCCAGGGGGAAAGGAGGGGGGGGGGGGGGGGTCAGATGGCAGCTGTGAGAAGTGGCTGAAGACGAGGATGGTGGGTAAGAATACGATGGAAAATATAAGGTCGGTGTAAAATATGCTGTAGTGGCTTCGAGTCACGGTAATATTAGCCTGAGTGAATCAATAAAGAGCGATGCGCACCTTTAATCCGATTCTAACCGATTTTTATTACGAATAGACAGCACGAACGTTTTGTAAGGAAAAAACAAATGATTTTTGTTAGCACTTTGCAGCGATGTAAGAAAAAAGTAAATTAACTACACTTAACATCATAGGTCACCAAGTCCGGAGACGGATAAAAGCTACCAAACCCTAACATTAAACCCTCTCACTTCACAAAAGCTGACCGGCTCTCCGGTCGCAGGTACCCGGGAGACGGGGACCCGGGATCGGCACTAACAAACCCAACACCGCACATAGTCCCCCGTCTCGCTCTGACCGTTGGTGCGCCGACACCGGGCGCGGTGCTCCAGGTGGGACCGTTTGTCGGGAAACTCGGTCCGGCACCGTTTGCACCAGCTCTTGCCCTTGTGCACCGTGTGCAGGTGCACAATCTGCTCCTGGAGCGAGCCCAGTTGCTCGCCACAGCGCTGGCACGCGTGGGGCCGCTCTGAGGGCAAGGTAGTACACGGGTCAGGCGGCGGGTAATTGCTGAATGCTGATCGTTCTGACACTGATTAAACTGAATCCTAGAACTTCTGTCCCAAAAATCAAGACAGAAAAGAGGGCAGCCATGTAAGACGGAATGTCACAAGAAGTCTGATTACGAGCGAGCGAGCGCAGCGAGCGAAGCGAGTCTTTTCAATATAACGGAAAAATCTCAGTATGAGCGGCCCGGCCCGGCCCGGCCTGTAACGCTTTTGAGGGGCTTATATCTCAGCAACCGCTGGACCGATTGGCCTGCGGTCTTTTTTGCTGGGTAGCCCCATCCCTTCTAACCCGTGATTGACTACTTTTAATACACCTCAGTGACCGTCGTGGCACGTGCCACGTGAAAAGTCAAGGGTGTTCAAGCTGTTTTTCAAAAGTAGTGATTTTGAGAGGCTCATATCTCAGCAGCCGCTTGGGCGATTGACTTGCGGTAATTTTTGTACGGTAGCAGCATCCCTTCTACCAAAAATAGGATACTCTCGATGCATGTGGGTCACCCCCAGTGCACGTGCAAAATACAACAATAAGAGGTGTCAAATTTGTTCCCATTTTAATAACTCGGTAATTACTGGGGCGATTTCGCTGAAACTTGGCATACAGGTAGGCACCCACCAGGCAATGCATTCCCATGTGTTGCGGTTAGGGTGCTACTGCACGTGCGCACGTGTAGGGGGCGCTTCCAGATCTCGAGAACGGCTGGGCCGATTGCGCTCAAATTTGGTACACGGTTGGGGACCAGTTAGTAGGGTGCCGTGCAAAAGTCAATTTGGACCCCGTTTGCACGTGCGCACGTGCAGAATGCCGCTTCCAGATCTCAGGAACGGCTGGGACGATTGCGTTCAAATTTGGCACACCGCTAGCGACCGGGTAGAAGGGTGCTTTGCACAAGCCCGTTGGAAGTACCCTTTCGCCCTTCCGCACGTGCAGGGCTCACTATCTCGCTCGCTCGTTTTTTCGCCCAAAAGGCGTTTTACTGGTATAAAATAACAAATATTTTCCTAACTACCGCAGGTAGCACGGCAAACGTTACGCATTATGCACTAAGCACGTCGGGTGCCTGTCATCTGAGCATTAAATACCAGAACTTTGTCTACCCGACTACCTACAGTAAACGATACAAATACGAGTATGATCCATAACTGATCCACCATCGACGATTCGACACACAGCACAAACGTCAGTAGACACCGACCGTTGCGGGCGCCGGCCGGTGCCTCCTCTGTCGACGTCGCTGCACGGTCGGTTACAGTCAGACGGTGGATCCTCTCCAGGTTTTCCAGCACCGAGCGGCGGTACTTGAGACTGATTCGGGGCGTCTTGACGTGCTTCACTTGCTCCCTCAGTGTCTTGACGTCGCGGTACTCGATGACGGTCGGGGTGGCGTCACTGGCGACGTCTGGTGTCGGGGACGTTCGTCGGGGTTGACGGCGCCGCCTGCCGACCGAGGGGGGGGGGGGGGGGGGGAGACACATGAAATCGTGCATCATTTGAAGAAAAAAGCATGTTCGGCCCAACAACAGCCACCTTGTATCCTGTCCTACCCCTGTACCATGTCTTCCAGCCCTGTCCATCCCCCACCCCTCACCTGGAGCCCTGTCCGGCGGCTCTCTCCGCGCCCTCTGCCGCCGCTCGGACGCTCTGCCCGCCGTCCTCTCCGTGCGAGGGGTGTTTGGTGCGGATGTGCTGCGCCATGTTAGCCACTCTCAGGCCGCACAGGTTACACTGGCTGCGACAGAGGCGTCGGTGCTTGGCCAGCTCCGGCGCCGAGTCGAACTCACACCGGCACCGACGGCACCAGGGGCGTTTGTGCAGCGTGGTGATGTGCTCCACCAGAGAACTGCAGCACAACGGAACGGCGACGGTTCAAATCCCACCGCAGTCGGAGACTTTCACGTTGCCACACAGAAAACAAACGTACAATATTGAGAAAAAAAAAACAAGCAGACCAAATAAATGAAAAATGCTTAAAACAATGGGTTGTAAGAAAAAATATCTACGAGCATGAGTCGCAGCTAGTAAGTATAATTTATGCTTATTCATGTGCATACTGCATTGTACCTATTATTTGACTAACAAGTCTTCCACCTAACACAATTAAACCATGATGCAAAGCATGCGCTCGGCTCCCTTAGAGTGTTCATATTCTAGTATGTATAAATAGACGGTGTTCATACAAGAGACAACGGAAGGGGCAGCTAATGCAACGGAGTGCTCCGAGGCCACTGCAAATGTTTATCGCTCGGTCTGTCGGTCACGGGACCGGGCCGCCCGACCGGATGTGGCGCCTCTGACAGAGGTCAGCCGCACCGAGCTCTGCAGACGTCCTGCCAGCTCCGAGGGTTTAAGAGAACTTTCGTAACTTGGCGAGAGTGTGGAATATAGGCATAGTCCCATTTTATCCCACCATTTCTCCCATCCCTACCTGCTATTTTCGAAGGACTTGTCACAACCGTCGACAGTAGAATGTCGGCACGGCCGCCGGTTTCCGCCGCCGCCTGACACCGCCCCCACTCAGCTGTCGAGAGGTCACTGTCACAGCACGGCGTACACAGACGCTACAAAATCTGATGGCATTGTATATTTTGTATTAACTACTGACGTACATGGCAGATAACCGCTGTCAAAACCTTGGTCGAAACGTCTAAAATATTAAATATTTATATCATAAATATCATTTTTGATTTGCAACTCTTGGCCACCAGTTTTCATAAATATGTCAAACAAATAACCAGTAAAACATTTTTTGGGCGAAGAACGAGCGAACAAGAGAATGAGCTATCCAAGGCGGAAGGGAGAAAGGGTGGGTTCTTTCAACTGTGCGCGGTACCCTACGAACCGGTCGCTAACGGTGTGTCAAATTTGGATGCAATCGGCCTAGCCGTTCCCAAGATCTGGAAGCGACATCCTGCACGTGCGCACGTGCAAACCGAGTCAAACTGACTTTTGTACGCCACCCTGCTAACCGTTCCCTAACCGTGTGCCAAATTTGAACGCCATTGACGCAGCCAATCTCGAGATCTGGAAGCGCCCCGCACGTGCGCACGTACTAGCACCCTAACCGTAAAACATTGAAATTCATTGACTGGTGAGTGCCTCCTGCCTACCTGCATGCCAAATTTCAGCGAACTCCTCCCAGTTTTACCGAGTTATTTAAATGGAAACAAATTTGACATATTTTCTTTTTGCATTTTGCACAAGCAGTGGGGGTGAACCACATGCATCGAGAGTATCCGATGTTTGGCAGAAGGAATGTAGTTACCGTAAAAAAAAACTACCGCGTGTCCATCCTAGCGGTTGTCAAGTTACAGGCCTCTCATAATCGTCACTTCTGCAAAATAGCTTGTGCACCCATTACATTTCACGTGCCACGTGCCAGGAAGGTCATTTAGATGGATCAAGAGTGGTCAATTACGGGGTAGAAGAGATGGGGCTACTCAGCAAAGAAGACTGCAGGTCAATCAGTCCAGCCGTTGCTGAGACGAGCCTCTCAAAAACGTTACAGGCCGGGCGGCCGGGTCGTTCATACTGATATTTTCTCGTTATGTTGAAAAGTCTCGCTTCACGCTTTGCGCTCACTCGTAACAATACTGAACAGCCAGCCCGTTACACACTGGGAACGTTGCTGTAACACAGGAGAAAGCGGTGCTAACACATAAGCCAATACTTCCTTGATCGAAAAAAGTCAGCCAAATTGCGAGAAAAACACGTTTTCTCTCGCATCCTCTCCCCAAAAGGGAACAGGAAGAAGAAAAAAAAAATCAAAAATAAAAGTTAAGTAAAGTAAATAAATAAAAGTAAAAACCTTGATATTTATACAACTTATTGTACCAATTCTCATAATACTCTAGTCCGTGTTGTTTCCTGAGGTTCTGTCCGGCAACAAGCCTAGCTTAGCCGGACGGAGCCAAGGGTTTCGGCAATAAAAACGACCTTGCAAGAACATGACCAGGCATGCTTTTCCCCACCTGAGTATGAATGCGTATTGCGTTAATTACTAACACTGGTATAAATGATAGTTGCTTGTGTTGGTATAGTGGGCAGTCATTTTGCTTCACTCGGCAATGACTACTTTCATCCTTTTTGGCGTACTTACTAACATTTTTTAGTAGTATTGCATGCGTTATATTTTATTTATATTTTCCACTTCTTAGCAGGGAGTGCCGCAACTTGATCAATTTATTATGTTACCTGGTGTTAAAGTAAGGTCTCTGTGCGTCGCCGGGACTGTGGGAGGGGGCACTCCTGGTTACCTGATCATGGGTAACGGACTATCTTAGAAAAAAAAAACATGGTTGGCTGCTGTGTTCCTGGATGCAGTAGCACTGTTGGAGGGCACAAAATACCACGTGAAGAGAAGCTTCGCAAGACCTGGTTGGTGAAAAAAATAAAGTTAACACATAAATGTCCGTACCAGTGCGGTCCTGTCCCTGCGGTGGCCGGTGGGTGAGTTGAGGGAGACAAACTCGATAGTGGTGGTCTGAACGCCGTCCGGGTCCCGGCAGACGGCCGCCGCCTGCTCCTCCTCATCCTGGAGAGAGGGGAGAGAGGGGTCACACGGAGGGAGGCGGGAGGAGAAAACACGGTAACATACATAACATGCACATTGCACAAATATCTTTTGAAGCATATAACGGGATCATAAGAATGATGCATCTGTAAAGGAAGTTCTCTCCATGACGACCAAACGATGTGTGAGAGAGAGAGAGAGAGAGAAGAGAGAGAGAGAGAGAGAGAGAGAGAGAGAGAGAGAGAGAGAGAGAGAGAGAGAGAGAGAGAGAGAGAGAGAGAGAGAGAGCGAGAGCGAGAGCGAGAGAGAGAGAGAAGAGCGAGAGAGAGAGAGAGAGAGAGAGAGAGAGAGAGAGAGAGAGAGAGAGAGAGAGACAGAGAGAGAGAGAGACAGAGAGAGAGAGAGAGAGAGAGAGAGAGAGAGAGAGAGAGAGAGAGAGAGAGAGAGAGAGAGAGAGAGAGAGAGAGAGAGAGAGAGACAGAGAGAGAGAGAGAGAGAGAGACAGAGAGACAGAGAGACAGAGAGACAGAGAGACAGAGAGTCAGAGAGTCAGAGAGTCAGAGAGACAGAGAGTCAGAGAGTCAGGGAGACAGGGAGTCAGGGAGTCAGGGAGTCAGGGAGACAGGGAGACAGGGAGACAGAGAGATGGAGATAGAGATAGAGATAGAGATAGAGATAGAGAGAGAGAGAGGGAGAGAGAGGGAGAGAGAGAGAGAGAGAGAGAGAGAGAGAGAGAGAGAGAGAGAGAGAGAGAGAGAGAGAGAGAGAGAGAGAGAGAGAGAGAGAGAGAGAGAGAGAGAGAGAGAGAGAGAGAGAGAGAGAGAGAGAGAGAGACGTACTGACCGCCGCCGCAGTCGTGCTGTCATCGGCCGTTACTACCATCGTCTGAAACTGAGAAGTTTCCTCTGCGACTGAGCGGTCGCCTATTTCCCCTTCCTCCGTGACGCCAGCGCCAGCCGCTGCCGCCCCGGCAGCGACGGCCGCGGCATCATCGGTGGTATCGCCCTGCGTGGGGAGAAAATTAACATTAATTCAGTGATAATTAGGGAAAAAGCCGTCCGGTTATACACGTTAAGTTATCTATTGGTCGTGGATTTTCCTTTTCCAGCACAATAGCTCAGTAATACAGAAAGTAACTGACACGAGTTTAAGGGGAATTAATTATAAAATCTTCTTTAATCATATAAGAGCACGTTCATATAAATATCATCCGGTCATCCGTCCCGTTCTGTTCCGACCCCATCCCCCCTGGAGCCCCCCCCCCCCCCGCCATAACTGACCGGCGTCGTCTCCTCCTGCTGATCCCGTGCGCACCGCTCCGGCGGCTGCCACGAGCGGCGAGCCTGGCGACGCCGACCGTCCGCGTAATGCTGAAAATACGGTGAACGGGACAGGGTAACAACGGTACCGGGTAACAACGGTACCGGGTAACAACGGGACTGCGTTACAACGGCACCGCAGAACAACGCGTAACTTTGACATTGACACTGTTGCGAACCAGCGGGCTGCTTAGAGTTCCGAATGAAGACATCAGCATAACATAAACAATAACCAGCCGAGTAGTCCTCCAAATCAACAGGACGGCTTAAAACTTAGAACCAAGTGCAAAGAAGATAGGAAAACACAAAATAAGCAGAGAGAGAAAACACCAGCACAGACACAAACACAAACAGAAATCAAAGTAGATGCAAACAGCACAAGCAATAGCTTATCATCTGTGTTTTCGTTCTCCGATTCTTGATTTGCGCCTACCTTGGCCGGCGTCCAATCCTCGTCCGTCGGGTCATCTCCGGCGCGTGGGGGCGGCGGCGGCGGTGGTGGCGGCTCATCTGCGGCCCTCCTCTGCCGCTCAGCACCGGACTCATCGGCGGCGACTGGTGACCGCTGTCCGGACAAAACTGGTGAGCAACTGGGTATGGGAGACCACACGAAACATCAGATAGGTATGGCGGCACGGGACCGTAGTCCGTACGCTGTCACTGAACTGTATCCCGTCCACTCCCCATATCTTATCCCCGTTCTCCGCCCTGTCCACGACCCCGTACCTAAACTCCCCAGTCCCCGCACCGTACCCTGTCCCTGTCCCAGTCCCCTGTTCCCGTACCGTACTATTCCCTGTCCCAGTACCCTGTCCCAGTCCCCTGTCTCCATACTGCCCTCTGTCCCTAACCCCGTCCCAGTCTCCTGTTCCCGTACTGTCCCAGTCCCCGTATTCTCCGTACCCGGTCGGCCCTGCTCAGCCGCCGCTCGATCTGCCGCCTTAACCGCTCGTCGTCCGCCTCCTGTGCCTGCTGGCGGGACCGCTCCACCCGACGGCGACGCTCCAGCAGCTCCTGGCGGTGCGCGGCGGCCGCGCGCTCCTGCTCCTGACGCCGCTCCTCCTCCTCCAGTCGCTCCTCGAGCCGGTACAGCTGACGCACGCGCAGCTCCACCGCCTGGCGAAAGGGCGGGGGCGGGGCGGGGGCGGGGCGGGGGCGGGGAGCACTGAGCGCGCGACAGTGTCTCGCGGACAAAGGCAAGAGATGGGTCTTCACTTTAAAGTGACAGTCAAAGACACAACTAGATAATGAATAAGAGAGCTGCCGGCCTCAGTGTCTGACAACCGAAGACAGTTTCGCAGTTTGACCCCAAGATGGTTCCACAGTTGGACCCCAAGATGGCTCCGCAGTGCTGATTGCTGAGAGCCAAAGATCGGTATATGTATAGCAACTGCTGAGAGCCACTGGTCTCCAGCTATCAGCAGGTTTCTACCAGCCGATAGAAACTGCTGAGAGCCAAAGATAGGTCCATAGTAACTGCTGAGAGCCAAAGATCGGTCTGTAGTAACAGCTAACAACCAGAGACATCCATAATTCAGTGAGCGAAACATGGGTCTGCAATTAGCATTCTGGGGGTTTGAGGCGCCTGGACTGCGATGGCCATCGGCGTCCATAGTGAAAGATTGGGCTGTACTGAGCTGAGCCAGAGAATGTGTGTGCAAAGAAAATGCGCTCTGTGTACAAGACGCCATTGGTTAACTACCTACCCACCCTCCAAACGGTTTAGGGCAAATGTGTTTCAAGGGGAGATCTTAGGTACTCTGGAAGAAAAGTTTGCTAGAGGTATTCCGGTTGTGCTGACTCGTTCATCTTCCACTCTCACTCTTCCTTTCACCTCTCACTCTTTCCCTCCTTTCTCTGTCTCATCTCATCTCATCTCTCACTCCCCTCACCTTCAGTTGGGTGTGGTGCAGGTCGGCCTGTTCAATCAGTTGCCGACAGCCGTCGCACACACAGTCCGTAGCGCTGCAGTGAAGCCGCACCGGCAGCAGGGCGGCCAGTCTCTCGGCCAGCGCCACGCCGCTGCCAGCCGTCCGACACAGCAGCAGAGGAGTCGGGCGGCCGCACGGGCCCGAGCACACGAAACAGGCCGCGTCACAGGGCTCCTGTGGGTCCGGAGGGGCACAGGTCAGAGCACAAGGAACACTCGAGGGGCGGGGTTCAGAGCACAGGGAGCACTGTACAACGAGCACACAGAGCACAACTACACACAGAGCACAGAGTGCAAGGAACACTGAGGGGGCAGGTCAGAGGTCAGAGCCCACGAAACAGACTGTGGCTGATGGCTCCTGTGGCAGGGATTCATATCAGTCCTCTGTTCACAAGTCAGGACTCTCACTGGGGTAAAGTTGAATGTACTACCTACATTAAAATACAATATCAAACTCACCAGAAACAACCAAAGAATGGTGCATTCTATTAGTATGAGCGAGCCTACTCAAACTAAAATCGCTCTGTCATGGTTCATTTGGGACTCTGTTCATTAACCGATCACCCAGCTTTGTCTCACCTCCATTTCCTCTACGCAGTCTACGTCCGGCTGAAGGTCAGCCTGTTCTCCGTGCTGCTGCTGATCCTGCTCACGGTGCTGCTCAGAGCCAGTCAGAGCAGGCGCGGCGTCCTCACCGACGGTGTCCGAAGCGCTCTCTATGATGGACTCCATGGCGAGACTGAGCGGCGCCTCACCCACCTCGTCGCCTGACGGTGGAGGCGTGCGAACACAAACGAAAAGTTAGGAGCAATACGGGGAGTTAGAGGAGTTATTCAATGTAGCCTAAGCTTAGTCCAGTCCTGGTTTAAGTGTATTCTATGTGATCAAATGAACAAATGATTTTACCAAATCAGCCCACTTGTGCAAAAAAAACTGTCAATAAGTTTTCCTGATGCACTGTTCTCGTATCAACCGTAGGGGCTTACTCAAGACAAACAAAATGCACTCACCTTGCGCAATGATGCGAATCTTGTCACCTTCGATCTGCATGATGACACCTTCAGCGGTGTCGCATCCCTCGGGCAGCCGCAGCACGACCCGACGGGTGTCGTCTGTCCCGTCCGGCTCGACGGCACGGTACAGGAGAGCCGACTCGTCCATCTTCACACGCTACACAGCCGAGCTGTCACTCTGCAGGCTCCTGGCGATGGCGACTTGAACTTGAACAAGGCAGCCTCCTTAGCAAATGTTGGTTAAACTGAAAAAGGAGCAAATGGTTTTTCAATGATAAACTGTGAAATGTGTTGCTACCCTACCCAACGGCCTACACCTACTTAACACCTACCAATGCCGAGACAAATCAATGGGGCCCTGAATTTGATGTCTCTCGGACGACAAAGATTCTACGTCGTCCGGCCAATCCCGTTCGATAGCCGCAGCCCAGCTTCCGCCGACCTTGGGGGCTGGGCTTAAACATTCCAAAATGTTTTAGGGCCTTAGACATATCTTCGCCCGGACAAATTTTGGTTATCGTAAAGCAGGCGCCGCAATTCATTCCATGTAAATAGCTGCAGGTACCATTATGGCTTATGGGCCATAAGAATGCACCACTGATGTCGCGATTTATTATGTCACAAACGTACTATTGATGAGAGTGATTTGACTGGCGGAGCAGGACGTTCGTATGTGATACTGAATTTCATCTGTGTTGAGATTTTGATTGCGGGTTTGGAACCCACCTGTGGCCAGGAGGAAGCTTAACTGCGTTATACTATACCAATTATTAAACTCTGTACCTATGGGCATTTGAGCTCGAGTGACGAGTCAATGACTGTGCTGATTCTACCCAAAAAGAATGGTTTCCTCCATGGTTATATTGTACACACACACCATTCAAGCTTTCCACCAAGACTGGCTCGCCCAAGCTCCCAACGCCGCAGCCCCGGACAGTGCCGGGGCGGTCCCAAGCTCTGTATGTGGGTTAGAATAGGATTAGGTCAGATTAGCAAAGGTGGAGATCTCGGGGGGGTCGGGGGGGGGGGGGGTCAGGCCCCCCTGAAAACGAATTACTGCTATGTAAGTTAATGGTACTGTATCCAGCCCGCCTCCATCTGCCCGGCCTGGACCCCCTGAAATTTTGAGAGATCTCCTCCCCTGCAGATTAGGGTATGGTTGTGGTAAAAGTATACATTAAGTCCGAGGACTGTTAAAAGATAAAGTTTTCATATTCTTACATTATTTGACATCCTGAATCCAAAAATGATACTTATATGTCTTGGAAATAAAAGAAAAACATAATCAAACCTGACCTAACCTTACGTATTTACCTACAACCTACCAACCTACAACCTACAACCTAACAACCTAAAACCTACAAACCTACCAACCTAAAACCTAAAACCTACAAACCTACAACCTAACATAACCTAAAACCTAAAATTTTTGCTGTTACATATTTGTATCAACAGCATCACAATTGTTCACTCGGACCTAATATATACTAATACCATGGTTGTTTGGCTAGAAATGAAATAACCCTGTTAGGATTTGAGCCAGCTAGGCATTTGACCAATTAAAAATTTGACGACAATTAAAAACTTGACACTTCATACATGGCTGTCATGTCATGCCCGCATGTCAACGAGCAATCTGAGCACTCAGCAGTTAAAAAATCAGTGAACTTTTCACAACATAAATTGTGACACCCTGGTGCATAAATGTTGATGTGACATCACCACTCCCGACCCATCTGGACTAACTCCATAATGACTACCCTAATCATTGCATGGCTCTTCTGAACCAGAATAAATCAAAATGAAGAAAAAATGTAATATGATACACCGAACCTGTCCTAAACTTAACTGACCAAGGTCAGGTTCCATGTCACCCAGACAACAAAGATTCTATGTAATAGGGCCAATCAAGTTTGATAGGCTCAGCCCAGCCCCCGCCTACCTCAAACGGCATTGCAATTGGCTGGGTCACTCTGACTCGTCTGGGAGACACCCTGCCCTTACCCAACAGCAACACATCGCCATTTTATTTAAATATAAACCAATTTGGAATTTTTTAAGTATGATGGGCAAGACTTTGCGGGGTTGAAAAAAACGGGACGCATCTACCCGTTTTCTGGGAACACAAACAGGAAAGGTGGGAACTGGGAAAGGTGACATCATGGCACTTAAGAGTCGGTGACATGATATACCTACGGCCTTGGTGACATGTACCTTATAACAAACTTTGTGACACTCATTTTAATTGATAATCTCCCAGCATAAATTTTCATAAAAAAATGAGCGTCTTTATGTTTATTTATATAACTTGGGCCCTCTGCAAGATACCTTAAAGGGACCCTCCCACCTTCAAACAAGTTAATGAATTGGCACGAAAGTGATGTCGCTCGGTTCAGGAAGAGCTAAAACAAATATCTACCAATTTTCATCGAAAAATATTCACTGGTTTTCAAGATATTAGACTTTTACTTTTGTTTACTTTTTGGGATCTCCGCTGATCCTAGCGACTTTATTTGAAAGTGCGGCATTTGTTGCGCGCAAAGCAGCATATACCACCGCGTGCTACCAAACGTTTTAGTAAAAGATTTAAAAATCGTTAGATCTCCGCTGACGTCACAAATTCTAAGGGGGCATACCAATGCACTAGCCCCTTAGAATCCGAAAACTGCAAGTTTGAAATTCCATATCTCCGAATTAAAGCATTTGTCGATGTTGTGAGTGCCCAAACCGGTATTTGCAGGCCATGGCCACCAATTTGGCTATCTCAACTCAAAACTAATGTTAAGGTGGGAGTGTCCCTTTAAGACATTTTTTTTTTAATGTCGATATGAAAACGGCGCATTTGAGCGCCATATAGGCTAAGCTTAACGCACGCTAATCTACTGCATAAAAGTAACAACTGTTGAACACAGTGACCTCAATGAACCATAGATTAATAGTTGAGCATATATTATTGCAGAGGAGAACCTACATTCATCGGACAAGTCTCCACTCCAGTGGATAAGGAGTTTTCTAACAGGCAGGCGGCAAAGGGTGAACGTCAATGGATTGTGGTGCTGTGGGGCTGTTCACCACATATCAGTGACTGGATTTTACGTTAATCAGAAATGGAAAATATCAACCTGGTGCGTGTTCCAAAAATTCAATCAGTTCGATCCAAACGGCCCCAAGTAAAAGAATTAATTTAAGGAGCGGGTTGTTATATTTAAATTACCAAAACGAAGTCAAAAACCAAAACAGCGAATCAGACCATGGAGCGACGAAGAGACGAGAATGAAATCCAAGTTGGCCAAATATGCCCTGCCTAATCTAAGTTATAAATCCCGGACAGAACGGGCCTAATGGAGCCAGACGTGACGCGTCTGCTCGGGTCAAGAGCTCAGCCTAGAATGTCGGGGGAGCGGAGCGCGCGGCCCGACGCAGCGGGCTGGGCCCCAGACATGCGCAGAAACACTCGGAGACCACGCGGCGACGGATCGAGCGCGGATTGGTCAGCAGACTGCTGCAATGCAGGCTGCAGACACGCGGTCGCATCGTGATGGGACAAAGTTCACGAACAGACACGTCCTGGGCCGCCCCCCATCGCCGGGGCGGGGTAGCGACGTCACAAGTCGGCGCGCGAATCGGTCTGCGCCGGGAACTCCCGTGCCGGCCGGCGACACACGTGGTTACCACAGTACTCACCGCCTCAGCGCGGAGCGCATACACGATAAGCCAAAACAATCACTTTTCACATCACTCGGTGCGCGACGCGATCGACACTTCACTGCGCGACGCAATAATCACTACACGGTACGGCGCAACGCAATTGTCACTGCACGGTCCTGCGCGACGCAAGAATCACTACACCGCGCGACGCAGTTATCACTTCACTGTCGGCGCCACGCGATTAGGATCGTCCTCGAACGCACGTACGCGGGCGCACTTAAAAGTATCTGAAGTCCGGTTGCGGCCGGAACTGCACGCGGCGGCCGCTGCGGGTGTGCACCGGCGCAGCCGCGGACGGCTTGTCGTCCTTGGCCGGCGATGCGGAAGACGTCACTCCAGGTTTTGAAGTCCTCTTGCCGGACGGTCTTGTAGTCGTCGGCGTCTGTGTCGGCTCGTCGGGCGCCCCAGTGGCGAGGGGCCCGAGCGAGGTCGACGGTGACGGCTGCTGCTCCGGAGCCGTAGGTTCGGTACTGCTCGGACCAAGCGTGTCCGCAGATGGCGGCATGTGTGCCGGTTTGAGTCTGTCGACGCTTACAGTGTCGTGGGCGCCAGTCGGCAGCTCCAACGTGAACACTTTAGGGCTGCGTCTGATGACTCGCATGGGGCCGCGGTACGGGGACTCCAGAGAGTGCCGCACGCGGTCAACGCGTACCCACACGTGTGTGCATGTCATGAGATCGGGTGGCACGTGCGTCGGTGGTGTGCGGGCGTGGTTCGAGCCCTGTGAGAGTGTGACAAAATCGATTTCTGACATACGCTTTGCCAGTTCTTGGACGTACTTGGTCCCGACGGGGACCTTCTCGACGGCGCAGCGGGGAAACAGCACCTGTGCGCCTGTGACGGCAGTGAATGCCGAAAACCCCGACTCTGCTGGCATGGCTCTCAAACCTAGCAAAACGACGGGTAGCGCGCGCAGCCACTCTTGCCTGCGCGCCCGGATGGCGGCTTTGAGCGTTCGGTGGACTCTTTCCACCATCCCATTACATGTCGGATGATAAGCAGTGGTTCGGAGGCGATGGAAACCTATCATTGAAGACAAGTGTGAAAACAGTTCCGCTTCAAATTGGGAACCGCGGTCTGTGACAACATGCAGCGGAACTCCGAATCGGGACACCCAAGTGTCGAGGAAAGCAGAGGCTACACTTTCCGCGGTGATCGAGACCAACGGCACGGCCTCGACCCAACGCGTGGCGCGATCGATGCATGTCAACAAATAACGAAATGGCGCGGTGAAGGGGTGCCCGTGGGGTACTGACGGGGGCAGCGGCCCGACTATGTCTATATGTACAGTTTCGAACCGCTGCGAGGGCACATCAAATCGACCGGGCGGAGAACGAGTGTGCCTGTGCACCTTGGCTTCCTGGCATGCTTCACACTCCTTCACCCATCGCGCAATGTCACGGCGCATATCATGCCAGAAATAGCGAGAGCTGATGAGACGGGTGGTGCCTTTCCTACCCGGGTGTGACAGGCCGTGGAAACGATCAAACACGGCGCGCCTGCACGCCTCTGGTACGTACGGGCGTGGATGTGGTCCAGTGTTTTCACACAGGACTGTGATGTCGCCAGACAGTGTTACTGGCTCCAATCGGGAGGTGTCCTGCGGGTTTGAGCGCGATCCTGGACCTGACTCGGAATCCTGGTGCTCTGAATCGGCACTGTCGGTGTCTCTCTCCTTTTCCTGCTTCTGAGCCGCCGCGATAAAATGGAGGTCACATGCATCGAGGGACACTGCATTTACCGGGCGACTGAGGCAGTCCGCCACCACGTTGTCACTGCCACGAATGTACGAGACCTCCGTGATGTATTCCGTGATGACACACCAGTGGCGCTGTTGGCGGTCAGACTTAGCCGTGTGCGGGCTGTGAAAAGCGCGCACGAGTGGCTTGTGGTCTGTTCGCAGGGTAACGTGGCGGCCTTCGATCATGTCACGAAAATGGAGTGTGGCCAGATAAGCCGCGAGTAGCTCTCTGTCATACGCGGCGTACTTCTGTTGGGCCTGACTGAGCTTCCGTGAGAAGAAGCCAATGGGAACGGGTACTCCGTCCACAATCTGATGGAGCGCGGCACCCACCGCGACTTGTGATGCGTCAGTAACGAGCTCGTACTGCTCGCAGTGTGGCACTGGGTGTGGCAGAGTGCAGGCGCCAGCCAGCGCTGCTTTACTGTCACTGAACGCCTGAGTCTGTTCCTCTGTCCACGTCAGTTCTTTGCTTTTTGGATTGAGTCGAATCAGTTCGGTCAGGTGGAACGTGACATCGGCGAATCGCGGAATCATACGCCGGTAGAAGCCGATGAGTCCCAGATAGCGACGCAGTGACTCTGAGTCATGCGGTAGAGGGAGGTCCAGAATTTCCTTCACTCTGGCCTTGGGAGGTGTGACACCTGTGCTGGTGACGTCATGACCGAGGAAAATGAGTGACTTCTTCATGAACTCGCATTTCTCCAGTGAGATGCGAAGCTTGTGCTCAGCCAGCTTGCTGAACACGAGGCGCAGATCTTTCTCATGCTGCTCCTGGTTCTCGGAAAATACCAGAATATCGTCGAGATAGACGAATACGCACGGCACGTCTCGGAAGATGCCGTCCATGACCCTCTGGAACGTGGCACCTGCGTTGCGAAGCCCCATTGGAATGAAGGTGTATTCGTACAAGCCGAAGGGCGTGGTGACGGCCGTCTTCTCTGAGTCAGCGGGGTTCATAGGCACCTGGTGATATGCACGGAGCAGATCGATTTTGCTGAACCACTGAGCGTTGTGGAGCTTGGTTGAGAGGCTCTGAATGTGCGGCAGTGGGTAGCGGTCCGGTTTGGTTACGGCGTTGAGCGCGCGGTAATCACCGGTGACACGCCACTCACCAGGGGTACTCTTCGGAACCATGTGAATGGGTGAGGCCCACGGGGACCTGGAGGGACGAATCACTCCTGTTTTGAGCAGCACATCGAGTGCTTGCTTTGCTGCGGTTAGTTTGTCGGGCGGCAGCTTGCGTGGGCTGGCGAACGTGGGTGGAGCGCTGCCGGTGTCGATGAAGTGAGTGGTTTTGATTGGCGAGTCTGTGTAATCCGGCTGGTTAGGGCTGAGAACAGCGGGGTGATCCTCTAGGATGGGCCGCACTGCCTCAGGCACCTGAGCGAGATCGTTGATCACCAAATGAACAGACTCCCCGGTCGTCGGTACACCGGGAGCAGAGAGCAGAGTGGTGGAGTCGCGGAGAACTTGGGAACCACAATCGACAACCAACGAGTTGTGAGCGAGAAAATCGTTACCGAGTAGTGGCTCTGTCACTTCAGCCACTACAAATGTCCATGTGTAACTGCGTCGGAGTGTGGGGAGGACAATATCGAGAGTGGCCTCGCCATGCACGCGCAGTGGCTGCCCGCTGGCAGTCGTGACCGAAACAGCGGACGGGTGAATTAGAGTTCCATTCACATAGGAGGGCGGAACCAGGGATACACCAGCGCCAGTATCCACGATGAATTTCAGGGGCTGATCATTCACCTTGGCTGTTACCCTAAGGAGCGGCAGGCCGAGGGCTGCGTTTACGGCCTGCTCCTCTCGTTTCCCGACTCTGAGGCTGCACGGGAGGGAGATGCAGCTCGTGAGGACGGCTGCATGGTCAGATCAGCGGCTTTGTCGGGCCAGTGACACCATGGCTTGCAAGTGCGTGCTCTGCTGCCGAAAAACAGGTGAGCACGGCATACTTTCGGCTTCTGGTCAGGGTGGAACGGCGTGAGACCGAGAGACGCTCTTGAATCACGAGCATCACGAGCAGGGGAGTGTGTGGCGGCTCGGCTCTGCGGCTGAGTGGCCCTGTGATACCTTGGGTGCTGCTGAGCCACAAGGAACGCCTGTGAGTCAGACTGTGGGTCCTGATCCTGACAGTGAACCATGTTAGCAGCTGAGGTTTGCACAAGAGGCATCAGTTCGTCCGCGAGTTTGCCCAACTGCGACAATGAGAGCTCGCGCTGAGAAGCCAGGGCCGTTGCAATGCCTGTGGGTAGCGACTGGATAAATTTGTGCCGAACGAGATCGTCTCCGACACCAACCTTGTCGGCCACCTCTCTGAGTTCGCTTAGAAAGAGTGAGGGTCGGCCCGTCAGACGCGTTTTGCTGATCAGTTTCT